TCAACTGGATAGGTAAAGTGCGCTACCAGACTAACTGTATCGATTCGAAGCAGTGGCGATAACACAACACCGGATTAGATGACAGAAGACGCTAGAAGAATCGCTGGCCTAGATGTAACAAAGGCAGCGATGTGGCGGAGTTGGGAGTGAAGATACAGGACAGAATGAATGAAGAGAGGAGGAAATGATCGCAAGTCGAGAGTGGAGAATGCGACAAGGAGGAATTTATCTTGCCAAGCGGCGCAGTGTAGTGGTCACGTGGACGATAAGATATGACTCAGCAGGACCAAAGGGGGAAGGTGCGAGTGAGGTCACGATAAGAGATGGAAGGAACAACCGGCAAATTCACAAGCCAAGAGGCAGTGAGGGGGCGAATGATGCTTAGGAATAAAGAAATCAAGGTGAAGAATCCAAGTTCCTTTATTTCTCCTTCCAAAAGAAAAAAAGAAATGAGGGGATGTTATTTGCTTCTGTGGCTGATGAATCTTGCAACGCGAAAGAGGACGCGCTAAGTTCAACAGAGCTTCAGAATGGGAAGATCCAGAAGGCGGTGCGGCAAATCCCTCGAAGAAGCAGGGTGAAAAAAGGGCGGTCAGGGGGAAAAAGACGGGTAAAAAGGAATTCCGCAGTCAGCTCCAGAAACAGAGACTGAGAAAATCAGCCTGGGTGGGAGAATCCTTAAGTACGACCGGCGCGTCGCGCTGTCCAAAATCCCCATCCGAGCCACTAGTCCCAATTATTCTAGCTCAGGCCATTCAACGGCTCGTGATTGGCTCCAAGATGACGCGTTCTTGCGGTCGCTGTTTACTATTGGCTACGGTCGACCTTCCCTGTGGACCCTTCGTACCAAATTCCCCTTTGTCGGAAACGCATGAAAAACATGCTGGGAAAAAAATAAAATAAAATAAAAAAAAAAGGGACAGTCATCTCCAACACAATCTCAGATCATAACATCATCATCACTTCAACTTCACCACCTGGTGAGCAGAAATGTTGAATCACAGTGCATGCCTACCAACACCCGACCAAGTACATTCGTTTGTAATACCGAGGATGAGTGAGACAGGAACGACATACCAAGAATATGTTAGGCAGTCATGGTGGGATGGCAAAAGTTATCTTGCGTTTGCTGAACATAAGCTTGTTACCTGCTCGAGGGGAGGGCGGTATGCATGTGTTCCGCTGATTCCGTAAACCCCAGGGTTCAGCCCTGAGCCCTCCCTTACTTCGGATATGGACTAGCGTAATTGGTCCGCGGGCAATCCGAGGGCGGCAGTCACCAAATGTATGACTGATCATTTCTCAAGTTCAGCCATTGTCAAACTGGGCTAGGTATGCGATCTGGCGTTATCAGAGGAGTTAATCAGATGCCGTGTGATTCATCATCTAACTTGCAAGATGAGTTCCGCTGTATCAAGACCATATAGAAACCCGCGGACGGTCATATCATCTGAACTCTGCGTGGCGGTTCATTGAAGGCTAAAATTGCGCCTGCACTGTTATCGAGATTCGTCACGACTTTGGGTCACAACTCTGGCGAGCTGATGAGCTTATAAATGGCAGTCAACAAGCATCAGTAAAGTATTCAGTAAGCATTCAGCGGGCGAAACATGTTATCATGAGTATGACGTGCTGGGATGGTCGATACTGTGCGTCATAATCCCGGGCGCATATCGTAGGATTGTACAGCAAACTGAAGCATTGTGTCAATATCCAGAAAGCATCAGAAAGTAACAATGGCGACAGTTGCCGATGATTTGCAGAGTGACCAGATTGAAGACTGGATTAGATAAGACAGCTCCGGGATTTCCAGCTAGACCGTAACGGGCAAAGCGGCCATGGCTCTACAGAACTTTTTTTCTTTCCTCGCTGCAAGAGTGAAGTCCGGCTGCCAGCACTTAACAACCAGGCGTCGCTCCCAGTCGAAGTTGGCTAGATCTGCTTTGCCTTATCTGGCGTCCTTCGCCGCGTCCATTTATTTCGCATTTCTCGTTTTCTGCCGATAAGTCCGATTGAAAATGGGCAAGAAATCGTCCCAGAAGCCGGCCTCGAAGACGTCCTCCGCGGCGGCATTCGCAGTCGCCGATGCCACGAACACAGGGAACAAATCCTCAATGCTGAAAGCCTCGTTCGCTCCCTCTGATTATCAATTGGCACTGTTCGCGTCTGTAATCCATGGTCTTGAGGGTCAGAATCTTCGTATTCACGATACAAATACCGGCCGGTTGCAGTGCGAGCATGTCTTGGGCCCGAAGGAGCTTGTCACGTCGTTGGACTGGGGTCATTATGCTGGTCGCCGGGATCAATCAAAGAAGAAGAGGAAGCGTCCTTCCGACGTAAATGGTACGGCTGATGGACTTGACCAGAGCGATGTCGTAATCGCTTTCGGCACCAACACCTCCGATATCCGCATGTACTCGCCTGCTGAAGATAAGATTGTCGGAACTCTTGCGGGTGGGCATACTGGTGGCATAAAAGACTTCAAATTTACTGCAGATCGACCTCAAGAAGGCTGGAGTATTGGCGGGGACAACAAACTGGTCCAGTGGGACCTCGTTACTGGGCAAACGACAAGGTAAAAATCCTTCTGGGTCTCGTTGAAATTCACCATTTGTCTAACTCATACTTCAGGGTAATCAATCTCTCGACCACGTCAACATTCACTACACTATCCCGCCCAGTCTCCTCTAACCCGCCCATTATTTGCGCATCCCAGTCGCCCTCAATTATTAACCTTGAGGATGAATCGCCAGTCACATTCCCCGCGATGCGAAACTCAATACAAACCATTCTCACGTCTTCGTCAAGTTCTGTTTCCGATGGCTTGTTCCTAGCTTCGGATAGTGATCGATACATCAACGTCTTTGACCCTACAAATGGACAGCTCGTGTTGAACCTTGTGGCGGAGAGAGAGGTGTCTTCGCTCTCGCTGTATTCAAAGCAGAATGCGAACGGTAGCCTGGCTTTAGAGAAACAAGTTCTTGCGGCCGTTACTCAGGATGGTACTGTTGAACTCTTTGCACGACCATTTGTCCGGCCCCAAGGCTCTAAAGGTAACAGTCTGAAGGCAAGGTCCATGCAAATGACCAAGCGAGCAGAGACCTCTATCAAGATAACAAAGTCCACGGCCTCAGACGATCTCGTTCCCGTGGTTTCGGTGTCGTTCCAAGGGCGCGACCTAATTATTGCATGGGCGCATGGAGGTATAGTGCCGCTTTTCGAGCGCGTTAGGTGGTTGAATGAGGAAACCGATGATTTGGCCTTTACTGGTGTGAAAACCATTGCGAAAACCAAGTCTAGCTCCATCCTCCAATCCGTGACCACAAATGGCGCGAAAAACGCGAACGAGAGTCACGTCAACGAAAACAGGGTGGTGGTTGAACAAGGTAATCTAGCAGATGATGATATCGACATGGAAGATTCCAAGAACGATGCGGTTTCTGAGGATGACAGCGATGTGGACTCGGATGATGATGACGAACCAAAGCAACAGAAGCCCAAAGCAGCGCAGGATAACGGAGAAGCCGAGAGTGATGTAGAAATGCAGAATGCTGCAGGATCAGGTGTGGAGGACGAAGACGAAGATGACGAAGAGACGGGCGAACCCACGTTCGGAGAACTCATGAGGGCTCATGCCGCTGAAGAAATCGACGTCGAAGCCGAGCTAGAAGATGATGTCCACACTCGATCGCTTATCCCTGGGAAACCTATTACAACGGTCCAACAAATTCCCTCTGGCGTCTCTCTAGCAACAGTTCTCTCACAGTCTCTCAAGACAAATGACAACGATATGCTAGAGGCATGCTTCCACACAGGGGACGCTGGTACGATCCGAACCACCATTCAACGTTTAGATTCTCCTCTTGCTGCGACTCTACTGCAGAGACTTGCAGAGCGCCTCTCTTCTCGTCCAGGTCGATACGGCCACTTGCTTGTTTGGGTTCAGTGGACATGTATCGCCCACGGAGGAGCACTAGCAGGCAACAAGGAACTCCTCAAGCAGATGTCCACTCTCTTTAAGGTGATGGATCAGCGTTCTTCCACTCTGTCTTCCCTTTTGCTCCTCAAGGGAAAGTTGGACATGTTAGATGCCCAACTCGGTTTGAGGCAATCGCTCCGCGAAAACGCAGACCACGTGGACAGCGAAGACGAGGAGAATGTCATCTACGTCGAAGGCTATGACGACGAGGACGATGAAGATAGCGACGCAGAGGCTACCAAGAACATTGACACCCCACGTACCAAAGCTATCCGCGACCAAATTGACGTTTCGATGATCGATGAAGACGAGGAGGGAAGCGAGGACGATGATGAGGAAGACGAAGAAGTGGACGAAGAAGGCCCTAGCAACATTCTTGACGTGGAGGCAGAGGAATCGGCCGGATCATCAGATGCCGAGGAATCTCTTGACGAGGATGAGGACGAGGATGGGGACAGCGATGCCGACAGTGCGGCATCTATGGCTGATTTCATCGCGGACACGGAGGACGACGACTCAGACGCCGAGGTGCCCTCGCGGCCGCCGCCATCTAAGAAGGCCAGATTAAGTCAGGGAGGCGGGAAAGGGAAGAACAAGGCCGGATCAGGAAGGAAATAGACTAACTAACCTAGATTTATACCCTGTTCTTTTCTTGCACACAGCACATTGGGCTCATCGTTGGTTTTCTTCTGCATCTCTGTTTTACTCTTTTTTTTTTGTCGGGCGTGCACACCGAAAAGTATAGGGAGAACACTTCTCTGTTTTTGTTTCCCTCTGATCTAGTCTGGTTGTCTTATTATCTGGTGTCCTATATCTAGGACGGGTGGAGGCCCTATTCATATGGCTAGTCTGAGCTCTTGTGTCTAGCCTACATTCTTGCATCTACTTGAGCTGGTTGCGAACCTGCACACCATGAATGATCACCTGTTTTCTTCAAGAGACGGCTTTCCTACCCTATATAAGTACGTAGTTTATAGACTTGTATGGTATTTACGTATCAAGTTGATCATGTCTTAAGTAGAATCGCTTTTTAATAACAAACGATAGTCGTGAGATTTTAAGAATAGCTTGGCCAACTGATATACATCGTCATTGAGGATGAATTGAGTAAGAATACTCCGATTAGGAACTCAATAGTCCCCAAATACCCTCGAGAATTGCCTAACGAATAATTTCGCGACCCGGGTTCTCCAGTCCTTCAAGCCCTTCGAGTATCTCACTGCCCCCGTAGGGACCAGAGGCCGAAGATTTATGTTTAGATGATCCGCTCCATACCTCGTGAAATTTGACGCTCTGGTCACTAGATGCTACGATAATACATCCTTCTTCCACGGTACGTGAGCACCAGAGACCCCCTTCTTTGGCTCTAGGACGAACAACCACACGCCCCATCAGGCGCCGGGAAACTCCTGTTCGGTCACCGCTCGTTAAACTATCATGGATTGGGGGTCGTGGAATGGAGGACTCTTCTGGAGTATCTAACCCCTCGTGAAGATACGTGGGAGGTCTCCCAGGGTAGCTAACGGCACAAAGTGCACGTCCACAATCGACGACAGTGTCGTTGGCGGGCCTGTCCCAGCTCGTGCCATGAGGACCCCAAGGAATTGCGGCAATCTGTTCGCAGCTTGGCCACGCAAAGATTGCAATTCGATACGGATGCTCCGGTTGCGCAAATCCGAACGTCGCAACTAGCTCTCTTCTTGTCTTGCTCCAGATCAGACTAGTAACCTGGGCGAACACATTAATGGTCGCCAGACAAGCACCAGAAGGTGTATGAAAGAAGTGGATTGTTCGGTCGTTGGAACCTCCTCCAGTAGCTAGGAGCGAAGGCTGCCAGGGGGCAAACGCAATAGCCTTGACAGCTGCAGCATGAACCAACTTGTGTTTCTGACGATTTGACGGGACAAAGACAGTTCGATCACCACCTGAAACTACCGATCCGGTCTGAGTCAGGACTGAAGGAAGAGAAGAAGACAATGATCTAGTTCGTGACGTTGTCCACGTTGGAAGTAGATTGGCCAACAGATTACGCTGGTTGAAGAGCCGTCGACTGGCATTTGCTGCCAAGCAAGAGAAAGAGTTGGGGCAGCTCATGCCCTCAGGGTGACAGTTTTGATGTGGCAAGCATGTTCTGGATGAAACACCAAGCTCTCGTACAGGGATAATGTCGGACAGCTCGAATAGTAAACAGGCGTTGTCGTTACCGCCAGTTGCTAGATAGGTCCCATCCGGTGACCATGCGATGCCACATATCTGTTGCGTATGAGCTGATATTTTTGCGAGTAAAGTGACTCTACCATGCCAGCCAAATCGATCTCTTGCTTCTTTATTTGGCCATTCCACGGAATAGTACCAGATATTCCCAAGATCGTCGCCCACCGCAAGGTCTTCAGTATCCACTTCGATGTCGTCAGACCTCTCTGAGAGTCTCTTTGACTTCATCTGCTTGAATGCGACACAGGTAATAGTGCTTGAATGGCTTATCTCGAAGCGCACATCGGAGTCAAATGTGCTCCATAGGCTCAACATGCCCGATTTCCTACCCACAGCTAAGATGCTCCTACCTCCGTTATCGGAAGAGAATGATAGAGATGTCACATAGTTCGAGGAATCGTGTTCTCCAAGAGGAGGATTTTGCACGCCGAAAGCTTCGGACCATAGATAAACGCGGTGACCAAGACCGACGGCAAGGGTCCCGGCGATGGTGGAATATGCTAGGGTTGAACAGTAGAAGTCGTCACGCAAAAGAGGGGCATCCAAAGTTCGGAATGGGAGGCTTGGAACTATGGTATCCTTGTCCTTTCTCGAATTTGCTGGCTCCCCTATGTTCCGGTTTTCGAATTAGTTTCACATCCATGCTCTCCATGGGAAATAGACAGCCAGGCCAAAGTTTCAGACTCACTACCAGGGATCTCTGTAATACAGCATGTAGATATTCTGACTTTGATGGATAAATATATATGGAACTGAGCGGAACGCTGTTGTCTAGAACAGGGTGGGATTTGGTATGCATGAGGTTTCCAGAAATAAACACTAGGGACTTACATTGACCACGCTCAACCCTCCTCCAGGCGTTATCTTTCCAGACCAGGGGTGAAAGCTGCTCATATTCTGGAGAGGAAGGGCTCGGGAGCGGGTCAATTACGGATAAGAGGTTGGAGTTGTTGAGAATTCTGGCCGCAGGGTCAATGTCTAGCGCCAGTGCAATTCTGGATTCATATGTTGCACGATCTTCTGCTGAAGTGCGAATCTGCGGTAGGAACTTGGCAGCATACATCGGAGCTGTAGTCCCATTTGAAAGTAGACCCCTCGGGCCACCCAGTGCCACTGTTGACCGTCGGCCTAATGCAGCTGAAGTGCCACCAACAGCCCATATTGCTCCACTGCTCACGCGCCTGGTTGCATCCCTTGCCCCGGTCGACGCTGACCTTCCAGGTGGTGTTGAGTCGTTTACAAGATGAGGCCCGAAATGGGGACTGAAAACACGGCCTGCTTTCGTGGCACTCTTTGACTGTCGAGTTTTCTTAGGGGTGAAGGGGTCCTCCCCAGGTGAGCGGCGGCGGAAAAGCCTCTCTTCGGGTGACAGTTCTTGTGGGTCCTTTCCAACTCTGTATGGCGTATCTTGGTTGTCAATCGAGTCTCGTAGTGGGATAAACCTGTCCGGTGAAGCCGGGCTCTTGGAATCTCGCCGTACACCGGCGTTTCGTCTTCCAGCCCTCACCTTGCCACGGCCACGATCGGGCGGGCTTCTCAATTTCAAGGAGTTTGGATCCAGAGAAGATGGACCAATTAAATAATCACAGTATTGAAGTTTCCTCGTCACAGACGTGGTATCTGAACCCACCGAGGTTGTCGACTCCTTCTCTGTAGAACTGGACATGGAGGCTAGAAATATTCGGTTGCGCGAAATGCTCGATAATTTATTCCAATACCGTAGTCGATCAGTGCATTAACCGATGAAGATGTGTCATCGATTTTGCCTCACGAGACGCAAATTGGAAGAATCGAGTGGGAAAAAAGGTGTTGAGTAAAGTGACCGGTTGTTATGTACTTTAAAGTCAACAATATATCCAAGTGAACGGACCGGGCCGATGGGTTGTAAAAAGACTCCCACCACCAGATATCAAACTATCGGCCCATCGAAGCGACCTGCGGCACTCAAGCTGTTAGAAAATGCAACAATGAAAGAGAGTATGAGTTTAGAAGTCTGTGTTGAGTGGCAGTTGCTTGTATGGTTCAGGAATGGCACGTGACCTACTTGATCGGGAAGCTGCCTGGTTGCACTTTTGAGCTTCTTGTTGACATCCTTCTCGAAACCCAACGTCATCTCACAGCTTTTGGCTCAAGAATCAGTCTTGAGGAGGGGGAAAGAACGAACTTCCCGTACTGGTAAAAAAGGAAACAGTGTTCGATATGGCTAGTGTATTGGCCCCTCCTGAAGTGGATAGACTCGGCCATGGTTAACGGTGGTTTGGCAGCATGGAATCCCCCGCCATAGCTCACTCGAGGCGACCGGTGAAGCTCGCCAACAAGAGCTCCGCAGGATCGAGCAATATCGTGAATTAGAACATGCTGTTCGAAAAGAGGTAGATTGAAAACCATTCAGAGCTTGTGCATGAGGCGCAATCCACTAATCAAGCGGAGTAGATCGCCGCTTGTCAATATACGCCCCAGACTTTGCAAAGGCTATCCGAGCTGTTGAAAAAAAACCCCGAATATTACACCATGTGGAATTATCGGCGCCGAGTGCTTCAGCATGAATTTTCCCAAGCAGTCCCTGAGGGTTCAACAGAAGCCGACATGGACCGAATCAAGACTTTAATTCAAACAGACCTGCAATTTCTGATCCCGCTTTTGCGTAGCTTTCCCAAATGCTACTGGATCTGGAACTACCGTCTGTGGCTTCTGGACGAAGCCAAACGCCTTCTTCCCAGAACGATTGCCCGTAAAGTATGGCAGGAAGAGCTTGCCCTGGTAGGTAAGATGCTTAGTCTGGACAGCCGCAACTTTCATGGTTGGGGTTACCGGCGCTTTGTGGTAGAGACTTTGGAGACCCTTTCTGCGCAAGAAGATAACGAGAAGAATATGACCGAGGCGGAATTTGAATATGCAAAGAAGATGATCGGCACCAACCTCTCTAACTTTTCTGCCTGGCATTATCGAACTAAACTGATCCAGCGGTTACTTAGCGAGAAATCAGCGAGTGACGAAGAGCGAAAGCAGATTCTCGATGATGGTACGTAATGCCCCTCAATGCTGGCCTGGAAAAGTAAAGAAACGAAACAAGAAAATAAACCAGGAAGAAAACGCGAGCGCTGTTGACGAGCATTGTTTTTGACAGAGCTGGAACTTATCCATCGTGCCTTGTGTGACCCATATGACCAGTCATTATGGTTCTACCACCAGAACCTGATGTGTACCTTTGACCCCACCAAGGCAAGCCAGACAATGGCGCCAAATTTGACGAAAGTAGAACGGCTAGAATACGTTCGCCGGGAGATCGAGGAAATCCAGGAAATGCTGGATGGGGCGGAGGATTGCAAATACCTGTACCAAGCGCTTATAGATTGCACCCTGTTGGCTGCGAGGGTGGAAGGGTCACTACCAGATGGAGCTCAAAAGGCGCAAGTTTTAGAGTGGTTGTCTGAGTTGAAGAAGCTAGATCCTCTAAGATCGGGAAGGTGGCGAGAGTTGGAACAGGCGCTGTGCAGTTAGAAGTCCATCCCTTGCCTCGGGTGAGTGGATTTTGTATAGGTAAATTGAGATTTGGGAATTGGGGTACGGGGAAATCGCGATCCTTGTTCATGATAAGAGAATTTCTCATTTGTCTGTTCCAGCGAGGGAGGTAGAGGGAAAGGCTGGACCGAAGCACGCTTAGACCGAGAACAGGGATGTATAAACACTGGAGGCGGCGTGTTCCTGGCTAGTTCACTGCTGGGCCGTGGAGTACGTGCGGTTATGCGCTACCTCCCCATTCTCGACCAGGGATGCCGCAATGCAGTGAGGTGCCACGCAGGGCACCTCCTACTATAAGACCAGCCTGTGAATTGAGGCTAGCAATGAAATTGGCTGCATTGGTGAATCAGAGCCAGTAATGTGAAAAGAAGCACAGGAGGCCTCGGGATAGACGTGGTGCCAAGCTTTCCCCAGGCACTGCTAGAGTGCTAATAATAAGACAAACCGGCCTCAGGAGCACAGCTTAGTATTCTTCTTCTTTCCACCAACTCCCCTTCACTGTGCATTGCTCATTGCTCCAATTTTTGATTGTTTCACAATCCCTGTCTTTTACTTTGCCTTGAGCATTTCGACTCCGGTCTGGAATTCCATACCACCATCACTGTGTGATTCTCATTCCATCCGCCCCTCAAGCGCCTTCTTTCCCTCCCTAACCGTTTCTCGGCCCGTCCTCACAAACCCCCCCTGCCATGGAATAATTGTTTGCGAGAACGTTATCTGTCCTTATATCTTGCGCATAATATATTACCGAACCCAGTCCGAATTGAAATCGTGATTGTTTTCATCCCGTCATCCCCGACCCTGGTGGTCCACCCTCAACATGCCCTCCGAAGCAGATAACAGAGACTACGAAGGGGTACGTGAGAGACCCATGCCTCCCTGTTAATTTTGGTGTACCACCAGAGCGCTCACAAGTTTTGATCCGTCTAGGAATCGTGTCATGACTCGTCGGAGACCCCAAACTCGAATAGCAACCTTACGCTTTCGATCCCTCCGAGCGCTTCAACTCGGTCGTTGACAGATAGCCCCCCGAGCGGATCTGTTGCTACACCCCAATTCACCGATGCCCCTCAACTCCCACGGACGCCTGATGATGATACGAAGAACGAAGACGAAGCCCATGAGTCTGGCACAGATGGACAGTCTGAAGCCGAGGCAACCCCCCGCAGGCAAAAACCACACAAATCCCCCTTGTTGACGGCTCACCGGCTTTCCACCACATCTCTTGACGACGTGAACCTGGCCAACAATGTCAACCAGGATGGCCCCCTCGACAATTCCAAGGCGGGGCAGGAGGCCGAGATAGGCTCCCCTCCCGCGTTGCCCTCTAGAGACTCCACCTCAACACAGGGCTCTCTCCTTCAGGGCTTATCCGGCAGTCTTCCCTCCGTACCATGGGCTCCTCCTCCGCAAAACAAGAACCAGCCCGCGGCTGCACCTCCCCCACCTCCGGCTCGAAGAATCACGAGTCCGTTTGCTTGGCTTTCTCGAGCGTCAACAGGGAGCAAGGATGCTGCGGCCCCTTCACAATCCGGGCGACGAAACACTGGTGCTTCCATCTCTACCATTGGTAGCAATTCTGAAGTCGCTGGCCGACTGCAGGATGTGGAAGTGGATGGCTCGAGCGTAGGCTCCAAGAGACCACATCGAAATAGTTTGAAGGACCAGTTCAAAATGCTCCGAATGCGGGAGGAGGGTCATATTCCGGAAGGCGATGAAGCAAGCGTTGCATCGGGACGTGGAAGTATCAGCCATTCAGCCACAAGCCCACCTCCTAGTATCCCAGAGGAAGGGGAGAACGAAGCCACTGCTGCACCGCCAGCAGCTTCGCCTTCACCTCCACCATCGTCAACAGTCAACCCGAATTTGGCGCCGGGGACAGTTTCAGGATTTTCAACGTCTGCAAGTGATGCGGCCGCCCCCGTGGATTGGGAACTATGGGAGCAGCTGGTAAACAATGGCCCACAGGCCCTGAAGGGAACTAATTCGGAAGAGCTGAATGCTGCTATAAAACGGGGAATCCCGCAAACCATTCGAGGCGTTATTTGGCAAATCCTTGCGGATAGTAGAAGTCTAGATTTGGAAGAGGTCTACAGGGAACTTGTTGCCCGAGGCACAGACAAGGACAAGTCGCGAGCAAATGGCATGACTAACGGAAGCGTAGAGAAGGACTCGGTGGCCTCTTCGCGCTCGTCTGTCCGCTCAGAACGTTCTCACTCTGCTGCACCTTCGAACAAAAGTCCTTCTCCTAGCCCTTCCCAGGAGCTGGATCCCGAAAAGCTGGCAAAAGAGCAGGCCGTGAATGAAACGGCCAGGAAGAAGAAGGAAAAGGAGGATACAGCGGCACTCCAGAAACTTGAGAAGACCATTCGCCGGGATTTGGGCGCGCGTACGAGCTACTCTCGATACTTTGTCTCACAGGGTAACCAGGAGAGCCTGTTTGGGCTATGTAAGGCCTATGCTTTATATGACGAGGCCGTGGGTTACGCTCAAGGGATGAACTTCATTGTCATGCCGCTACTATTCAACGTAAGTATTTATACATCACGGTTTTCCATGATTTACTAGCACAGAGTGACTAATTTCGTGCTTGTAGATGGACGAAGCAGAGGCTTTCACCCTGATGGTGAAACTCATGAATCAATATGGTCTACGGGAAATGTTCATCCAGGACATGCCTGGTTTACATCGCAGCTTATTCATATTTGAGCGATTTCTTGAGGATCTCGAGCCCGCTCTTTATTGCCACCTACGACGACGAGGAGTCCATCCCCAATTGTACGCTACTCAGTGGTTCTTGACCCTTTTCGCTTACCGCTTCCCATTGCAACTCGTTCTTCGCATTTACGATCTCATCCTTGAGGAAGGATTGGAAACCACAATCCTAAAGTTTGCCCTTGCGATCATGCGGCGCAACGCAGACGCCCTTCTGGCTATGAAGGACATGGTACCATTGACAACGTTTTTGAAGGATCGGTTGTTTGATGTTTATATTGATAAACAACCTAGCCCATCATCTATTCTCGAATCAGGGTTTTTCGGGTCATCAGGCGCTTCCGACAAGGAAATTTACCGTGCTGATATTATGGTCCAAGATGCCTGTGACATCCCACTTGACTCGGTTGCAATCAGTGCATATACTGCTGAATGGGAAGAAAAGGAACGCTTAGAGAAAGATCGGGAAGCCGAATTGAGCCACCTGAAGTATACTGTGTCTACGCAGAGCGCTCGCATTCGTCTTCTAGAGGAGCAAACAGAAGCATCCGATAAGGAACACGTCCAGCTTGCCTCGGAAGTCATTCATCTGAAGGTTGAGAATGAGGAGCTCTCGGATTTGAATGACGCACTGAAGATGCAAGTCAAGGAGCTCAAAAATGTGGTAGATAAACAGCCTGCCGAGGTCGAACAGAAACTCCAAACCGAAATGGATCGCATCATGAAACGTAACCTCGAGGTGCAGAATGAGAACCGTGCCATGGTGGAACAGATGGCGGAAATGGAAAAGGAGCTTGTGACGGCCAAGCTCAGTCACGCCGAGGTAAGACCGCTACCATCATGCCGTGACTCCAGACGTATACTAATTAACATTCTTAGATCCACGAGCAATACGAGAACCAAAAGCAGAAGTGGAACGATCTTCGCAAGGCTCTGGACTAGTGATATGCAGGTTCTTTTACACACACAGTTCATCTGAACATTGAAAACCTCGCCGATTCATCCCTGGATACCAAACGGCGTCTCTGTTTCATCACTAATGTACATTCTCCTGGCTGATAGGGAAGATTGTCTATGGTACTCCTGGATGAGACCCTAGACGCTGACTGTATCATGTTCATGTTTTATATTCTATTTGACCGCGTATAAGGTAACGGCCTCGGTTAGACGACCAGCGTGTCATGAATGCTATGTATTTTTTCCACGTTCCTTTTCTCTTATCTTTCTCTATGTTTGGTTTTTATTGGGACCATACTCCGCCTTTTGCATACTTCGCTCTCTTAAAGAGACTGGGTAGCCAGAAGGAGCATGCAGCCACGGTCACTGTATATCACGAATAGAGCTTGCCATATGAAACCAATCAATAAGTCATTGACATGAAAAGCAAAAAAAAAGGAGCCCATTTCTACCAGAAATCCAAGACAAGCAATGTACGTCGTATATCATTCAAATCAAAGCACACTCTCAAAGAAGGTTGTCAGGACATCCTGTTTTGCGGGTCCCGCGATCGCCTTCAGTGCCTTGTGCGCTTCACATTCCGTATCATAGTACTTCATGTCCTCCATGGAAGCAAACGTCGTCTTCACGGAGAGATTGAATCCCTTGTTGCGTGGGTCCGGGAAAGACGGGCCTGCTGCTGCGGCGAGGATGTATGGTTTTCCGTCCTAGCGGTGCGCTGCGTTAACAATGCCCTTTGTATTAGGTTGGGTTGGGTTGGATTGAATAGGTAAGGTACCTTGACAGCGGTCTTTGCGAGGATCTTGTATTGCTCGAGAACGCGGTCCCGGGCAGCTTCGTCGGGGATGTTGAAGAGAGTGATTCGTTCGATGGGAGCCATTGTGCGGGGTGGCGGGGTGTATGGGATTTGGGATGTAGTGCGGGAAGAGAAGAGGCGGCCGGTGTGTTTAGAAAAGACTGTAGATTCTAAGTGAGGAATAGGGAAGAAGAATAAACTAGGTGACGAGGTGTATACGTACGTAGTAGTCTGGGTCGCTGGTAAATCCGACGGGGTATGAGCGGCTCTTTATAGCAGGACGATGAGTTTACCCGGTGGAAGAGCCCTGTGCGGGGTAAGGGGAATTTGGCTGACATATTATTAATTTCAATCCATATACTACTAGTGAGTTATCGAGGATCTTGTGCCTGGAGGCACTGCGAGTTCGTTTGTCCCGATTGCTGTCTGGAATTGTTCCGATACCCGTCGGCAACGGTTATCTGCGGATGTTTTGGAACCTTTGATTCTCTTTACAAATCGATTATTGTAAGCTACATAGGACATGGAACATAGTCCTGAGACTTGTCGTTAATGAGTATGCTATTTCTCTATTCATTAAGGTGCCTAGTCGATAGGCAGAGTATGTACAGTACTCAAGGCACTGCATTATGTTGCACGGTTGTCAGTGCGGAACGAATCCCAGCTGTCGGGATTATTCCGTTGCGGGCATGTATTTGGTCGGGCCGTGCGGAATCCCGACATTATTTGCTGATGGTACTTGGAGATACTCCGAGTAAATATCCCCAAGATACTGGATAATTAAACTTCTCTATAATATGTGTCTGCCATCGAGCAGCGGGTCTCCTGTATGTAGTATTCGCATGCGGCCCGAGTGATCACATCTCGCTTTAAAGTCCCCGTCCCATTTCGGCTGAACAAGATCTGGAGCACAAAGTGTTGAGTATTCCGGAAGCCTGGTGATCAGAGTCGGCTTTTTTCATGACACCGGTCACAGATGTCTCGTGGGTTTCTTTCCACGGGGTGCCTGTGAGTCGTTCCTTATCAATCCACGTCCCGGATCGCTTTGGGGCGCAGCTACCGCATATCCAACGGCATAGAGCGTCGTAAACATATTCGAGCCTTGCCGAACAGTTTTTGAGCGACAAGGTTTTCGAAGGAATTGTAGATACCCTCGACCTTGGCCGAATGAAGGGTAAAATGAGGAGCTCACTGGCCTTAATATCCAAATCGACCCCTGTGGGCTGGTTTGGCATTTAAGCGTCATTTACAGGCTCCGGTCGATTCTTAAACATGAGCTTGTACTTGACGACCTCAACAATCTCCAGCTGTTCCCCAGAATTATCTGAGCCCTCCGGTTGCCGTCGTTGGATAATTGCAAGGGGCTTTGGTAGCTTCTTCACCTCGCCCGTCATTCGCTGGTATCTTCCGACATAGAGATAAACTCTTTTCATCCACTTTGAGTCGTCCTTCGCGTTTTGCGGCGAGAAGTCCGGGAACATGAGCTTGCCAACTGGCGTTTCGTAAGTGAGCGACGGATCGTTTTTGCTGGGGAAATTGGAAGATTCATCCCCGAATTGTGAATCATCATGGTTAGGAAGATTGATGGTTCCCTGGAGCTCGAGGAGTGCGAGGCCGGACGGAGTTTGGAGGAGTTGAGGGAGAGAATTGCGAGTATCGTCGCGCGACACGGACGCGCGGGGATGGAGGGGAATCGAGGGCATCCTTTCAAAGTGTGAGGCGAAATTGTGGTGTCTGCTAAAGGCAGATCAGATAGGTTGCTGGGGTCGCCGTAGTTGGGATATATGAGTAAGGTTAGAGAGTTGCGATGTCTGGGATCGAGCAGTTGGGTCGAAAGACATCGGACTCGGAGTCGCGAAATCAATTCTTAGCGCGTCTCCACAGAAGTTAAGCTGGGGATCTCGGCGATCATACATAGATACGCGGACCGGAAAATATAAATACCAAGACAGCTTCATAATTTTTGTATATAAAATAGGTTAACAACTATGACGAGTCCCCAATTCCTTCAGTAATTCTGTTCTAAATTGCTATCTTCCTCACCCACAAAATACATCATAGCTGAGCCATTCTGAAAAACGAATTAAACGTGCAGGCTCAAAGTATGTGTAGCAGTCAGTCACTGGATCACTGTAAACCCGGAAACAGGACAATGTTGGCACATTGAAGCAATATATGGCACTTGAGCGCACTCCAGCATTATCGGGGTTGATATCAAACCAACCCGCCCGCTGTCTTCGAGCACGTTAGATAGCTTATGGCGTGAATTACTGCCCTTTCTTCGTCCTTTGCAATACATAGCGAACTGAACTGTATTCAGATTTTTGTGATGTGCTAGTATTTTTCATCTCCGCCTCTGAGATAGGTAGCGTTTCGCTTGCGTATAGGGGTCATTGTAAACCTTTCTCTTAACTAACAGCAGCAAGCCCTTACAATTTAGACGTCCCGATGACGATGGGAGGCATTAGTGTGTTTGGCGCTGGAACCTGGAGATGTTGATGTCGTGTCCATCGCATAGACTCGACAAATCCGACAACGATATTAACCCGTACTTGCATTTGACACGTGGCTGTGCCGTAGGGTATTAGGAGAACAGACTCGAGACTCAGGTCGAAAACTGGGGAGAACAATCGTGTCGATGAGAGCCCAAGACTGGTGAGCACTCGGGGAATAACATTCAAAATGCCGTAGGCGAAAGCTATCAGGTAGCACTCTTAGAGTAGCAGGCATCTTCAAGGTTATCGAGCCCGCGAATTGCCTCGCGGACCACATCCTCATCTGATGCTCCCACATTACTGTGCATCTTCCCATAACGCAAATCGCTCATTTCACCGACAGTAGAATTGAGGTCTGATAAGAGAGTGGTCGCCTCCGTGTCTACTCCAGCGATTTCACTCTCGATATTGGCGCAAGCCGACTCCATGGCAGACAGGAGACTTGACACCGAGTGATGATCGCCAGAAGAAGCGGATTCTGGGCCAAACAATTGGACATCCATATCCATTTCTCGTTGGTCGTCCATATTAGCGCCGTCAATGCCAGTTTTTGCCATAGCCTTCCGAAGTTCTGCCTTCTGGCCGCCCCCTTGACGGACTTCTTTATCAATGTTCTCACTGACTATGTCCATGTCTTGTTCACGAATCTGTTGCAATTCTCGGTAAAGCACCCGTATATAGGGGTGAGACCGAAGACGTTTTGGAAATAGCTCAGTGAACTGCTGTAAGGACATGATAGTCGGCAGAGAAGCTGCCGATAGCAGAAAATTACTGAGAATAGAAGATTCCGAGGGTGCCATGGCTCAGGTTTATGGGCTTTGGAAACTTCTGATAGGCCTTATCTCAGAAGATTTGCAAATAAACAATAGCAGGTGCAACACTTGTGAACAATGTGAAGCGCGTGGCTGGGAAACCAGGATGAGACCAACGATGATAACCTATGATAGGTAAAAGACCCAACACAAGTTAAGAGAGATTAGGGTATTGAGGGAGTCTAGCGCAGGATAATAATTGCAAGAGCTAATTGGCAAGAAGGGAGAACAGTGTTAAGTCGATGGTGTATGGAGGATGTTCGGGAGAGTCAGGCCGCTCTGCAAAGTTCGCGGTTTTCCTTTTTGGTGAGGCACGCGTAAAGTAGTTCTTCCGCCCTTCTGCTTCCTTTCACCCTCCTGCTCTCCCCAACACCCACTCTTCAACAACATAGCCCGTGGTTCTAATCTCATCGCCCCTATCTTGACTTGTCACTTGTGTCCTTTGTATCATACGATTGAGACTTTCTAGTCGGTTGTAAGTCTGCCTTCGAGTATTAGACCTAGAGAACCGGAGACTCAACTTTTCTTAGGACAAAGCTTCGTGCTTGATACCCTGGTCTTGCTGTCACTGTACCTCTCTATTTGACGAGTTGCCACGCGTGTCTTAAATCTTGTGTTTCCTGCTGTACCCGGTGTCTTGCTGGAGATCCGGACCAGGATCATATCTCCCCAAACTGGGCCATCAAGTGACCATCACCAACTGGAATTCAACAGCTGCGCTAACACCTGTCACGTCTCTGTGCTGCTGACTTTATATTCTCAATCTACGAGCCACTACGCACCCGAGTTTTGACTTCGGGCAAGAATCAGGCCCTCAATCGTCAACTATCTATTTGAGAGCACCTCGCCGCCAAAATGGCACCAGCAGGTCAAACCACTTACCAAAAAGACGAAAGGGTCCTCTGCTTTCATCACGAGATTCTGTACGAGGCAAAGATCCTCGAACTTCGACACACAGATCCGGATGACCGAAAAAGCCCATACGAGTATCTAGTCCATTATAAGGGCTGGAAAAACACGTACGTATCACTTATCTTCTTGAGAACCCTTTGCTTGTTGCTTTCGGGTTTATGTGCATTTGATTTGCGTTGCGATGTCTTGCCACAAGGGAGGGAGATTTGGGTTCCAACCCCCCCTGACTTTTCCCGCGTGGCAGCTCAGACCTTTGGGCGGGCAAAATAAGAGCGCGTTCGAATTGAATTTACAGTCCATATCTGATTTAACTTGAAACAGTTGGGACGATTGGGTACCTCAAGATCGCCTTCGTAAATTTACGGAGGAGAATAGAGAGTTGGCCACCACCCTTCGCCGGGAGGCTGAAGCTGCGCTTCGTCAGAAGAGCACGAAAACCTCCGTTAAGAAGAGGGGAGGATCCGACCGCGGTTCGGCTCGTGGAAGTGAAGAAAGGCAGACGTCCGTCCCAGGCCGAGGAACTAAGAGGGCGAGGGATAATGATGTTGAAAAGGTCTGTTTTCATCTTTCCCATAAGAGCCGCTAAATGAGGGGCCTTGAGGCCACCGCTATGCGCCAGCATGCCGTGCTCTACCAATCATGCTGACAATGCCTGTCTAGGAGGAGAACTTCTACACCCGACCATCTGTGAGAATTGTGATGCCAGACAATCTCAAGTCGCTCCTTGTCGATGACTGGGAAAATGTCACCAAAAACCAGCAAGTGGTGGCGTTGCCAGCTAAGAGCTCGGTCAATCAAATTCTAGATGACTATCTCAAGGAAGAGAAGCCGAAGCGCACTGGATCATCTGACTTTGATGTCTTGGAGGAAGTAATCATGGGCGTTCGCGATTATTTCGACAAGTCCCTAGATAAGATTCTTCTCTACAGATTCGAGCGTGAGCAATATCGTGTTCTCCGCAAGAGGTGGGAATCCGAGACCGCAGACAAAGGGCCCCTTGATATCTACGGTGCGGAACATTTAACGCGTCTTTTCGGTATGCCCTCCCATAAGCCACGCATTTATTCCAAGAGAAACATCCTAACTTGAGTTCTTAGCCACGATGCCCGAACTCATCGCGCAAACAAACATGGATCTCCAGTCTACTAACAGACTCCGCGAAGAGCTCTCAAAGTTCACAATTTGGCTCAGCAAAAATTCTAATAATTATTTCGCCACAAGGTACATGACTGCTAGCAACGAGTATGTCGAGAAATCTCGTGGAGTGCCGAATCCGACCCCTGGGACTGCCACCTCACGCCTGGTTTAAACGGACTATTATAAGCTAAACCGCGACGGGTCCAAGTATTTGAGGGTTGCCTTCGATTGCTCCTTTTGTTCTTTATTTCTTTTAGTGCGCATCATAATCGGCCCCCGAACAAATACGTGAGATGGACAGGATTCTTTTCTGCACGCATTACTGGGAGAACGGTTTCTTTCTGTACCAATATATTTATTTAGAGCGGCGAATTTAGGAAATGGGAGTGCGGCCAACCGTTTTTTTCGAAACTTTCTGATCTATCTAACCATGGGTGTTTTTTAAAGGTTTGAGAGAGCCGATGACAGAACAAAGAGGCCCTTTGAAAAGAAGCGAATATTCACATTTATAATTGAATCCCATCAAATTGAGATCACTAGGACATATACAGAGTAAACCTAACAACCTGTATCATCATCCTATCTCACAAACAACCAAATTGACGAGAATTAAAGGGGAGGCAATTGGTAGCAAGCAGCTTGAAGAGCATACAAGGTACTGCCCTACGCCACCAGATGCGTAGCATCATCAACCGCACACCGCGCAGCGCGCTTTAACTCCGGTTTCCAGTCAGTCTCGCGGTATCTTGTCCATGCGCTCAATCCCTCGGGAGGCTGGATGCTGAGCGTGTCATATCCCTGCTTTATGATACGGTGAACCTCGCGGGGGCTCAGATTCTTTTTCTGGGCAGCCGGGATTGGAGTCGGGGTTTGGCCTTGGGCGTCCACGCCGGGGTTGGCTGGAGCCGACTCTGCATTGGGGGCAGTGCCAGGGTTGAATAGGAGCGCATAGAAATGCGTGGAGACGGAAATGAGGGTTTCGACAGCGGCGACGTGGATATCCTTGTTTGAGTCGACGGGTTTGGAGAGCGTGGAGGAAGACGCAGCGGTCGAAGGTTTAAGAGAGTAAACGTCGCGGAATTTGGCGATGATAGGGCCTGTTTCGACGAGTTTGTAGAAGAGGTCGTCATAGGAAGCCGGGTCGGGAAGGAATGTGTCGCCTGCGGCGACGCAGAATGCGACGAGATCGACCAGGGAAGTCGTTAATGTGTTTATATGTGGGCTTGTGGTTAAGTCGGAGACGTATGTGGTAAGGAAGCGCATCAGGGAGAGCAGGGTACGCCAGAGTTCCGACCAGTGGTAATGGAGGCGAATTCTATTCATGGAGAGATAGGTGAGGATACGGAGGAGAATCGCAATTGTGTGGCTGGCAAAATACGTTAGGGAAATAATCTTCAGAGTAAAAAGATCGGAAAGAGTCATACCTATAGAGCTGGACATCAAGACGCCGTCGAAGGTTGTGGGAGATGGCATCAACGAGGATATCAAAAACAGCGGTTGCAAGCACTCTATCTCCGGTAACGAGGGGGAGATATGGCTGTCTTTGTCGACAGAGGCGGACTTTCCTTTTGCTCTCATCGCTGCAGAGTAGTTTGCAGGAAGTCGAGTCTTCTGAGAGAATTCGCAAAGTGAAAAGGCTGAGTTCAGCATAGTGTCCAACCCTCGGAGAGCGGTATGCGTGATGCAGAAGGTAAGAGGTCAGGGAAAGAAAGCTCGAGAAAGGGGACTCCTCAGTATCTTTTTCAGGAGCAGAATTGATCAAATGGTAGCCAAAAAGCTTATTTGCGTTAGTAAAATCATAGGTTGCTAGGAGAATGGCCGCTTGTTTTGCAGGCCTAGCTTCATTAGCGATGGACTCACGGAGCCGAAGGAATTGCAAAGGGGAACTTACAAGGCCGCAAACATTTCCTTTGCCTCTTCGGGCGAGGGAGGAGATGGCTTGTCCTTCTTACTCGGCGTCAATACACCTAATCCAAAATAGATCAACGTTCCCACCAGGGACCAGCCTTCGGGGGAATCGTCCTGTACTGCCACATATCCGTTTCTCAGGGCACCACATGAGATACCAACTCCTTTTACAATTTTCTGGATACTCGATTCGTTCACAAAGTCATCGAGCCGTAGTTGATATGGGTTTTGAAACTCGAATTTGTTGTAGTTGGCGAGCAGTCCTAGGAGGAGAAATGGCTCGAAAACTTGCATTGTCATTTCCGATTCATGCACAAGCTTTGAGGTTGTTCGGTTAGCCTTACACATGGTTGCGCCGGTTAGAGACTATAGAAATTGGGGTTCTAACCTTCATGATCGAAGGAAACAGATCTCGATGAGTGAAGTAAGTCACTAGGCTAGTCTTATACGCCCCACTCGTCATGGCGACGGCCGTTCGGATGGCCTTGAACCGGATGTCATCTGAGGAGGAATTAAGGCACTGCATGGTTACGGATAATTGTGATAGGATAACTTACTGTTACCGCCGCTGCGGATTATGCCATCCAAGACAGCGACAAAGTTGGATATGACTTGGTCAACTTTGTCGAGCCCGGCCAGAACAGTGATGACATCGGAGCTAGGATTTGTGTACTTCTTTTTCAAAATACAGGCCAAGAAGACCGTCAAGGTCTAAAATACAATTAGAAACTTGAATGCGATCATCTTCATGTTGGGTCACTTACCTCCAGGGCATACGAGTCCACAGGACTGGATCCAGACGCAGCTTCTCGAATCCCACGAGCAAAGAGTTGTTGGGTGTTGGACTGGAAGGTGGTCAGTGCTTTATATATTTAATGATAATGAAACGTCATAACAGTATCACGGACCTGGAGGCTGAGCGTCTCATCGGGACTAAGAGCCTCGAGGATGCCGTTCAGTTGAGCTCGATCAGGCGGCAACAAGAAGAATTCCCTCCAAAACCCTTCTGAGGGATCAACATAGTCAGAACTCTACACATGATTAGCATATATTCTTCTTTCTCTTTTAAAGATGGGCCGCGGCCGCAAAGGGTGGGGTACATGGAATAGGTTTTCATATAGTTGAACAATCTTAGGCTTGAAAGTTTCCGGTCTACTTTGCTGCGTTAAGGGGGATTCCATGGTGGTAGACATGGTCCACCGCCGGCATTGCAGGAATTGAACGAGAAGAAGAATGAAGAGAGACGGCAACGAAGGAATGAAAAAATATTATGACTTCCTCGACCCCATTGAATGAATTTGAGTTGTTTGCAGATAATAACCACCACATCGCTTGTCTCAGGAACGGCCACATGTGACATGCTCTGGACCCCAGCCTGACTTGTGGCTTGGATTCGAGCCACATCTTGGCACCTACTCTCAATGGGCTTAGTCATGATGAAAGTCACCTGATGTTGCCACTTCTTTTCTGCCTCAGGCAGGAAACGTATTATTAATGCCGGCGTTTGCGAAGACCACAAAGCTCTGCAAGAAGCTCAAAATAAAGATATTGATGCGGATAGGAAATTGGTTCGATCTAGCTTGAGGCTTCAGGTGCCATAATAATAATATTTGTTGTCATAAGATGAGTTGCAAGGGCAAGAAAAGTGGCGCCATACCTGACTGTGTAGAAACACCTTGATGGTGATTGGCGCACCCGGGTACTCTGCACGGGCGCGGTCCCCGTTTTAACCGATCCCGCCGCCGACAACTGCTGGGAGTTTTCCGCCTCCAAAATACATGACGAACTGTTCTCAAACTACCTTGCAGTTTCGCCCATCAATCTCTGACCCATATACCACATGAGCACTCGATAATTGCTCCTTTTTGCATAGAAATTATTCATCACCTCACTATTTCTTTGCTTTCCGCACATCATGTCGCTCTGCAGACCAACAATGAATTCGCCGGTGACATCATCCGCGTTTCTCCGTTGTGTGAAGCAGCCATCTAGCATACGCATGGCACCTAGGTACCGTCTGTTCTCATCATACGGGAATGCCTACCGGTCCTCAAAGCGTGATATGCAGACAGCCACGGCATACCGACCGCACACTCTACCTTCGACTTTCCCGATACCACCAAGCCCTGGTCCTAAGGATTCTTCTGTCGCTGCGGATTTCCTTTCTCCTCGCGAACCTGCTAAGCCTCAAGAAACACAAAGCGCCGAGCAAAAGACCGATGCTAGCAAAGACGAGGCTCAGAAATCGAAACCTGTTGAATCCACTCCCGCTACTTCCAAGACCCCTGAGAAACCCCGCAGAAAGCTACGTCCTCGCAAAGCAGCCATGAAATTGACGCCAATCGCAATCGAACAACTAAAGAGCATGTTGTCTCAGCCCGATCCAAAATTAATTCGAGTCGGTGTCAAGAACCGTGGCTGCTCTGGTCTGGCCTATCATCTGGAATACGTGGAGAAGCCGGGTACTTTTGACGAGGTTGTCGAGCAGGATGGCGTAAAGGTCCTCATTGATAGCAAGGCATTATTCAGCATAATTGGCAGTGAGATGGACTGGCAAGAGGATAAATTGAGTGCGAGATTTGTATTCCGCAATCCTAACATCAGTGAGTATCCTTGATTTGAGTCTATTTGATAGGATCACTAACGTAATATACAGAGGAGGAATGTGGCTGTGGCGAATCATTCATGGTTTGAAACTTCTATCCCTTCAAATTTTCGTCAGGACATGATTCTTTCGACAGTCGTGTTACTCGTTGGTGCATTGGATGGCGTTTCTGGATGGTGAACTTCTTTTAATGATTCCCGGGATATTCATCCCAACATCTGTATAACAAACACATAGAGCTATGCTGCCCTGGCGCCTGTGCTTCCAACGGCGTGCTCCCTTTCATTTGTCAAATATCTATCACTAAGCTTATCGCTATAGAACCGACATGAAAATTCTATTATACACTATATGATGATCGAAAATATTCAACCACCTTACAAATAAACCGTATATTGTTTGACGTGTTATAGTTATTGACTTTAGGATTCTGTTTCTCGGCGCTCTCGAATGAGATTGGCCGTAGTAGTGGAACTATAGGATGGACGGCTTGTATGGACAAAAGGGAGAAAAGGGCAGCAAAGAAGGCCACCTGGGAAAATGAGACACCGGTGCAGTAGACCATCATCGCAGGGAGATCATGAAAAAGGAAGACCCTAGTTTGAAACCTCTCATGCTGTAGAGTTCGTTGATTCCCAGGCTGGCTGGGACTGTTCTTTCACTGGACTGGATATCACGTGGCGCCATTGTAATTGTCAAGGCAACCTGACCGCATCCCATTATTCTCCCACCTTCGAATAGACATCACATCCGAAAAATGAAATCTCAGATATAATAAACCTTATGAACAGAGTTCAATGAGACATGGCAGCAGCACCAAACGGCTTATCTTCCGCCCCCCCGGCGTTGGAGGATGACACGCTCTTCCTCACAGTCCGTTTCTCCGCATCAATACCAGACCTGCGCCTTGACATCGATTACCCAGATACTACCACAGCCGCAGGGCTCAAACAGGCAATTCGCACTCGCCTTCCAACAAGTCTATCCTCCCATCGTCTCCGTCTGATCTACGCCGGTCGTGGTCTCGAAGACACAACCCCTCTCGCAGTCTCTCTCAAACTACCACCTCCACCAACCCGATTTACCAAGCCGGCATTGAACCCAGGCAATGATGCGAACTCAGAAAATACCGACCAAAAGCCCAGCACTGCTAAACGGGACAAAGGCAAAACACCCGTCCGCGAACCACCTCGTCTCTACGTCCACTGCTCCATCGGCGACATCACCTTAAGCGCTGTAGACCTCGCAGCCGAAGCCGCTGCTGTTTCGACGCTACAAAAGAATCACCAGGACTCGCAAGGGTCTGACAATGAGGGGACTACTGAGAAACCAGGCCCTGACCGACAACGCCATGGCCAACCCTCTTCTACGGTACCTGTACCCCGAGGCTTTGATAGGTTAGTCTCAGCTGGGTTCACGGCAGCCGAAGTCACGGCTCTCCGGTCCCAGTTTATGGCTATCCTGTCTGTCTCCAGGACACCGGACACGATGCCAAGTGGGGCGGAACTGCGTGAGCTTGAGGACCGATGGTTGGACGAGGGATCGTCTTCGATGGCGACAGGCGGCGCTATGGCGGGTGGAGAAGGGGTCGCTTTCGGCGACGATGATGGTGGCTTTGGGACAAGTTCGAGAGGTGCAATTGACGATATGCTTTGGGGCGCTGTGATGGGATTCTTTTGGCCTGTTGGTTGTGCAATGTGGTTGCGGAGGGAGGAAGGAGTTTGGAGTTGGCGGAAGGGATTGGCGGTCTTTGTGGGCGTGGTGGTCAATATTGCGTTTGGCGCAATGCGAATTATGAACTAACGTAGCCCGCTGTGTTGGTGGCTTCGATTACGGGAGCTTTTTTGAGTCTGTTACGTTTTCTATGATTGGATGATTGTTGGTCTATGATACCCCCCCTTTTTTTGTTACTTCTATCAACTTAGCGACGAGCAAATGGGATCGACAATTTATCAGTAGAACTTTGGTAATTAGTAGAGAGTATTATCATGGAAAGCTCGACAATGATGCTATCATACAACATTCCGCAGTTTGCGCGAGAGGAAACGACAGTAAAGTCAACATAATCGAATAAGATTCAACGCCCGCTAAAGTCAATGTCTAACTGAACTTGCTGTAGATAACAGCGAAAATCAAAAGAATCAGAACCGTGATTATGGCAATCGTGATTATCCGATTCGTAGCCATCCTGTACAAGTCGGAGACGTTAGTACCAAGCTTGGAGTCGAATAACAAAAATCAATGCAAGAACCAAGGGCGACAGTACCTACGGGCCATTCCTCTCAGAGTCTTGATACTTGTGTCTACATATCCCTCGCTCTCGTGCAACATTCCGCCTGTATGCTCGATAGTCTCTCGCTGCACACGCAAGTCAGCCAAAACGTTGGCACCAATACCTTCGGTCTCCAAAGCAATGCGCTGGCTATCTTGCAGTCTAGCAGAGCTTCGTTCTAAGCGGTCGGTCCCGGAAAGGAGTTGCTGTCTCTGCTCTAAATGCTCATCCTGTGGGTCATCGGTGTAACGATCGCCAAATAGCGCTTTTCGGTCATCGGAAAGTGATTTAAGTTTGCGTCTCGCCTCGTCGACATCAGTGGAATAGTTGCGGAAGCGAGTATTGACTTTCGACCGTGCTGCGCTGGGAATGTTCTGCTTCTCGAGACGGAGTTGATCCAACTGCGGGGGAGTTAGCTCACATGCAAACCTCAGTTGTATGACGCCGGGTTAGACAAAGAAAGCGTGTCCTACTAACCAACTCTGTTGCCTCTTCTAGCGCGGTCTCTGCTTGTCGGATAGTTGAGTTGCGTTGCTCGCCGCTCAGTTCCGCGATCTGGTCGAGTTTCTGGTTCAGATCAGCCTGGACGAGGTTCAGCTCCGTCTCATAACTGCTGAACATCTCAGAGCCAGCGTCCGTATCAAGAGGGTTCGACATTATGATGTGATGGACAGAAGTCTGTTATGGTTGTGGGGAGATTGAGGTTCTGGTGCTAGAGCTGGAGCTCAATCAATCCCGGGGGTGATAAGAAGGCGGAGGCTGGTAGCCGGTGCTGATAACTGGCGGCGTGTGGGACGGTGGGCACTCGAGCAAACAGCTCGGAAGCAAAGCACACGTAAGTGCGGGCGCTCGAAAGGAATGAAGAAGAGAATAGCGAAAATCAATCGAGATAGGCTGGGCGCGCCGACGATGATGATGGTTGAATCTGGCGGCCTACGGCTTGCATTCAAGGCCAGAGCCACGTGATTGTCCGCCGCCGACGCTTCTGTAAGATCCGCAAAGAGCTTCAACTTCATCCTTTAAACGCCATCACTCTAGCGCTGCTTATTCTGGTTCATTGCTTGGTTCACTCTTACATAAATTGTTTTGTGTGGGATTATCCATTATATGAGGCGACGAAAATGACTGGAGTAATGGAGGTCACCGGAGCCATGAGTCCTCATTAACCGCTCAACCCACACTGCCTCCAAAGGGATTTAGCCAAGCTGCAGGGTCTGGATGCTGTGACACATCTCCCCATACAACGCATGACATACCTCGACAATACCGGTCTCGGTGCGCAGGCCCTATACCCCGTAGTAGAATAGACCGATTTCGTCAGGCCTGTCCGTCATCTGATACGCTTAGTCTCTCGAAGGTTGCATACTCCTGCAGTCTGTGCAGCTAAGCCTGGCCCAATTGCCTCTGGTTTTGCGGGATTTCCTCGTCACTTCTTCTCGGTCTATTTCCTTTATTTCCCTCACCTCTTAGATACTAAGCTAGAGCCATTTCTTACATCTGTCCTCCTTGCGGAGATAGGTTGTTGGGGCTTTAACTTATGTGGAACGCCCCCGAAGCTGGCTTCTAGGGCTTCATATAGTTTGTTGTTCTTATTTGTCTTGCCATGTTCGACCAGTCTCTCTCATTTGGATAACCGACCTCATCGACACGATTATTACCGATGGCGACCACCAAGTCTCCGAAGGTTGCTATTGTAGGTGGTGGCCTCACGGGAGTCGCCTCCTTCTGGGCTCTACAAGGATCTTGTCTCGATGTCCATTTATTCGAAGCTTCGTCCGCACTTGGCGGACATATGAAGACCTTGCTGCTAGAGAACAGTGGCAATAAGATCCAAGTTGACATGGAGTTGCCGACATTCAACCCAAATGCTTGTCGTTAGTACCATTCTCAAGCGCTTCAATATTTTCAGGCTAACCCATGTCCAGCTAACCTCACCTCTCTACTTCGCTATCTGAGGATTCGTACAACTGCTGTTCCATTTTCCTTTGGCATCGTTGACGATACCTCTGTCTTCAAATGGCACCTCAGTATCCTGAAAAGCATTCTTTTTTGTCCTCGAATTCTATGCAAGCTGGAGACTTACCGGCTATTGCTAGACGTTCTCAGTCTTAGATTCCTGGGAGCTGATGTGCTGACCAAACCGGTTGTTGAGGGTGCAGATACGCAGGACTCGACTGAGAGCTATCTCCTAGACAATGGATATTCTGATGATTTTCGGGATAGGTATCTCACACCATTGCTTTCAACGCTGTGGAGAACCAATGTGGGGAGGTTTCTCTCACGGCTGCCCGTCAAGGCACTGATTCATTCTTTGAGCGACCATCAGCTCCTTTCCATGCGTGATACAATACCAAGATGGCGGCGTATCGATCCTGGGGTGAAATATCTCATTGAGGCAATGGCTAAGGACTTCCCCCTGGAAAAACTGCATTTTCAGACAAAAGTGAACGAGATTACGCGACGCTCTAAGTCACAGTATGATCTTGTGACGTCCAATGGGAAACATTCGCATTTCGATCATATCATACTCACAGTGGACGGGCAAGAAATTCTCCGATTACTGGGATCGACTGCAACTGCCGAAGAAAAGAATATTCTGCGGTGTCTAGGAGTGACTAGGAATATCGCAGTTATACATTCAGATGCCCATGTAAGCCAGTCTGCTGTTTTAAAGACCCCTTAATGCCCTAGAATGCCATCAAGTCCTCCACTACATTTTCCACTCCCGCTAAAATATGGGTCGGTTTATAGCCAACTACCTATGATGCTGCACCTGGCTATAATTTCATTATGGCATCACCAGACTATCAGCAACGGGGTTTCGTACCTCCCAAGTCTTGCTTGAGATACGACGTCAATGTACTACAAGACATTCCCGCTTCGCGTTTCGGCGATATATTCATTACTTTAAACTCCGTCTCACCACCTCACCCCAGCCTAGTTCAGGGAGTTTGGGAGTTTACTGAACCCGAACCTTCCGCAGCCTCACTTGACGCACAGTCGCGCCTTATTTCCATACAGAACACGCGAGGCCTAAATTACGGCTTTTACTGGACAGGCCGTGGGCTCTTGGAGGATGCGTTAACTTCTGGCTTGAAAATGGCTGTAGGCCTCGGAGCTACTGTCCCCTTCCATGCCGTCTTTCATCCGCAACCTTTAGACACGACGAAGTTCTTACATAGACACTCGGGACTTCGACACAACTTGGTCAAGACAGTCCTGCAGGCAATTCGCGCGCTAATCCTTGTAGTAGAGATCGTTTTGATATTACTAGGACGTATCCACACCCCTGGCAGAGCTAGAGCCCGTGTTATCCTCTCCAAAACAACTAGGGCTTGAATTCTGAATGCTCGTGACGGACATAGCAGACTTGGAATCATCTTTTTTAATAAGGGCAGTTACAAACATTAAACCTTGACATCAACATGATATTGTTTCTAAGAAAAAGCCGAAACTTCGCCTTTCCAGTAAAACCCAAACAGCCCATAAGACATTGTATACATATTACTCGGTTAATTCTTCATTTGTTTCTAGTCCACCCTTTGCGCCCCGTCGCCCTGCTTCTTTCCGATGGCAAGGTATACCCAAGCTCCCTTATCACAGGGTCGATGTGAATTAAAGAAACTTTTCGCTGTCCTGGCTCACGATCACTGCACTCCGCTTCGCGTCCAGGAAAAGGTCCTCGCATTCAGCCACATCCGCCTCCTCGATTCCTCCAGGTCGCCCATTAACTCGCGCAAGGATGCTGGCTGGCGTCAGGAGTTGTAGGGCATAACGTAGACTGACTTTGCTGCCGTGCTCGGCAACCTTCTCTAGAGCGGGATCGGTGATGTTGAGCCCTTCTGTCTTGGCACGGAGACGGATGATAGTCTTAATTTCGTCGGGGGAGTAAGGATGAGTGGGGATGATGAGTAGACGAGCGAGAAGATCGGGAGGGATACCGTGCGCAGCGGCAACGTCGTCAGTGCCGCGGATGACAGTGTGGCCGCGATTTGAGGCAAGGATGACGATGGGGGATATCGAGGATTCTAGGGCTCGGTTGAGATATGTGAAACATTCGATATCCAGCATGTGGACCTGTGACTTGTGTTAGGAAAATAGCGAAGCTGATAGAGGGAAACAATGCGACAAACGAACCTCATCAATAAATAGGACACCGGGAACCAGCTCTGCAACGCCCTGGTCGATGTAGCGGTTCACTACCTTGTTGATCTCCTGTCGCAGTTTGTCCGTAATTTCGGTCTTCTTTGGCTTCATGAGTTGTCCCATCATGCTCATGACATCTTGGCCTCCTTGGGGCCGAGCATTGGCGATGTCCAGATCATGCAGTGTCACATCTTGCACAATCTCCTTTTTCTTGTGAACCTCGCCCTTTGGCACCGGAACGTACTCCTCGGCTTCGAGGTCAAATTCAGTCGCATAGGCATCGGATCGACCTACTCGCTTGCAGGCCCCGGTGTTCGCTTCGATGTAGATGACGTCTCCAACAGTGACGCGCTCTTTTTGGATGGCTTCATAGATGCTTGGATCTAGGCGCAGCTTCTTGGTTCCCTTTGCGGATTTCAGGCCAATGATCAAATGACTGATTGTGCGACCATATCCTCCTAGTGGATTCTCTGCCTCCTGGGGTGTGAGTTCTGTAACTTCGCCTTCGTATACCTCCTTTGTTTCCCGCACACGGAGACCTACAAGAAATATGTTAGTTGCGGAAGCTAATCCACAATACTAATGAGAGTGATTCGTACCAATCGCTCTCCGGAAGTTCTCCATAAGGGCTTCAGTCTTCTTGACCTCAGCAGAGTAGATCTCACTGCCAACAATAGGGCAGAATGGAACCTTTGTCCCGAGCTCCTGAGACACAGAGAGCGCAAGAGCAGTCTTTCCAGTTCCTGGGCCACCCGCAAGAAGTACAGCCCGGCCAGCCATTTTCTTCGCCTTAATCAAGTCCACTACAACACCAGAAGCCTATTTCCGAAATTCAATTAGTTAAACCGTACATCTGTGCCGTTCGAAAAAGAGTTCAAAATGGCGTCAAGCAAAAGGGTTTGTAGTGTTGCACACCTCTCGAGCGGACGCCTGTCCAACCCAGCCATCACCGGAGGCCTCTGCAGTGCCATCCGGACGTAACCCTAGGCCCTTGATGTGTGTGTGGGCAGCTGTTCTGTTGTCGCGCGAATTGCCCTTGACTTCACTGATTTGAACCATGGCGAAGGAGGGATGCGGCCTCGATCAAAAGGACGCGGCAGGGACTAGTTGAGACAGATAACCAATTCTATAAGAACTCGTGCGAGCGATCAAGAAGAAGAAATTATTTAACTGCGGATAACGAGGAAATTGATGGTCGGCCAGCAGGTCTGGAATGCAGCTGTTGCGGAAATCCGTTCATTATTATGCCAAGGCGGTCAGCCCAACTCCAAATTCTTCCGACCAAATCGTCTCCAGCTTCATCCACGGCGGACTTCGACTCGCTTCAACTTCCCCTGTCGCGTTCCAGCGTTCCTGAGTGTCAATTCAGAAGCGGCTGGTAAAGTTGCCGATATATTCCAGAATGTCCCTTCCGCCCTCTTTCTCAGCGGCATTCCGAAGCCTGTCCCTGACAGCTTCAAAACGATCGTTCTCTACAACACGACCAACGCAGAAACTCCCAAAATTACCGGACTACATCCCACCTTATCCTTATAGCCCGAATTATACGTACCGGCAATCAAACACGGGCCTTTACGGAGGAACAACAATCCAATTCGGAAACAAGATCTCCCAGGGCCGGAACGAAGGGAAAACGCGACGGTTCTGGAAACCCAACGTTCGACGAAAGAAGATATGGAGTGATGCACTGGAGGACTTCCTTTTTATCAAGGTTACAAGAAAGGCTTTACGAACCATCCGGAAGGCAGGGGGCCTCGATAATTACTTATTGGACGACCGACCTGCGCGAATCAAGGAGCTGGGGGTCTTTGGATGGAAACTCCGATGGCAAGTGATGCAGACGGACAAGATTCAAGAACAGTTTCGAAAGGAAAGAAAGCGTTTAGGTCTGCCAGAGCCGCCGACATTTGAAGAGTGGGTAAAGCAGAAGGAAGGGGAAATCAAGACGCAAGTGGAGGAGCACACCAACATTGCAGAACTCACGAAGCCGACCTACAACGAAAAGAACTACTAGCGACAATTCACGAAGACAATATTCCCCGAGTGGCCGTTGGGTGTTTGTATTATATCATGATTGCTGGACATTGGTCCCGGAACTATGGGACTTTTAGAATCTGTCAGGCTTTTGCTCGATTCCTCATTAGCTTTTCCTCTTCTGGTGTATTTATACTCTATGAGATCATATTTTCTCTGCCAATACTCATAAATATTTACAATATCCACGTACGATTCCTTTTCCTAGTGGGCCGACTACCTGAAACATCGGCTGCTTTCCAGGCCTCGGTCCAACGATGATCCTGGGTGTCATTTTCCGCATCCGGTAGTACCATGTACAGTGGAAGTCCCGTCACATTCAAAACTCCAGTCTTCCTCAACTTCCTTAGAGACTAGGGGTACAGAATAATGAGATGATTAATTGAATACCCGATCACTATGCAATTTGCTGTGCCTCCGAAAAAGAGCTTTGCGGCTCCTCCCTACGCTCGTTCATCACCCATATCCTACCAGCGTCGCAAACAACTTAAAGCGGTTGCGATTCTGAGTGTCGCCCTCATCGCTGTATTCTTTCTCCTGTCGCAACTCTTCTATGCTAGCACAGGCACTGCTGCGGCTCCAATTGGGACAACGGACGTCGTTATTGTCACGGTGCTAGATCGAGCCTCATACAGCGACACTTATCTACAGAAGATCATCAAGAACAGAGAAGACTACGCAGAGCGACATGGTAAGTCTTATAGAGCTGCATCTCATGAAGTAATTTATCCTCAATGTATTAACGGACGAATCTTTCTCCACCTGCAGGCTATACAAACTTCTTCGCCAGCCTATCCGACTACGACCCATATATAGGACTTTCCCCGCGGAGCTGGGGGCTAGTCCCCGCAGTCCGACATGCAATGGCGACACATCCCTCATCAACCTACTTCTTCTACCTTGATACGCATGCACTATTTATGAACCCGGCCGAATCACTCGAAAACCGCCTATTGGGCAAGCACAGGCTCGAATCCTTAATGCGCCGGGACGTGCCCGTTGTACCACCAGATAGCGTTATCAAGACCTTTGCTCATCTCCGTCCCGAGGATATTGATCTCATGGTCACGAACGATGCAGAGGACTTGAACACGGGGAGCTTTGTGCTTCGACAAGGGGAATTTGCGCGCTTCTTCCTTGACACATGGTTTGACCCTCTGTACCGAAGCTATAACTTTGGAAAGGCCGAAACTCACAGCTTGGTATGAATGCAATCCGACACTATACTTTACCCTCCCCATTTCCCTCCCCTGGCCCTCGCGAGATTAACTAACCGTTCCTTGGTTTACCAGGAACATATTGTCCAATGGCATCCAACGGTTATGGCTCGATTGGCCTTAATCCCTCAGCGAGTCATCAATGCATATAGCAAGGACTCAGCTAGTGCCTCCGTTGACGGCACCTACAAGGATGGGGATTTGGTCATTCGATTCTTTGGATGTGACACTGATCCCAATCGAAATTGCGAGCGGGAGATGGATCCTTATTACAAATTGTGGGCGAAGAGGTTAGCGATTGAGTGACTGCACTTGAAGTTTTGGTGATGCTCTCTTATGGGTTCCTGCGCATAGAATGTCGACTTATCAGCATGCAGGCATGTTTGAACTCTTGTATCTCTCAAGCGTTGAACGTTTCTCATTCTCTTGCATAGACTGTTCTTAGTTCAATAATACTATTCATTAATAATTATTAGCAGGTCGCGTTCTGTTAACAATTGTAAAGCAATTTTACAATCAGTAGACCTCACTTGGGTGATACCCCTTTATTTAGTATGGTAGTAGAACATCCCCCCCATATATGCACCACGTGTGGCACATGCTCCTTACCACTCAGTATGAGGCAACGAGCGTATAACCTTGACACCCACCAGCCCCCTACTCCAGAGAACTCCACTCTCTCCATTGCCCGTTCTCTAAATCAAACCGGGGAGCATAACAAATCGCTTGCGCTTGTACTTATCGCCAAATTCCTTACGATAACGACGTTCCTTCTTCTGCGCCCAAACGGCCATTTGTGCCGATGCGACAACAATGAAGAACAGGACACTCCAGCTGAGGCCACTCGCTAAGTAGACGCCAACCCAAGAAACAGCCTCGAAAAAGTAGTTGGGGCAAGTAACAGTGCGGAATCCAAATCCGGACGGGATACCTCTTTCCGTAGTTCCAGGGCGGCGAAGGTCACGCAGCACCAAGTGGGCGTTGAAGTTTGCCAGCTCTCCAAATACGTAGAGGGCGATCCCAATGTACAGTAGGATTGGATTGACGTGCCCAGTCGCTGCATTTGAATCAGGCCGGAAAACCCAATAGGCAATGTTGCCACCGGCTAAGACCCAATAATGACCACTGTTCTTGAAAATATTGAAGGCGGGCATCGTGGCATTGCTGAAACGGTGGACAAAGATAGTTTCATACTCGCGCTTGAGAAAATGTAGAATGAGAAGGGCGCAGACAATAAGCTGAAAGTCGCTTGGCTCGGGGATGTTGTCGAAGTTATAGTACAAGTATGGTCGGAGCGGGAAAAGGAAAAGAGCTGGGATCAGAAGCGGGCCAAGGTATTCGATGATGAAGACGGTGCGCCAACTGATCTGGGGTCCTGGAAGGCGAAAAAAAAAAAAAAAAAAGAAAATAAGCAAAGCATTGCTAGCCTCAGGACTTAATTAGAACATACCCAGGTCCTTCACATGGAGGACAGTCTCCGCATTGAGACTATTCCCCTCAATCGTGCTATCCTTCGAGTTTGGAACCAAAGCCCGGTCTGCTGCTTTTGTGATTCTCAAACGATGAACAGAGTATCCTGAGGCTTCCGCCAGCTTGCTGTAAAGCTCCTGGGTCGATGCGCTCGGGGCAATTTGAACTTCCTTGGGGAGTTTCTTGATGGGTTTTCCTATGCTGCCGTATTAGTCTCGTTGGTGATCCAATTTAGGTACACGCAGACAAAGCTTACCCCGTGACTGAACAGTCACAGTCACTGTTGAAGGAGCCATTGGAAACGTTGTTACAATTGGAACACTCAAGAAAAATATCCCACTGTGAATACAGTTGACCAGGAACCAATTGTCCGGCGGCTCTGAAGACTTCGGAAGTTCAGGGCAAGAATGTCGGACAAGCTCCCCAACGAAATTGCCCTCAAAGCTAGCCTCGGTCGAGAATCACGTGATCCTACACTATCGCTGATCTATTCGTCCCCGCCGAAAGGAAGTATCCGTGAATTCAAAATGATCCGCATAAAAAAAGACTATATAATATTCGCCTGGCGAAATGAAATGCCAGTGGATTCTCGAAAATCATACCTCACCTCAAATCTCACATAAGAATACGCTAACTCACCATACTCAGCTTCCACTATCGCATTTGAGTCTAGTCACCAAACTACCAGGGCCATACACCGTACAACGGCATCTCCGAGCCAATGTTCAGCTGGACAGGAGTAAGGGCCCAGCCTGTCAGCTGTTCTCAGCTCGAGCAAGCCAGCCTCGTGTGAGAACTTGGAAATGGGGAATTACACCTGATAAATGGAATTGAACCAAAAAAAAATCAAAAAATCAAATCAAATACCGGAGTACCGTCTGGCAAAAATGGAATCACCCTTCGAAGAACAACGCATGAATCTAATCAGTTTACGTGTCGTTCGACAAAACATCAAGAATCATTTCCAGGATTCGAGAGCCCGAACAGCACATTTTCGTTGGCAATTTGGCATTATATTATCAATCCTGGACAGACGCCAGCTGCTGATCGCTTGGGCTTGCCGCAAATCAACGAGCGTTGCACCCGACGGTGGACCTCCTCAATCTTCTCCTCGGCATCTAACTAGGCTCTTTCGGCCTCTCTCCTCCATCCAATGATGTTCCACGGCAGCGCCATCGAATGCTTTCTCCGCTCAGCTTGAACATACCATTTCGTATTCAGCCTGGTCTGTGAAAGGCGACCACGGACGTCCAGTCCAAAGCGAGACTAATTTTACCAGATGACGACGAATTGTATGTTTCGAAATGTCAGCTCTTTAGGCCAGTGGGGCACCATGTTTTCCCAGCAAATAAGCAGCAATACGAAGGATCTCGCACCCATTATTTTTACCTTTTTCTTCCACTCATAGGGAGTAATTCGTCCCGTTCTTAAATCCCGCTGTCAAATTAACATGGTGGCTTGCATATCTCCAGGGTTTTAGCCGCATTGGTTCACGACCTCGCTCAAAGATACCATTCGGACTCCTGCTCCAAAAAGTCTTCGTATAAAACGCAGGCCTCTTCCATGATCTCCATTCTGAGGTTCTTCATCCCTGAATGAATGTAAGTTTGTTTTTATTAGACTTCCGGAACCGCCATACGCCTCGGTTGATCCTCATGTTCGTATTCTGTGCTTGAGCTGCTTCCTTAAATCTGGAAAACAACGCTGCTGGAGTTCAACTCTGCCGCTCATCAATAGCGTACGTGGCATTATTCTGTGAGTCTTGCCATCTTGAAGCGGGTTGTATATATTTCCATACCCAAGGCCTAGTATGTACAACGTGCATGAATGTGGCTAACTTCATGTGAGTAGGGTTGCTACTGGTTATATCCACTTCAATCCTATATATACTATCTATTAAGTACCCTGTCGGCAATGGGTGAAAGCAAAGATGCCACCGTTCCCAACAGCCTCGGAAACACCATCTCCCAAGTAGGAAGTGTTGTTTCCGCATCGTTGCGGCCTTTGCCCACGGAAACAGGTGATGGAACATATATTGCAGAATCTACACAAACAGGCTGGGTCAAGGACCTTGGCCATGTCGGCCTAAATGATGTCCAGACGCTTGCCGATGTAGTGAAGAGCGCGGCCACGGGAGAGCCTGTGGATGACAAGCAATACATCATGGAAAGGGTAATTCAGGTCAGTGCTTCTTCCGACCCCGTGGGGTTAAGGGCGATGGGGCTGATTGATATCTAGCTAGCCGCCGGCTTACCATCGACCTCCCGAAATGCTGCAGAATTGACCAAGTCATTCTTGAACATGCTGTGGAATGACTTGGAACACCCACCAATTTCGTAAGAAACTAGGTATTTATCATTTAATTCTGGAAATCTAACGTACAAACAGTTATCTTGGGTTTGATTCGATGTACCGCAAGGCTGACGGCTCCGGAAACGTAAACGACCCTTTTCCTGGTTCCCTCCGCCTGTATACTAATTTGAGCAATGATAGAATCACTTTTGGCCCCGTATTGGGGCTGCCGGAACCCCCTATGCAAGATCTGTCCGCCCAAAGACAATGCAATCCCCTGCCTTACCAGAGCCGGAAACTCTTTTCGATAGTTTGCTTCGTCGAGGGGAATATAAAGAGCACCCTAATAAGATATCGAGTGTTCTTTTCTATCTTGCTTCGATTATAATTCACGGTAAAGACATAGCCTAATGAGCCAGAAGAAAGACTAAGCCATTAACAAAATTTTCAGATCTATTCCAGACTGACCCAAATGATGACTCTGCGTCCCTGACGTCGTCCTACTTGGATCTCTCACCTTTGTATGGCAATAATCAGGGCGAGCAGGATCTTGTTCGTACGTTCAAGGACGGGAAGTTGAAGCCGGACTGTTTTTCCACCAGGCGCGCTTTGGGCTTCCCTCCTGGTGTTGGTGTCATTTTAATTATGTTCAACCGCTTCCATAATTATGTTGTTGGCCAATTGGCATCCATAAACGAAGGTGGCCGGTTCACCAAGCCTGACGAGTCCAATACCAAAGAGTACGCTAAATACGACAACAATCTCTTTCAGACGGGCCGACTAGTGACTTGCGGACTATACGCAAATATTATCTTGAAAGATTATGTTCGGACAATTCTGAACCTAAACCGGACAAACAGCACATGGAGCTTGGACCCGCGCATGGAGATGAAAGATGGTCTGTTGAGCGAAGCAGCAACAATGGCAACTGGGAACCAAGTGTCGGCCGAATTCAATGTTGTATATCGTTGGCATGCGTGCATTTCAAAGCGCGACGAGAAATGGACAGAAGACTTTCACCGTGAGATTATGCCCGAAGCTGACCCAAGCAACTTACCGCTAAAGGAGTTTGTGGCGGGCTTGGGCCGGTGGCAGGCAGCACTTCCACAGGAGCCGACGGAACGTCCATTCTCTGGCCTGCAGCGAAAATCCGACGGAAGGTTCGATGACGACGATCTGGTTGGAATTTTTGAGCAAAGTGTTGAGGATTGCGCAGGTGCATTTGGTGCGTCTCATGTTCCTGCAATATTTAAGAGCATCGAGGCTCTTGGTATACTGCAGGCTCGCAAATGGAACTTGGGAACCCTCAACGAGTTCCGCCAATACTTCAATTTGGCTCCTCATAAAACATTTGAGGATATCAACTCGGATCCGTACATTGCTGATCAGCTCAAACGACTGTACGACCACCCTGATCTCGTCGAAATATACCCAGGCGTGATTGTTGAAGACGCCAAAGAACCCATAATTCCTGGGAGTGGCCTTTGTACAAATTACACCATTTCTAGGGCTATTCTTTCCGACGCTGTCGCGTTAGTTCGTGGTGATCGCTTCTATACTGTTGATTACACTCCAAAGCACCTTACGAACTGGGCGTTCAGCGAAATTCAACCCAACAATTCCGTCGACCAAGGCCAAGTATTCCACAAGTTGGTACTCCGTGCTTTTCCTAACCATTTTACTGGAAATTCCATTTATGCTCATTTCCCACTGGTCATTCCCTCCGAGAATGAGAAAATCTTGAAAGAGCTCGGGAATGTCGGTCAATATAGCTGGAAAAAGCCAAGTTATAGCCCTCACCCAACTTTCATCAATTCTCATGCCGCTTGTATGTCCATTCTCAACAATCAGGAAACTTTCAAGGTCACTTGGGGCGAGAAGATTGAATTTCTGATGCAACACGACGAGCACCCCTACGGAATGGATTTCATGTTGTCCGGGGACAGGCCACCAAACGCCGCATCACGCAAAATGATGGGATCTGCTCTATATCGCGATAAATGGGACGAGGAAGTCAAAAGGTTCTACGAACAAATAACCCTGAAACTGCTGCACAAGAACTCCTACAAACTTGCCGGTGTGAACCAAGTTGACATTGTTCGAGATGTGGCCAATCTCGCGCAAGTTCACTTCTGTTCCAGCGTATTTTCGCTACCATTGAAAACGGATTCGAATCCCAGGGGAGTCTTTGCAGAATCGGAACTATACAAGATCATGGCTGTTGTTTTCACTGCCATTTTCTACGACGCAGACGTGGGAAAGTCATTCGAACTAAACCAGGCCGCCCGGGCTGTGACACAGCAGTTAGGTCAGCTAACTATGGCCAATGTCGAGATTGTGGGCAAAACCGGCTTCATAACTAGTCTAGTAAATCGACTACACCGCAGCGACGTTCTTAGCGAGTATGGTACTCACATGATCCAGCGTCTACTTGATAGTGGTCTCCCTGCGACGGAAATCGTATGGACTCATATTCTGCCCACCGCTGGTGGAATGGTAGCGAACCAAGCGCAGTTGTTCTCACAGTGTCTGGACTATTACCTTTCGGAAGAGGGATCCGTTCATCTTCCTGAGATTAATCGGTTGGCCAAGGAAAATACACCGGAGGCTGATGAGCTTCTTATGCGCTAGTAAGTACCTAATATTTTCTTACTTCCCTTTTGGGTCCATTGTTTGCATACTGATCAGCTTAGTTTCATGGAGGGTGCTCGGCTACGGTCATCAGTTGCTCTGCCACGCGTAGCTGCGAAACCCACAGTCATCGAAGATGATGGTAAAAAGCTTACCATCAAAACCGGTCAGGCTGTCATTTGTAATCTGGTAAGTGAAGAATTCACTTCCTTGATGTTGACACTGCTGGCTCCCGTCACTAACTATGTGCTAGGTTTCCGCATGCATGGACACTTCTGCCTTTCCGGATCCAGATACGGTGAAGCTTGACCGTGACATGGATCTATATGCGCATTTTGGCTTTGGAGCCCACAGGTGCCTGGGTGTAGACCTCTGCAAAACAGGATTGAGCACAATGCTGAAGGTCGTCGGGCGACTGGATAATCTTCGTCGTGCTCCTGGAGCTCAAGGACAGTTGAAGAAGCTTTCTGGGCCTGGTGGGATTGCGAAATATATGACAGGGGATCAAAGTGCCTTTTCACCGTTCCCCAGCACCATGAAGATCCAATGGGACGGTGAACTGCCTAGGCTAGAGGAAGACTAGGGAAACGATAATAGCGGTATATACATGGCTCAGGCGAGTCTATTTGGTTGTATTTTTTGTATTGTGGTTTATTTTGCTATGGCAGGAATGGATATCTAAATGTGATATATTTCCTTCGGTTGTGTTTTGCGGATGGCTCAATTTGGTAAATATATGTTGTACTAGACGCCCGATAAGGCTGAAACTTTCTACTCCACTATGGTGCTGCTATCCAAAGAAAGAAATCAACGACCCTTCTATCTATTCAATAGACCATCGACCTCATTCTTTTAACCAAGTAATTCTTATCTAGCTATAATGATTGTATGGGAGCTTGGCGTTTTTATCGTTGACAGGGCTGCTAAGATTAGATGAGGGGCTGGTCTTGGGTCACAAACGAGCATTAATCCGGAGTATGTACTCGAGAACCTGCTAACTTAGTTTCCTGCCAAACAAACAAGAAATCAAAGAAGAAAACCAAAAATTTCTACACCCTAGTCTTTCAAAGTGAGGTAGCAGGGCAGACCGCCCTACAAGTTAACTGCTCATCCAAAGCAAACGCTATGACCAGGCACGGTACCAACCGTTACTTTGTTTTACGCGTTTAGTGGCCGGTAGCTCAACCCCAATTGGTATTAGATACGGTAACTGGTAACGGACAGGAGCTTGGCTTCCCCCCATCAGCCATCAACATCATCATCAACCATCAATTCACGATCTTCCTCTTCCTTGCCTCACACATTCCCCCACACCCTCCCTTCATCGCTCATTTCAACATTTGACTCTTCTGTCCTTCACTCAGCAAACTATCTTAATCATACTACCTAGATTCTGCTTAGCTTTGCCTGTGTTGGCACTGCTGAGGGTTTACGACCTGCACCGTTTTCCCTGCCAGCGGCTTAACTACTTACTAACCAACCAAGACCTGCCCACCTTCACCTCCCCATCTCTCAAGCAAGAGACTCCGAATCCCCCCAACGCTCTACCAGGTTCACTCTAAAGACCACTTGTACATTCATCGACCGTCTTCTCAGAACAGCGTTGAAGCGAGCTGAACCAATCTTCACACTTGCCGCCCCATCTTGCTTTCCCCTTCTGGCGAGGAAAGTCTCCGAAGAGGAAGAAAAAAACGTCATAAAAGATTCTCTCACACCTCACCTCACATCCACATTTTCAACAACTTCTCTTTCGCCATCCACACTAGGAGAGTGTCTCCTGGATTTCCGAATTTTCCTAATGATTGTCTGATTTTCTAACCCTAGCCACCATGGGGAGAATTAAGAAGGTCGCCGGGCAAAAGCATGAGGCCACTCTTGTAAGTTCCACCCCGAAACGCTCCCCCATTTGCCATTTTTTTTCGCTGGAAGTTCGAATCGAACTGATTTTTCTTCTTCATAGTCTCCGTACCTTGCGGATTTTGTAGGCCGTGCAACAACTGTCCCCGTTCCCGAGCTTCCTTCTCACCTTCGCACATTTTCTCGCGTCTGGCCATTTCCCAGAGGTGACCTGTATCACTGGATCAATGTCTTGAATCGCTTTGACGAAATTCTGGCCTCTGCCATTGATAGATACGGCCTCGGAACCGGCCCTCAGACAACGCCCTTCAGCCGACAATTTATCACGCATTGCTACACCAGTGAAGACCCCAACCTAGGCTCGCGGGATATCGAGACTAAGCTTACCGCTCTGGAGTATGGTCCGGAGGGAGATAGGGAGCTACTGGAAGCCGTGCTTGACTTCTCTAGACTTCTTCTTGAGAAATGTGGCAATCGCAGCTTGTACAATAGCAGTGAACGACTGGGCGAGTTACTCAACACCACGTCGTTGACCCTTCTACAATCCACGCTTCGTTTATCACTTTCTTTGGCACAAAGGTACCACTCACGCCATCGCGGCGGCTCCCACCTTCAACAGAGCTTGTTGGCAACACATTACAACATCGACCTTGAAAAATTGCAAAAAATCGCAGCTCCTTTCGCTCGTCCGTCTGTTAATGGTCGACCAGCATCCTCGCCACAAGGCGTCAAAGCTAAGGAGAAGGTGCCTCAGACCAAGCAAAACGCCAATGAACTTACATCACTTACGCGAGAGGGCGATGGCTGGGAGGAATGGGGCCATGTGCATCTTCTTTATTATCCATCGGGTCCTGCTGAGCAAGTGAAATCGGGCACGGAGAGCGGGACCGCTAGCTCTCTTATCGTGCACGCTCCTTCTAGTCCTACTCCCTTCCATCGGAGCCATACGATTTCCACTCCACGAGCGGGTCGTATTCCTTCGACAGAGAACTCGCCCGCTTCTGTTGCTAACACACCTGCCGGCAAACAGGAGGAACCGTTACCGGGTGGAAAAACCCTGGATATCCCGGACACTACAATTTCGGCATCGTCAACTGAAGAGATCATTTCCCTATATGCCAAAGAAGTGCCGGATGATTCTAAATATGAATTGTTAAATAAAATCCGCGCGGCAAAGGGGTTGAGCGGTTCTCAGTCTACTAGAGAACGGATACTTGCCATAAGGATTCTCGCTATCACAAACCTTGCGTACATTTATCCAGAACCACTTTTCCAACAGAAGATTCTTCAATTCGACTTGGAGCACCCGAAGCGTCTTCAACTCGCATACCAATTAGGAGAGCTGGTTCATCTCGGAGCCAGTGGCGATCTTCCGGTTTCGAGGACAGTCCAAACATTTTCCATACAGGCTCTTGATGCGCTAGCAAAGCATAAAGCACGGGCGATTGACGTCTGTGGTGCCTTGAGTGTCAACGTGAATCATGGTGTTTTGATGTTCCTCACCCGAAAAGCTGTCAATGAACTGAGTGTGGAGGGCGACGAAAATGACGACAGCGGCCAAGACGAATGGCGGGATGCCCTACTCGCTTTACTGCGTACTCTTCCTGGGTCGAGCACTAGAACTCCTGAGACACTTGTAGCAGCTGGATTGATCCCTATGTTTGTGGATGTCCTGAATCTTCGCACCCACAAAGCTCGCCGTGTTTATTCCCGTGTCATGGAGTTTCTCGACAGTTTCGTGCTTGCGGTGCGCGATGCATTTGGAATACTGACCAACGCTAAGGGGTTTGATGCGCTTTCAGACTTGATTGATTATGAGACTAAGACGTCATTCGAGAATGTATCTCGGGGCGCGGGAATCCCAGACTATTATAAAACATCGTCAATCGATTATCAAATTCCGTATTTCCAACAACAGACCCTCCGTTGGTTGTTCCGGTTCGTCAATCATATAATGCAGCACAATGGGGGTGGATTTGACCGAGTACTTCGGAATTTGATTGACTCCCCCCAACTGCTGACTTCCCTGCGCCTCGTCATCGAGAATGCACCCATATTTGGCTCCCATGTGTGGAGTAACGCCGTGAATATCCTCAGCAGCTTTATCCATAATGAGCCCACTAGTTATCAAGTTATTGCGGAAGCGGGACTGAGCAAGAGCTTTCTAGAGGCCATTACTCTCTCAAAAGTTAAGGCTTCGGAAACCGCAGTCGAAGGTGCTAGCGAGTCGCCCTCTGCGGCTGAAACAGAAGGAGAGCCGACAAGTGCGCCAAACCTGACCACTGATCCCTCAAGTGGTCAGGGACAGAAACCAAGGGACTACACTACCGCCCGGCCAAAGGATGCTCGTTTAGCCCCTGGTATCATGCCTGCCACTGAGGCTCTCTCATGCATTCCTTCAGCATTTGGGGCAATTTGCTTAAACGCCTCTGGTTTGGAATTGTTTCAATCGTCTCACGCCTTGGAAAGCTTCTTTGAGATATTTGAAAATCCTGCACATGTGAAATGTCTCATCAAAGACGATACAAACCTAGTCCGATCTTTGGGTAGTACTTTCGATGAGTTAGTTCGTCATCATCCGGCTCTGAAGTCGTCAATCATGACCGCGGTCATGGTGATGGTAGCGCGCGTTGGATTCCTCTGTAGAACCAAGGCTTGGTCGTACGGCATGGGTGCAAAGCTATGGAAACAAGACTCTCAGGGGAAGCCGATACTGTCAGGTGAACCCTGGCAGTTACTTAAAGCAGTTGGTCTCGATGCTTCTGGGCATGACGCCTCTGGTGGCGATGATATTTACGGTGTTCCCACAATTAATGCAGACGCGACACTCCCCAATGGAGGAAGATTAAGTGTCGGAGATGTGACCGAACTTCTTCCGCCATTGTCCGCACAACTTGAGCCTAAGGACGAGGATAAGGATGAACTGACAACTACTGACTACTTATTCGCCGTCTTGCGGTTCCTCGGGGCGTTTTTCGAAAACCAGTCGAACTGCACTTACTTCATTGAGTCTGGTGGAGTTGAATTCATCCTGGATCTTGCTACCTTGCAGAGTCTTCCGTTTGATTTTCACAACACCGAAGCGAATCAAGAACTCACAGTGTTGGTCCATATGCTCGTTGAAACCAAGCCTCATCTTGTGATGCCATCGCTTCTCTGTCGAACTGAGCGGATAGTTGATATGCTGGCCGACTTCTGGAGGTCATCCGAAGAGCAAGGATTTTTCTCACCCCTAGTTCAACTAGAAAAGGAAGGACAACTGAAGACGGCTATTTCGGTCGACGAATCTTCCGTTGCCTCAAGCGATAATGGAACATTTTTCGCCAAGCACATGGTATCTGCACTTATACTTGTGGATCTCCTTCGTGAAGCATTCTCTGCGCCCCTATATCAGTCGAGGCCAAGTCAACAAACTTCTGTCTTTGCTCAAGTTAACCTAGCCGACCGGTATTGTGCCCTTGTGAAAAAGCTCGGCAGCCTGCACGCCGCCTGCGTTTGGGAAGAGATTTTACTTGAGAAAAACATTCCAGATACTTGGGACCAGGCAACAAAAGTCCAGCAACCACCATCCGACAGACCGGTCGATGGTTCAGGAGTTTTGCCGGGAGGCGTTTCCAATATCTTTTCGCCCGAGGCTCGTCAAGGCGGGCCAACTGGAAACAACTCTCCCAACCCTCAAACCCCTCAACAGCCCAATGACACCGCTGCAAAACCCACTGAGGGCGGCGTGGCGTTCAAGAATGTGCAGGCGCTTCGATATCTTTTAAGTTCTCTGCCTTCTTCAATAACAGGATATCTCCATAATATGGGGCTCTGTCTCATTGGGAAGAGGAGGATTGATGCGTATCAGAAACAGAACGCTATCATGGTGGCCGATGTTATCGCAGGAGCTGTACTTGAACAATTGCAGTTCAAACCCGCTAATTCTAGTGGCAACCCCAAGCTCCGATTCGCATATCTCATTGTCATTCTATCATCGTTCTCTCATCTGTTATTCGAGGGTAAGTTTTGCTTTCTACCACATCCCCGTAGTTCAAGAACTGACTCATTACTATAGCTGCACCAGACCGTCACCATTCTCATTATCTTACGCTCGTCTTATTCGCGTTCAAGAGAAATAACGGACTGAAGGTTCTAAAGGACGTTTGCGACCTCTTCGTCAATGAAGTCAAGGCACTTACACCTCGTACATCTGTACCCGACCCCGAAAATGATTTGTCTGCGAGGTTGACGTCCGCTTTCGGCGGAATCAAAATGATTTTGGGCTTTTTCGCCGAGCTTTCTTCCGGAAAGAGCATTGTGGACTCGAGTCAGACACAGGCCATGGCAAGTAATGACCGCGACCGAGGTCGGCCTGATTACTTCCAAGCTGGTCAGTTCTTGGTGGATCTTCGAATGGAGATTCTACCTATAGCACGCGATATGTGGAACTCAGACTTTGCGACCCAATCTACAAGCTCTGTCGTCAAATGCCTGGTTGATATTCTACGATCTTCCCTTGATGGTGAATACGAGACTTCAGCTGCTCGACAATCTGACGCAAAACCAGCATTGGTAGATGTGCAAAGAAAAGGAGTCACAATAAACAAAGATCGGGCCAATAATTTGCAGGAAAAAGGGTTCGACAGTCGTTTAGTTCAAGAAGCACTATATCGTTGCAACAACTCCGCTTCTGCAGCCGAAGAATATTGCAGAGCACGAAGCTACCTCCGAGCTCCTGACCTCATTCCGCCAGAACCCAGTGATATCGAAGCAGTTCGTTCAGCTGGCGAAGGACCCGAGGACTCAGCTGGGATAGAACCGCCGTCGTTCGACACTGGATCACTTTTTGATCGGCAATCACTTTCCATGTTCCTGGCACAGGCACAAGGACGGCCTGCGGACGATGGTAGCCTCCAGGATACAACTCCAGGCATGCCTGAAGAGATCACAAGAGCTTTGACTCATATCCTGAGCCAAGGATCTGGCGATGGTGACCGGGATGCTACCCCGGCCAACAATCAAGCGGAGCCTAGTAACGCTCGTGCAAGCAACTCTGCTGACCCATCTGAACAAAGCCCAGACCAACAAAATACAAGGCGACGCGAATTGACCACTGTTGAGGACCTAGATACTGAAAGGGAGAAGGTCCGGTCAAATCTGATTGAGCGATGCCTAGATGTATTGAACGAGCACTATGACGTATCTTTCGAATTGTCTGATCTGATCGCTTCCGCCATCAAGAAACATCGCGACCCAGAAAGTTTCAGAAGAGAAATTGGCGAACTTCTTGTTCAATCCTTGGTTTCTTTGCAAATGGAGGACTTCCAAGAATCTGGTAAGAAGGTCGCGGCCTATGCTCACCTTCTGGCATTGGTGGTTCAGGACAGGGATATGTACAACGCTACCTTGACCGAACTAAAAGAGTGTTTCACCACATTCCTTCAATTCATCGCGCTGCCATCGGAGAAAACGCGAGGCGAATCGTTCCCCTGGGTTGGACATGTATTGCTTGTCCTGGAAAAGCTACTGTCTGACGATGCTCAACCTCCTCAGATTCGCTGGACTTTGCCTGATAACACCGACCCCAGCCCAACTGATGAGGGCTCAGCCCAATTGGAGGAGCCCCTTGTATCCGGAGACGAGAAGATGCAATTATTTGAAGTTTTAGTCGAGATTCTTCCTAGAATAGGGGGGGACGATACTTTGGCACTCTCGGTTTGCCGGATACTGGCTATTCTCACTCGAAACCATAATATTGCTGTCCGACTAGGCGAGAAACAGAATTTGCAGCGCTTGTTTGTCATGGTCAAACAGCTGACAAGCTCCACAAACGAGAAACTTCAAGGTGCCTTTATGCTTATTCTGAGGCATATCATCGAGGACGATGATACGATTCGGCAAATTATGCGAAGTGAAATTGTTGCTAATTTCGAGTCAAAATCGACGCGGCCAATTGATACCACTGGTTACGTTAGACAAATGTATCATCTAGTGCTCAGGTCACCGGAAATATTTGTCGAAATATCAAACGAGAAGCTCAAACTACAGCGTTACGATACTCGGCAACGTCCTCAAATTTTGACGCTGAAGGCCGACAAAAAGACCGGAGCGGATGCTAAATCAGATCAAGATTCAGAAGGCCCACAAGATGCTGGAGAGAAAAAGCCTGACACTGTCCAAGGCGAGAAGGAGAAGGGAAAGACCGTGGAATTGAAAACCCCTGTTGTGGAGAAACCGGATGGAGTTATTCATTATCTCCTTTCTGAGCTCCTGTCGTATAAGGATGTCGACGACCAGGAATCGCCACCCAGCCTCAAGCAAGAAACTTCCGCACCTGAGCAATCGGAAGCACAGACTGACGTGGAAATGTCGACCGATGAACCTGCCCCTTCTGTCTCGAGCACCGAACCTCAGGGCTCGCGAAATCCCAAGAAGTCAGAGAAGCCGGCATTCCAAGCGGACGATCATCCAATCTACATTTATCGGTGCTTTTTGCTTCAATGTTTGACAGAATTGCTTTCGTCATACAATCAGACCAAAGTCGAATTTATCAACTTCTCTCGCAAAGCGGACCCATTAGCGACGACTCCGTCAAAGCCTCGCTCTGGTATTTTGAATTATCTTCTGAACGCTCTTGTGCCTATTGGCACTATGGATCATGATGAATCTGTTGCCTTTAAAAAACGCAGTAACACATCTGCTTGGACGATGCGTGTCCTGGTCGCATTATGCACAAAAACGGGAGAATTTGGTGGTAATGGAAGGCGACGAAATGATCAGAGTCTCAAAGAAGATGACGAGCCTGACCTGGCATTTGTGCGAAGATTTGTCCTAGAACACGCTCTTAAAGCGTACAAAGAGGCGAATTCTTCGAACGAAGCTTTGGACGTCAAGTATTCTCGACTCATGTCTCTTGCGGATTTGTTCGACAAAATGCTCAGCGGTTACGCTTTTGTCTCAGGTGACACTGCTTTCCCGTCTTCCACAAAACAGCTTGCCAAAACCATGTTTGAAAAGCACTTCATCGCCGCTCTTACTGCGTCCGTGGCTGAGATTGACTTGAATTTCCCGTCATCCAAGCGAGTTATCAAGTATATTCTTCGCCCTCTCAATAAACTTACTCAGACCGCTGTGATACTTAGCGAAAACTCAGATATATCCACCATTGGAGGCTCAGAAGATGACGAAATTTCTTCTGCCACTTCTGTTTCCGATATGGACGATGAACGTGAGGAAACTCCCGATCTTTTCCGCCACTCTACCTTGGGTATGTTGGAGCCTCGCCATGAAGAAGAAACTAGTTCCGAGGAGTCTGAAGAAGAAGAGGATGACGAAATGTATGACGATGAATACGGAGAAGAAATGGACTATGAGGAAGACATTGGAGAGGACGATGGCGAGGTGATCAGCGATGAGGAGGACGATATTGAAGGCGTTGGGCCCATTGAAGGTCTCCCCGGCGACTCTGGAATGGACATCGAGGTTGTTATAGATGACGAGGACGATGACGACGATGAAGACGACGATGACCATGATGAGGGTGATCATTCCGAAATGGACGATGAGATCCTTGCTGGCGAGATCACCGGAGATAGAGATAACGAGAGCTTTGATGAAGGTGATGAGGATGAATGGGAAAGCGAAGAGATGTCTGATGATGATGACGAAGCTGATATCATGAATCAGCTCGAGGACGAATTCGCGGACATTAGGCAGGCGGATCAAGGTCCTGAGGGGCAGCGCCTTGATGACATCTTCCGTGCCTTGAACGAAGCTGCAGGTGGCGTCGAAGACCTCCAAGCGGATAGCCTGGGAGACTTGCATGATGACATGGTCGATGACGACTTGAACGAAGATGATGGTTCGTATATGGTCCTTAACGCAGGTTTAGGTGGATTGCTGATGTAAACTATAGAAGACGAAGAGATTGATGAGCTGGAGGAGGAGCTTGAGGACGCTGACGAAGACCAAGGCTCTTACCATGGATTTGACGATGATGAAGACCTCGTCGATCCCTGGGGCTGGGATGGTGACGAGCCACCATTACCTCGTAGCCATCACCACCGCCGCTTCCGTGGCAATAACCCAGCGTGGGCTGCAGTTACGGGTATAATGCCCAGCCGCCATGGCATTGTTCCCATCCCATCGTACCGTTTACAGCGGTCCCAAGCCCCGCCCCGTGGAAACGATGATGGAACAAATCCTCTTCTAGTTCGAACTGATCGCGGTCCAGAAGCGGCAGGACAACGCCGTGGGGCTACTAACGAAGCCTTTACAGATTGGGTGCATGGCATGGAACCAGTATCGACAGGGCGCTTGCTTCCTATGGACAGTCCTGTTAGTTTCATGAATGCCATAATGCAAGCCATGGGTCAAAACAGTGGCCCTGGATTCGGGATCATCCATCGTCCTGATGGCATTCATGTTCATGTTGACAGGCACGCTATTCTACCGAGTCGCATTCAAGATATCTTCGGTCTGGGTAGACCTCAAGCACCACCCGCACGGACTCGAGATGACCCTTCTCAGGCAGTTAGTTTTGCTTTGGCAACAACTAGAAGTCGATGGCAAGAGGAAGCTCGCATCCTATTCAGTAGCACTTACCCTGAAAAGACTCAACGCGTTGTCAACTCACTCTTGAAAATTCTCGTGCCTCCAGCTCTCGAGGAGCAAAAACAACGGGAGAAGGAAATGGAAGAAGAAGCTAAACGAAGAGAGGAAGAACGCGCTGAACGCGAACGCGTCGCTAAGGAAGAGGAAGAAAAAGAGCGCAAGCGAAAGGAGGAGGAAGAAACTGCCCGCCAGCAACAGGAAAGGGAACAGCAAGCAGCCGAACGAGAGGCGTCGGGCACCGCCCCAGAAGCTATGGACGACGTTCAGCAAACCGAGGCTACCCCCGAGGCTACCCCCGAGGTCAGCACCACAGTGCAACCTGCCCAACCTGAACCAGGCCCAGCCGAACCAGCTCGCCGTGTTCATACAACTATAAGAGGTCGCCAGGTTGATATTACGGGGATGGAAATTGACCCGGAATATCTTGAGGCTTTGCCTGAGGATCTGCGGGAGGAAGTGATTATGCAACAACTAGCGGAGCAGCGCTCTCAGGCAGCCGCTGCTGGCGAAGAGCCAAGTGAAATCAATCCCGAATTCCTTGAGGCATTGCCTCCTGAGATTCGTGAAGAGCTACTCCAGCAGGAAGCAGCTGACCGTCGACGTCGCGAGCGTGAAAACGCTCGTAGGCAAGCAGGAGCTGGCCCCGCTGCCGCTGCCCCCGTCCATGCGGAGGAGATGGATCCAGCCAGCTTTCTGGCCACACTTGACCCGTCGTTACGTGAAGCTGTTCTCGCGGACCAGCCTGAAGAGATCCTCGCGACTCTTGGACCTGAATATGTTACAGAAGCGCGAGCTGTTTCAGGAGCGAGAGGGCGACTGGCACAATTTAGCGATATTCCCCGAATGGATCACCGCCACCACAGGACAGAACAAGTTGATGATCAAGAGCCCAAGAAACAGCAACGCCGCCAGATAGTGCAAATGCTGGACAAGGCCGGTGTTGCTACATTGCTTCGCTTGATGTTCATGCCTCTGCAAGGCAATGCGCGCCACCAACTAAATGACATCCTCCATAATGTCTGTGAGAACCGCCAGAACAGAATCGAAGTTATCAGTCTTCTGCTTTCCGTTTTACAGGATGGAAGCACCGACGTCTCTGCTATCGAACGTAGTTTTGCCCAACTTTCCCTACGTGCCAAATCTCCCGCCATCCAGAAAACTCCCCAGTCCGTCAAGCGAAGCCTCGGGCTCCAGTCCTCCAATGTCAGTAACGACGTCACTCCCATAATGGTCGTCCAGCAATGCTTAGGGACACTTTCATTTTTGTCTCAATACAACCCCCACATTGCGTGGTTCTTCCTCACAGAGCACGACCCCGCCTCTGCCCTAAAGTTGAAGGCATTCCGCAAAGGCAAGGGGAAGGAGAACAAAGCTAACAAATTTGCACTCAACGCTTTACTTTCGCTTCTGGATCGGAAACTGATTCTGGAAAGCCCCAACTGTATGGAGCAACTTTCAAGTCTATTGGCAAGCATTACTCAACCCCTTACTTTACTCCTTCGCCGCGAGAAAGAAAAACAAGTGGAGGAAGAAAAGACTAAACAGCCCGAGTCTACCGAATTTGAGCAGTCTGCGGAGCGTCAAGAGGGAACAGGCCCTAACGAGACCTCAGAAACCGCGAACGTTGTGGCAGACACAAATATGACCGATGCCCCTGCTGCTGAAGGCGGAAACTCGGAAGGCGTCACGGCACCAACGCAGACCCAAAATGAAACTTCCACAGATGTCAAGACAGAAACTAAAAAGGGTGAAGACGAGAAACATAAGAGAAGAACTATCGAGCCCCCAATTATTCCAGAGTTCAATTTGAAGCTGGTGGTTCATGTCCTCGCGGCTCGAGAATGTAATGGAAAGATTTTCCGAGATGCTCTTTCCACCATCAACAATCTTTCCGCCGTTCCTGGCGCTCGAGACACCATCGGGAACGAGCTTGTCAGCCAGGCACAAACTCTGAGCACCACTATCCTACTCGACCTGGATGAGCTGATATCCCACGTTCATGAAGCCCAAAATGGAACGGATATGCAAGGTCTAGCACTCGCGAAATTCTCCCCAGCCAGCTCTGATCAAGCTAAGCTACTTCGTGTTCTGACGGCGCTTGATTATCTATTTGATCCCAACCGCGCGGAAAAGTCCAAAGGAAATGAGCTTGAGGGCCCAGCTAGAGATGTCCTCCAGACGTTATACGAGAGTTCAACGTTTGGGCCGTTATGGACCAGGCTTAGTGAATGTTTGACCCTTATCCGTAAGAAGGAGAACATGATGAATGTGGCAACAATCCTTCTGCCTCTGGTCGAAGCTTTGATGGTTGTTTGCAAAAATACTACGCTCAAAGATACTTCTCTTGCCCGCAACAGCCGGGAACTGTCTGTGTCAAGCGGTTCGGGTGATTCAAACGTGAGCATGGAGAGCTTATTCTTCAAATTCACTGAGGAACACCGTAAGATTCTCAACGAATTAGTCCGACAGAACCCACGATTGATGAGTGGCACATTCTCTCTACTGGTCAAAAACCCTAAAGTACTAGAGTTTGACAACAAGCGCAACTACTTCACCCGCAGGGTACATTCACGGGGTGCTGAACCTCGCCATCCTCACCCGCCTCTTCAGCTTGCTGTGCGGAGAGACCAGGTCTTCTTGGACTCGTTCAGATCTCTGTATTTCAAGTCTGCGGATGAGCTCAAACACGGCAAATTGAATGTGCGTTTCCATGGTGAAGAGGGTGTCGATGCTGGCGGCGTGACGAGAGAATGGTTCCAGGTTCTCGCTCGCGGCATGTTCAACCCGGACTACGCGCTTTTCATTCCCGTTGCCGCCGACAGAACCACGTTCCACCCCAACCGCTTGAGTGCGATTAACCCTGAGCACCTCATGTTCTTCAAGTTCATCGGGCGGATCATCGGCAAGGCTCTATACGAGGGACGTGTACTTGACTGCCATTTCAGCCGAGCAGTCTATAAGTGCATCCTCGGCCGCAACGTGTCAATCAAGGACATGGAGACCCTTGATTTAGACTATTACAAATCTCTTCTTTGGATGTTAGAAAATGATATTACGGACATCATTACCGAGACATTCGCCTTGGAGACGGATGCCTTTGGTGAGAAACAGGTTATTGACCTCATTGAGAACGGACACAATATACCTGTGACACAGGAGAACAAGGAGGAGTATGTGCAAAAGGTTGTCGACTACCGACTGGTTGTGTCCGTTCAAGAACAGCTGGACAATTTCCTCAAAGGCTTCCATGAAATCATTCCCCCGGAGTTGATCTCCATTTTCAATGAACAAGAATTGGAGCTATTGATTTCTGGACTTCCCGAGGTTGAGGTTGATGATTGGAAGGCACACACTGAGTACCACAACTACTCGGCCTCGTCACCGCAGATTCAATGGTTCTGGCGAGCCGTACGCTCGTTCGACAAGGAAGAACGGGCGAAGTTGCTACAGTTCGTTACTGGTACTAGCAAAGTGCCCCTCAATGGCTTCAAGGAGTTGGAGGGAATGAACGGTGTGAGCCGATTCAACATCCATCGCGACTATGGAAACAAAGATCGCTTGCCAAGCTCGCATACATGCTTCAACCGTAAGTTTCCCCATCTCCACCAAACGGTTGGTGTCAGAGTAAGTGCTAATTATAATGAACAGAACTTGATCTTCCGGAGTACGATAGCTACGAGACCTTGCGGCAGCGACTACACACCGCAATCACTACTGGTAGTGAATATTTCGGGTTCGCATAGGCTGGTGGCTATTTGCTATTGTTTTTGCTGTGGTTTTCTTTTCTTCTTCTTTTTGTTAACTCTAATGCCCCACGCATTTGATGGCGTTTTGACACATGTGTTTTTTTTTTTTTCCTTTTTCTTCTATTATGTTTTCCATGTATCGATGTATGCAACCTGCTTATTGGCCATGACTAGAGGGAATGACTGGGATGCTCCCACGGGACCAGTCGAAGTGCAGGTCGGCTGGCCGGGGAGCCGGGCTCTAGATCGCTGTCCTCTTTCGTGTATTTCAGCTGCGTTGTTTTCTGGAATCAAAAGCGCAATATTCTATGATGTTACGAAAGTCCAGCTCTTCCGGGTCGTAGATTCTCTATTACTAACATCTTTATTAACTAAGGCTGCATAGTGTATGGGCCATGGATGCCATGGTGCCTTAGGGCGGCGAGCCGCGGCGTGAGTGGGGTCACGAGAATGCAGCAAAAAAAAAAAGTCAGGTGCCAACGGCGGGGAAATTCTTTGGTTTTTCGGAGACCATCAACCCTCTCCGCTCTCGACTCTCTGCTCTGCTCGTACTACATTGCCATGTTGAGTTCTTTTTAGTCGTTTCGATATCCAACGCCTCTTTCATACCCCTCATCTTTTTGCTTCGGCTTATTGCTCGCACTTTGGCTTTTCGCCCGCTCTTCTACATATAGTTACTATGGCGTCGAATTCTATCAAGCTCTTGACCGGCAACAGCCATCCGGAGCTGGCCAGTTTGGTTGCGGATAGGTGTGGTAACCTTCATATGTTGTAGATTATTCTGCTCTCAGAAATTTCTGACTGACTGAATCAATTGGTCGATAGGCTCGGAATTGAATTGACCAAGATTATGGTTCTACAGTACTCGAACCAGGAAACGAGCGTAACGATTGGGGAGAGTGTCCGAGATGAGGACGGTATGGGCCCCTTGCCGGCTGTCTCATAGCCCTCAGTTTTTTTTTGGGGGGCAATTGAAAGTTGACTGGCGTCTCTGTCCGTCGGTTCTAGTATTCATCTTGCAGTCAACCCGACCGAACGATATCAACGACGGGTTAATGGAGCTTCTTATCATGATCAATGCTTGCAAGACCGCTTCTGCACGACGCATCACTGCTGTTATTCCAAACTTCCCTTATGCTCGCCAGGACAAGAAAGACAAGAGTCGTGCGCCAATTACAGCCAAACTTATGGCAAACATGCTGCAGACAGCTGGCTGCAACCATGTTATCACCATGGATCTCCATGCTAGCCAGATCCAGGGCTTTTTCAACGTACCTGTTGACAACCTATATGCGGAGCCGAGCATGCTTAAATGGATTCGGGAGAACCTTGATGTGAGCAACTGTGTGATCGTGAGTCCCGATGCCGGCGGTGCCAAACGGTAAGTGGATAATGCCCTGCAGTTCTACGTTATACCCAAATGCCTTGTGTTCATTCTTTGGATTTTAGAGCGACTGCCATTGCCGACCGGTTGGATCTACAATTTGCCTTGATCCATAAGGAACGTCCACGTCCGAACGAAGTCTCACGCATGGTCCTTGTTGGTAGCGTGAAAGATAAGGTGGCTATTATCGTTGATGATATGGCCGATACATGCGGAACCCTTGTCAAGGCAGCCGATACAGTTATGCAGCACGGTGCTAGGGAAGTCAACGCAATCGTCGTACACGGTATTCTTTCCGGCAAAGCCATTGACAATGTGAACAACAGCTGCCTGAAGCGGATAGTTGTGACCAACACCGTCCCCCATCAAGAGAAGAAGGAAGTTTGCGACAAGATTGAGACCATAGATATCAGTCCGACACTTGCAGAGGCTTGCCGCCGCACGCACAACGGCGAGTCTGTGAGTTTCTTATTTTCTCACACGGTTGCCTAGGGTTCCCATTGTCTCTTTTCTCGGATTGTACAAGATCTTTGAGAGCCCCGCGGGAGATTGTCAATTACCTTTCGTTTGTCTACTCTTCCATACAACTGCAAGTAATGAAGCATGAACCAGAAACAAAACTTTAGAGGATTTATTCGATCAGATCGAAAAGTTGACGGCGCTATTGTTTTCCACTTTACCGACTAGGTTACGAGTTGATGCACCTGTGTATATACCTTATTGTGCTGACGGAGTTCTTTGTATATGTGTTCTTATTTTTGTCTTTTTTTGGCTTGTCACACCTAGAAACGTTCCAATACATGGTTAAATTAAACATTATCTATCCGTGGCCGCGTTAATGTTGCAATCTACTCCAATGGCTGGATCGATATGCCGGTTGTTATATCAATCCCATTTTATCGTCTGGGGGGCAGACATGATATATTGGTGTTGAGGAGACCTTACTTCTACTGGGTTAATAAATCAGAGATCCTTCAACGTAACGATTTGTAGGATTCGAGACGGGCTTTGACGCCCTTTCACGGTGCCTCCGATAGGCGAAAATATGGAGCCTTTCTATCGGCAGTCTCGTGGGATGATATCGACCGACAGGAGCCAGCGAGAGTGGGCCTTTAGACTCACAGAAACAAAGACCGCCAGAGCCAAAATATATATGCTGCACACTACAATAACGCGATCGATATTCAAGCTTGATAGGTCATGAAATAATACGTTTTGAGTTTTATTTTGTCCACAGTCCAGCATGAGGAAGAAAAAAGAAAAAGAGATCTATGAAAGATCGACACGGCTTGAGCACTCCTCACAGTCCCCCGAGGTCTCGTTCGTAGATTGAAGGCTCTTTTCCCTCCCAAAAAGAGCTTCCATAGCCAGCTTCATGTTACTACCCTGGCTTCTTTTTTTTACAAAAAAAAATAGTTGGGGAAGAGGCAGGTATTGACCGTCGTTGTCTTGAGATTTCTTTATCCTTTTTGCATTTCCTTTCCTTTCCCTAGCCATAACAGAGAGACGTACGTAACCCGACCATTAGAAACCCCTCGGAGAAAGAAAGAATTGAAACCAAAACACCCTTTACTTCCTCATGGAAGACGCCCGTCGCTTGCGGAGCTCGTCCTTCTTGGCCTTCTCCTCGTGGACACGGCTGGCGAGGAGCTTGGCGTAGTCGTTACTGTGTACGTGTTAGTAGATATCCTTTACATGGACTTTGAGGACGGGGAAAGCTTACGCGGCCTCGCGAGCAGACTCAGCACGGCGGCGCTTGAGAGCGATTCTGTGACGCTTGTGCTGGAGACGCTGGGGGGTGACCAGACGCTGGATCTTGGGGGCCTTGGTGTAGTCCTTCTTGCCCTCCTTGGTGACGGTGCGGCGGATGACGAACTTGCGGACGTCGTCCTGCTTGTCGAGACCGAAGAAGCTGCGGATCTTGGTGGCACGCTTGGGTCCGAGTCTCTTGGGGACAACGGTGTCGGTGAGACCGGGGACCTCACCCTCACCCTGCTTGATGATGCTGAGAGCAAGGACGGCAAGGTCGAGACCGGTGATGGCACCACGGACACTCTTGCGCTTGCGCTCACCAGTGCGGCGGGGGCGGTAGCAGCTGTGGCCGTCGGCGAGGAGGAGACGGGTACGGGTGGGGAGAAGAACTATAGGGAACGTGTGAGTTTTCTTTTCCTTTCCTTGTCGTGATAATAATATTTTCTGGGCGGCGATTCGTTACATACCACCCTGCTTCATGGGGAAACCTGTAAACCAAAAAGAACGTTAGCCATTTGAACTTGTTTTATCATTTCAACAATTCCCCCGCAAAAGCGTGTGTAAGATTCCGGTGACATATCCACCGTCCACGCCCGAGGTCCAAGTTGTAGGCGAATATCGAGAAAAAAAGTCCAGTCGTACCTTGCTTGTCGTTACCACCAGTGATCTTGAAGAGGTAACCCTTGAATTCGTCACCGAGAGAGTCGCCGGGGACCTATTAAACCAGAAAGACGTCGCAATCAGCCACTCCAATTCATATTGATTCATTGTGCGTATTTCTAATTTTCTTTTTTTTTTTTGCTTTGGCGTAGAGCGGATGTGTATCTCGGGGATAGATAGAGGGATTCGACTAACTTCGGTGCCCATGCGCTTCTCCATGAAAGGACGAAGCTTGCGCTCATCGTCGATTTCGACGATCTTCTGCGACCCATTGGCCGGGTAGGAAATGTTGAGCTTCATCTTGACGGTGATGCGCGGTCAAGACGGAGGGCGCGGATTGTCGACGGTCGAAGTGGTGCGTTCGGTCGTTCAAGCAAAAGACAAGTGTGGATTTTTGTGTCGATTGCCCTTTGGTGTAGCGAGAATTCGGTCTGTGGGTGGCTGACTCAGCGGCTAACCCAGGAGGGTTTAGGCGCCTCGGTAGGGCTCTTAGTCATTCAGCGCCTGGGGCATCAACGAACGGCCCCTGTCACCCTTAGGCATCAGCCTGAAACTAGCTGGATTTGATGTGAAGATCGTCAGTCCAGTGTCTCTCACGAGCTCCGTCTCATCCTTTGTACATAGGGCCTGGTTCTATATTGTCGCATCTGTATAGATTCTCCTCGTATTCGCCATAATTCTCCTTCTATTCATCGCGCAGCTAGTTACATATCGCTATCTGATACGTAGTCTAGTGACGCAATGCAGCCAATTTGGGCAGTCCGGCCGCTTAATTATTCTCTAGACTGAGCAAGCCCATGATGGCTTCCCAAGAACTTTGTCTCTCTCCTTTTCTTTCTCTTCTGTGCCTCTCCTGGGACATGTATATGCCCGCTCGCTCAGCCTCTAATTGTTTCGATTCCTTTACCCTTCGTTTCCGCCTGTTAGTCCTCAACTGCCCCTTCTACTGATCCACTCTTTTCTCTTCCCCCTTTGCTCAAACACCACTCGCTGTCGCTCACGCGACACTATAAGAATCCGGACCATCGCCGGTTCTCAGCCTATCATCGACTTTTCCTCCAGGAAACAATATCGCTGGATCAGCTGCCCACGTAATCCGGCTTGTTAACTTTTGGTCTGATATATTTGGGGTCTACAACAAAGAAAATCTCGCCGATCTCCGATTCTCTACTCGGCACCTAACCTGGTCCGCGCTCTCAGCCGTTTCTTTGTATACGCGCTTTGTCTCCTCAATACGCGCCCGAAAATGAGGCTTGCTAGCAAGTTTCACATCGTTTGCCTTTTCGCGGTGTTTAGTATTCTTCTTTCTTCTTTGTTTCTCGGCTCTCAGCGTTTCTACTACCGAAGGGTGGGCGCTGCGGACCAACCAATTGTGGATTTCCAAGCCGCAACCTCCTCAGACCATCGACTGGTTGTTTTTGGTGATACATGGAGCGACAACAATGCCAAAGAGGTCCAGGGTGGAAGGGTCTGGACTGACTGGCTGTGCTCTTCAGTGAGTCTTGACCGAAGTTGGGTATATCGGATGCCCCGGAAATAAGCTGACTGAGTGACATCCGTAGTTCTCGTGCCATTATGAGAATCTTGCTCAGACCGCCAAGTCTCTGAGGGGAGCCTACGTTGGCTCTGTCGTGGAAAATAAGGAGATCCCCGGCGCAGTGGGCAGCCTATACAAGTTCCCAGTTGCCGATTTCAAGTCGCAGGTCAAGCAGTGGCTGGCAGCCGAGGCAAAAGCTGTGGAGAGTCTAGACGAGAGTGCGATTCATGACCGTCACAATCGCACCATTTTGGTCGTTTCCTTTGGAGTCTGGGATCTGTGGAATATGATCGAACAGGACTACAAGACAGCAACCAAATCAGTTGATCACAGCGTCGAAATCATCATGGAACAGTTAGATATGCTGTCTGAGAACTGGAGCAGTGACGACCTCAAAATCATCTTGACATTGGTTCCGGATGTAACCTTCCTTCCAGCTTTCCGTCCGCTTGGGGATCAGCATGTTTCTCAACACAAGGAGACCGTTAAGCTCGTTGCGCATTGGAACAGTAAGCTAAAAAGCGCAGTGGAGAAATGGGGGAAAGGAACGATTTATCTGTTCGATACCGAGGCGTTCCTCGTTGATCTCATCCGGGACCGCCAGCTCTATTCGGTGGGTATTGAAGAATCCAATGGGCTGGGTAGGAACCAAGATCCTGGGTGGGAGAATGTTGAGGATGCATGCGTCGAAAGCAAGCAGCAATGGGTAGTTACATCAGAAACCAAACGATGCGAAAACCCGGATAAGTACCTATTTTGGTAAGACGAAGGCATTACCCCGTCTCATTTGAGGATCCCGACTGATGTCTGGTAGGAATGAGATGCACCTCGGTCCCTCTGCTCACCGACTCATGGGCACTGAGGTGTTTCGTGGTATTGAGGAGATGTGGCTTCGGTAACGCAGAATGTGGATCTCTTGAATGGACTCCCCAGTCCCAAGGTTGCTCTCCAGTCTTCAGAGGTACTGGGTATCTGCCTGAATCGACTGAACAGGAAAGGGCCGGCCCTGGAAAGGGGGTATGAGCTAGGGAGAATGGTCGTCCTCGCCAAACGACTCAAATGTGAGCGAACGGACAGCACGGAGAGCCGCATCTCTGGAAGGAATGGCTTAAGAAGCCGGTCTCAGTACTTTTGATTACTGAGCATTAATAGGTCTTAGACATGGTGTTCACCAAAACCTGGAAGTAGGCACTCCAGGATGATGGCCAGCAACAAGGATAAACGTGGGTTTGTGGCACGGTAGTATGCCAACGATAGAGCATTGAAGACTGTGGAGACCCAGTATCTAGGCACCGGGCAAGGTGTTAAGGGATGGCATTGTAACACGATGATGAAAGTAGCTGTGGGGTGGATCGGAATGAGAGAAAAGCCGGAAGGAATGCCACCAAGCTGCAAGTTCCAGAACACGAATTCCCAGTTTGGGGTAGCATCTGCTCGCACCGCCGAACAGAGTAAGGTGTAAGGTAGAGTTCCAGGTGGTGTCGAGATCTTGGAAAGCCGGGGCCCTCAGGAGACTCGGAAAGGCCAGCGGGAATCACAGTGACCGGTGGGGGCGGATCTGCCAGTTCTTTGTTCTCAATTTCTTTGCTTCTTTCTTTGTCTCTCGGAGATCTGTTGGCGACGGCGCGGATGTTGGTTGGCAGATGCATAATGGGCAGCATTCGGTCGCTTCAGGGAGGGCACTGACTGGAAGTCACACCAAAAATGAAGCTCTTCTGCCTCGTCGTGGTGGTGGAGCGCAGCCATTGGGCGGGTGGCCCCTGCAGTCACGCCGCATGCGGGAACCGCAGACAAAGAACAACAATAATGGCGATGACCCTGCGGTAAACCCTTCGGTCGACCCTCTTGGGCATTGCTACCTTACCAGATACTGACGACTCCATTGCCTGGCTCGCCTGCTCGAGGTTCCTGGCTAGATCCAGATACAATTCAAATGTTTCATTCGGCGTTTGGCGGCCTCATCACATCATGAATCACATCCCTGGTTATGTGGTGGTGGAATCCAACGAACAACCAACAGGCGCTGAGACAAAGAACCAACGATCCCCGTCAGCGCTGGCCTGCAAGTGGAGGGAGAACAGAAGGCTTGGTCTTTAACAGTCACTCGATCCCTAACAAAGGACTTGAAAGCCCAAACCCAAATCCCAGTCGGCAGTCTGTCCATCTCTCGCCAACTAACACGTTCAAAGAAAGACAAAAGGGAGATCGCGAATCGGATTAATCCTGCCTGGCTGTTTTATTATTTTTATCTCTATTATTATTGTAAGCCTCCAAGCGCGAGGCTGCGTCCATCGCCCAGGGGCCTTATACATATCCTATTTCTTTCTTTCTTTCTTTCCCTCTCCTCTCGTTGCTTGTTTCTTTCTTTCTCTCGCGTTTGCACCCGGCTTTCTTTCACCCCGTCGCTCTCTGTCTCGCCTCTGCCTCTTTCTTTGGACCCCGGGTATTAAATAAATGTCTTACGATCGAGTTCTCCCAAAACCTCCTGCCCTGCACTATGACTCTCCCCAGGCCTCTTTATCAAGACCGACCAGCAACCTTCTTGAACATAAGATAATGAGCGACGCTATAACCATGTCTGACAACCGAATGGATAAGGCCCCGTCCTATCGCTACTCCGAAAGCCTGCCTCAGGTCAACCTTCTGTCTCTCCATCGCTCTCGTCTTAGCGCGGACAAGACCCCGACTAGCCCCTCAGCTTCATCCACCCTGGAGGCTTCCAAGCCGACGTCAGGTCTGCCAACGAAGTCCCTTCCGATACGGGATCAGTCTTCAATATCCGAGCGTTCCTCATCTTCTAGCCCGGTCAAGTCGGCGGCTCCAGGACCAAGAGAGTCGGTCACTCAGTTCTGTCTCTGTCAACCAGACCCTAAAATCCCTCGGCCTCGCAATGGTAAGCCAATAGAAACAAGGATAGTACACACCCCTGCTAATCTGCAGTTATCTACAGCTTTCATTCTCTATCGCCAGCACTACCAGGGGGCAGTAGTAGCTCAGAACCCTGGCTTAGCTAACCCCGACATATCAAAAATCATCGGTGAGCAATGGAGAAAGCTTCCACAAGCGACTAAGGATGAGTGGAAAGCTCTGGCAGAGGTGAATAAGCCCCAGGACGAGGCAGCATTTCTTCTTCTCTTTTAACTTGAATACAGGAAGAAAAAGCTCGGCATCAGCAGCAGTACCCCGAGTATCGCTATCAGCCTCGGCGTTATGGCCGCGATGGGAATTCAAGGAGTTTGAGCTCGGGGCTCAGTCATAATCCTCCCGGCTCCACGATCTGTAACCGATGTGGGGGCAGGATCATGAACCCACCTGCTTCACCAGACAATGTCTTTGGTTCAACTTCCAGCAGTTCTGTGTCGAGTGGGAGAGCATCCCAAGGGGATGTGGGATCAGCTCGGAGCAGTTATAGTGCGGATCAAAGGGCCATGAAGCATGGGAGTCATGGAGAGCACCGCCTCTCCCGCTCACGCCAGTGGGAGGAAAACGAAGCTCGGTCCCCCGATTCAAAACGGCGCCGAACAAATCCCATGCTATTTAGGACGGACTTACATCGTGATAAGAGCCCTCCAGGGTCACCATACTCCATGCCAGCATACGGCAGCCGCACAGATAGCGTAAGTGCACGAGGGATGGGTCATGCAATGCAAGCACCACGGGATCTTCGCCCGGTGAAAGAGTATCCGCAGCCAGATCCCAGCCTGAAGCTTCCGCCATTGCAGACAGCCACCTCAATGGCAGGTTCAGCTACACCAGTCACTCCATTTTCAGCAGCAGATGGCTTCAATGTAGAAGCGGCGGTGATGAACATCCCGTTTCTCAATAAAATTAAACTCCTGGCAAAAATATCGCCTCAACTTCCTTTGTCATTCCGTGAAGGAGAGTCTCCTCGTCGTGGTCCCGTGATCGCTGTAGATGGGCGGGATTCAACGTTAGTGAAGACGGTAACGGAATACCTAAGCACCGCACTGCAAAAGGAAGGCAAGTTTCAGTCTCGTATCTTTGACGGTCCCGAGATTATCCAACAAAAACGAGAAGGTAGTGCGGAGCCCGAAGAGATGGGCGACAAGCAGGTTGAGTACTTCAACCGCATTTCCAAGTGGCACCAGATCTCGGATGAGATCAAAAACTTCGTCAAGTCGGAGCCATCGCGTCGCTCTGCAGAACCCGGCTCAGGGAACGAGGCTGGCGGCTCTCCCGGTGTCTCACCGCGAACCATTATTACCAAGACGACAGATATACAGATGAGTTCACCACCAGCGTCCAGCGAGAATGGGTCAGAGACTTCATCGTCTCCGCCAGGGACTGCTGTCCCTAGTTCTCTGCCTGTGGCTTTAGTCCCACGGTATCAACTTACGACGGCCGATGCATATGCATGCATGGTGCCCATTGCTGACTCCTATAACATCCCGGATCATTGGCAGTGGATGGCATCCCTATGGCGCGGCGCAGTTGGGCCTGATATCACAGTATACGTCAAGGATTGCGATGCGCAAGAGATGAAGCACGCCGGTAATCCTGTTGATATCCGCCTACAGGATGCGAAAACGGTTGTCGTTCGGAAACTTGCAAATTCTCCGAATGAGATCGAGGAGAAAGTCCTGAAGCGGCTAGGCTTCGAGATTGAAGACTACCTTACTCAATAGTCTCAGTAGCCTCTCTCCATGTGCTCCTTTTGCTTTAGTGTTTTTCTTTATCTTCTATTGTCAGTGTTACTGGGTTTAGCATTTACGCCGGGCTCACTACAAGGGTGCTTTGGGAGGTTATCTGATCATGATACATACTGTAGTTAACTACTCCGTACATGCGACGGATTGGAGGTTTTGGATTTTTCTTCTGAACTTGCGGAATTCTTGGCAAATATCTCGTTCTATAGTATAAGTGCTCTACTTGACTTGGATATTATAATATCTTAATCCCACCTATCAAGTCGTCACTGAATAACTTTTACATTTCGTACGATTTTTGCTCTGATGGTTACTGGTGCCTGAGGCTGCTGTACTTTTTTTCAATATAACTAAATTGAGTAAGGCGTGAAGCGGTCAGTGCTCACAGCCAATGATAACCGCCGACATGAACAGCCCCAGGAACAGGGCATCCATGGATATCAGCCGGAGCCTCAGTCGCAACTTCTCCTCTATCCATTCATTCCATCATCCTATAATGCAGTAATAAGAGCCTCCTGCGGCTCATATAAATATGATTTTGGGCTTTAATCATCAAGAGATATGTCTTGATTCTTTGTCCGTTGCCTCTGATGGGGTATCTCATCTCAAGGTGTGTTACTGCCCCCATCGACTGGGCATGACTGAGTCAGGCCTTCAGAAAATGCCCTTATATGGCCGTTCCAAAGATATAGGCTCACATTTCTAACACAGGGCAGAAACACAACACACCCTGGGGCCTCTCAAGGCCCCACTGTAATCATGGACTCTGCGCAACCGCTGAATCCCCCTTCTCTCCTCAACACCTCGGGGAGCAATACTAATCCAGCATCAAGTTCTGCATCATCCGTGGTCCTCAAGTCCTCGGTAAAAAACCCCAAGACCGAGATGGCCCTCTTACTTGAAAACCTGGACTCTTTCATTGCTGTTGGTGTTTTGGAGAAGCCGAGTGCAGATCTCGAGGGTATCAGCCCTGCCAATGGATTATTCCCTGGTGCGGAAATTGCCAACTTAGAGAAGCACAACTGGATAAGGACTACCACGCACGAGAAGCAAACCAGTAATGTTTCTTATGTCCGCGTTTATGTTCTGCCTGACGATGTTGGACGGAAGTTCATCCCGCGGTCTAACACCGGGCTGAGAAGAGCGCTCAAGATCGTGATGTCGAGGGTGGATCCTTCGCCTAAGGCTTGGGCCGGGGAAGAGATGTCGGATGAGAGGATAGTGAATTTTTCTCCCGTGAGCGCCGATGATGAGTCTCTGTGGTATATCTTCAATACTCTCCAGGACCCGAGCCCTGCCGTGGAGATGATGCGGAACCCTTATGCCAAACAAGCCATGCAGGATATGCTTTCCACCACTTCTCCCTATCAAAGTGAGGCTGAAGATGGAAAGACATTCACTGGTGTTTTGGGGCTCACGACTCCGCTGTATCCTTATCAGCGCCGTTCCGCGGCCACAATGATTCAGCGCGAAGTACAACCGCATCAAATGCTGGATCCACGACTACAGCCTTGTATGAGTCCGACAGGCCAGGAATACTACTATGACAGAGAAAGGGGGAGTATTGTACGGGAGAAGAAAATGTATTCGGAGGCCAGTGGAGGGATTTTGGCAGAGACTATGGGCTGCGGCAAAACTTTGATTTGTCTGGCTGTGATTTTGGCTACTCGTGGCCACTTCCCGCAAATCCCCCTTGAGTATCAGTCTATGCAAAACACAGAGAGGCCTCGAACAGGTAGCCTTGTTGAGATGGCGGCGGCAACTGCTGGTCGGTTGTCCGTGCCGTGGAAAGCTCATTTTGACCACTTGGCTAAGATGGGAGAGGTTTACGATAGGTGCATTAAAGCCTGCGAGGCCAACCGTGGCTCGTACGCTATTACTGCTCCGACAGGGAGATATACAGGCCGTACAACGGTCGAATACCCTCGTTTGGCTGAGCAGCGCATCCAACTTTGCTCTGGGACCTTAATCATCGTGCCTCCTAACCTCCTTGATCATTGGGTAAGCGAAATCGAGGTGCATACAGAGGGCCTGAAGGTTCTTAAATTGCAGAGCACTGCAGATGTGACTCCGTCGTCAGAAGACCTTTTCGCATACGATATTGTTCTCTTTTCGAAAACCAGATTCGAGAAAGAGGCAGATGACAAGAAAATTTCACCATTGACAAAACTGCATTGGTTGAGGATTATCGTCGATGAAGGACACAACGTGGCTGGCCACGGACAGAAAACGGTTATGACACATCTTCTTGATCAGATTCGTGTTGAGAGACGATGGGTCGTATCTGGGACTCCGTCCAGCGGGCTGTACGGAGTTGAAGTCAGCTTGGCCTCTCAGGAAACACACACAACCGACACTGATTTGACTGAGGCGACCACGGCCGTGCTCCGGGGGAGGAAGAAGACCGGGAAAGCTGTCGATAATGAGTTGAAAGACCTGGATAAGCTACGTCTGATAGTTGTCGAATTCTTGGGTCTCAAGCCCTGGTCCAACTCTAGGAACGACGATCCCGCCAATTGGACGACGTATATAAAACCCGTTGGGCCCGATGGAAAGCGACGAAAGGCTCCGTCTCTGCGAGCGACCTTACAAAGCCTAGTTGTTCGCCACCAGTTGGATGTAATCCACAATGAGATTCCCCTCCCGCGGCTGCACAACAAAGTGGTGCATCTAGAACCAACATTCTACGACAAGCTGAGTCTGAACTTGTTCATCTTCATCCTTGCCGTCAACGCAGTCACGTCAGAGAGACAGGACCAAGATTACATGTTTCATCCACGGAACCGCAAACATCTCAGTCGTGTTATTAGCAATTTGCGACAAGCCGGTTTTTGGTGGGCGGGCTCGGATTTTGAGTTGCAAGGGACCGTCGATGTCGCTGTCAAATACCTTGAGGACAACAGGGAGAAGATGAGCAAATACGATATTGCAGTTCTTAAGCAAGGAATTGGAATTGCCCAAACTGCACTCGACTCTGGTGGCTGGAATGGATTTAAGAAGATGCATGAGTTGGGAGTTTTTGTTTCCAATTTCCCATCAGAGGCACGGAATTTCTGGGCGTTAGATCCGGCTCAATCTCATCGGGAGCCTTTGCTGCTAGGAATATCTCAAGCGCGTTTGGCCCAACAGTTTGTCACAAAGCATTTAGAAGCTGGCGATCCGGCCGAGGGCTTAGCTGGTGCGGGTATCAAGATCCGTAGCGAGCTGTCCAACCGTGAGGGATTTGACACCTCAGCTACGCCCAAAAAGACTACCCCTGAAAGTCCAGTCAAGAGCAAGGCCAAGGATACCTTTCTGAAAGGATTTTACCAGGAACTGTCTCCGGAATCACCGCTCATCCGGACCAAGCTGATCGCTACAGCATCAGCTAAGTTAACCTACCTGCTAGACCAGGTTCAGGAACACCACAAGGAGGAAAAGATTATCATCTTCTACGACAACAACAACTCGGCGTACTGGATTGCTGAAGGCCTTGAACTCCTCGGAATTGATTTCCGTATCTACGCCAATACCTTGAAACCAGCGCTTCGTGAAGAATATCTTACCTTGTTCCGCGAGTCCGAACACGTCCGCGTGCTGCTAATGGATCTTCGTCAAGCCTCTCATGGTCTCCACATTGCACACGCATCGAGGGTCTACATAGTCAACCCTATTTGGCAGCCAAATATCGAGAGCCAAGCAATCAAACGTGCCCACCGCATTGGACAAACCCGTCCTGTATTCGTCGAGACTCTCGTCCTCCGAGGCACGCTGGAAGACAAGATTCTTCAACGCCGAAAGGCAATGTCCGACACGGAAATACAGAACGACCTATTAGACGACAGTACCATGAGTTCAATAATCCAAAACGAAAGCTTCATTCCCATGCCGTTCCATGAAGGCTTGGCATCTCTCGCATATCTTAGCCACCCTACAGGCCTTTTTGACAGGCACCGTCTCCCGATTCCTGATAATGCTGGAGCCAATACCGGAGCGGTGCCTGAGTACAAAATCCCCACAACGCCATCGAAACGAAGACGCAGTGTTAACCTAGGCTTTGACTTGGAGCCCGACCTTCTCTCGCCAAAGCGGCGACGAACTCCCCCGCGTTTGCAATTTCGCGATGCGAATGGGATAATCATGGATTCGCCGAGTCCACGACGGAGTGTCACTCCTACTCGCCACCTTGTTCAATTTACCACGACTTGAGTAGGAGCGTCGATCTGCCATACTAGTATTTGATGATGTTGCTTCCAGATTTTGTATACCCTTATGACCAATGAATGTAAACATTTCTTCTCAGTTCATTATACATTAAAATTCTTGCGTATGTGTGCAATAATCATAGTTTCCTTGGATTTGCGTCTTTCTGTCCCATAATAGAAGAACTGGCCAGATCCTAATCCAATATATGTATGGACCTGGACCTAGCTACCTAGTATAGTATCAACATTACCTCATCCGGTAAACCCGCTCACATCATACATCACATGATACCCCACCTCGAAGCTCAACAACCAACGTAATTCAACAGAATAAAAGACAAGCCTCAAATCCTCCAGGAGAAGAGACATAGAAATAGACAAGAAAAGGTCGCAAAAAACCATGCCAAAAACATCCATAATCGCCCTCTCAGGACCCTCCTCAAGCGGGAAAACTACCCTCGCCCGACTTCTCCAGCGCATCTTCTCCAACCATCCACAGCAGCATCTATCAACGTTTATAATCCACGAAGATGACTTTTACCATCCTGACGACAAGTAGATATCCCCTTTCTCCAGTGAAAAACCACAAAGAAAAAAGGGCAGCTGCTAAAAGGATATTCAGGATCCCTTACACAACAACACCCTCTGGCACCCCAATCCAAGACTGGGATTGCCTTGAGGCATTGGACATCAACTTCCTAACCTCGGCACTCCGTTACGTCCATGAACACGGGCATCTCCCACCCCGGCTACGCTCAAAGGAGGACCTAAATGATGTTACCCCTGGCTCGGGTGTTGAAGACGCGCTTGTTGAGGAATTGAGAGGGTATGTCTCTGAACGGGCCGGGAAGATTTTATCATCTTCGTCGTCGTCTCCCGTAACGCTAGCGATTCTGGAAGGGTTCCTCTTGTATGCGCCTCCGCGATCTGAGAATGGAGGAGAAGGGCATGGACTGCGCGGTGTACATGACCAGATCGATGTGCGGTTTTTCCTGCCCGCGCCGTATGATCTTGTTAAGGAGCGGAGGGAGAATAGGAGTGGGTATGTGACTATTGGGCCCGCGCCCGGACCGGACCTACCGCAGAGGTCATCGGCCTCGGTCTCGGATGATGGGAAAGGTGGTGAGGAGGTGGATTTAGAAAAGGAAGATGACCGGCCACCGCAGAATTTCTGGACCGACCCGCCAGGTTATGTGGATGATATTGTCTGGCCGCGTTATGTGAGGGATCATGCGTGGTTATTGCTTCCGGAGGAGGAGGCAGGATCGGAGCCTCTGTCTTCTACTGAGAATACAGACGATCTGGTTAAGAGGGTTGGCCGGGGCATCAACGTGAGGGCAGACGCTGGAGTCACTGTTGCTCCCGGCCAGGGTGCTCTCCCAATGGCAGATTTGCTGAAGTGGGCGGTTGAAAAAGTCTTGAATCATCTAGAAAAGAGCAACAGACTCGGTAACTAAATATACTCATAAATTTTTCTGGTGATTATTCATATACTCATACTAAGCCCCCACTTAATATGCCCAATACCTTTAATCTAAGAGAACAAATCACGGAATGAGCTTCCCATTTAAACAGGACCCGACCAACCAAGCCAATAATCAATCCTGTCCCTAAACGAAACCGGGGATTCCTCGTGCTCACGACCATCTGTGCCCGGCTCCATCCCAACATCCTCCTGGGGCTGTTCTTCGTTGCCCACTGACTCCTTCTCTTCCACATCCAGGCTGACGATTGTATATCCGTTCAACACCCCCAAAATTCCCATACCAGTGTTAGACGAGACTTGGTCATTAACGTTTTCCTGACCTTTCTCGCACAGCTTCTCCGATGGAGACCACACTACCTGACTTCTTTGTCCCGGGGTTTGTACGGGAGCTTGCGTTAGCGGAGATAAATTCTGTCCGAGATTACGAGAATTCGAAGGCATACTAAAAGCAATCCGTAGAAAAGCAAGGCACAATACACCGACCAAAGCTTGGTTCAAAAGGCTGATCGGGTTCTGATAGTAACGTGCAAGCCGTGACTGAACTACCCGTTCAATATGGGATAGAAATGACTGCCCTGCGTTTTGCTGGAAAGGCGTCTCTTTCGGTTCATCGTTTGCTCTTTTGTGCATTATCTCAATTTGCTTATAGCTTTGAGTGAATTCACTGCTACTGTCAAAGTCGACTTCTGTAGTCTCGGCTCCAGAGAACAGATATGATGGATCAGTTAACACCTCCAGTAACGAATACCGCAAGGATTCTTGCCGACGCTCGTAAGACTTGTATGATGCTGGGTATATGCGTGGAACCCAATATGCTGCTCTTTGTCCGGGAAACTCCATTTCCCATTTCACATAAAAAGTGTTCATGCTCGTAGGTGAGCAGGTAACCTGGATACGCGAGACTCCCATGGGGGTGTTATCGTTGGCCTCAATGAGAATCTTCTTCGTTGCGTGTTTCTGGGAAGTCACGTCACATTTGAAGCAGCCATCTGGGCCTCCATCCACATAAAGGAAGATGGTGCACCTGTTGCTCCAAAAGCAGCGGTTATATAGCGCTATGGAGCACATGGCATGGAACCTCATCTGAATGGCCGACTTGTCACTCCCGTCACTAGTGTTCGACGTTTTGACTATACTGTGGGAAACGATCTCTTGGTCGACGGTGAAGTCAGCAATATTGCCGCAATATTCCCTGTCACATCGACGAAGGGGGAGCACAAGGCTCCCGGAGTTAGTAAACTCGGCAACAAGACAATTTTCCACAAACGTTGCTCTGTTAACATTCGTAGTCCGAATCTCTAGGCCTTGGTTATCGGGCATGAGGAACAGGAGAACTCCAATCCTACCGGGTCCCGTCTTTGGAATCCCAGGAATTTCGAAATCGTTCCACCCTTTAATACTCTGAAGCGTCACATAGATGGCTATAGTTATGCTAACCTTGAATGTGGCTGGGCATACTCTTTCGGAATTTTTGAGGAATACGAGTCCATCGGTTTCTTCCACCTCTGGCTGGTCTGATGGCCCTGTTCGTTCACCATGGCAGTTGGCCTCTCTCAAGTTCCCTGGTAAGTAATATGACATCGCTTCATCATCCATACCACTGGACTCTATGTTCCTCTCCTCGGGTTCCGTTCCTAGGTCCCTAGATGTGACAGACGACAATGGCCGGCCATCAAGGCTGTCTGTCTCGGTCGTCCCGTCACTGGGTAGTCGAAAGCGGACTCGAGCTTCCTTGATCGGCTTTATTTGAGCAGTACTAGCCGCTGTCGCAGAGCTCTCAGAGACATTCTCTTTTATGAAACGGGACTCTACCGCGGTATCAGCGGGACTCGTTGACGCCGAATTATCTGAATATCCTGCTGAACTCGGTCTAGAGATGACGCTGGGCATTTGAATCTGCTTAGCTTTGAAAGCGGACTGTCCAAACACTCCTACACTTTGTGTGGCTGACGCTCCCTTGCCGGGTGATCTAGGCGGACTCCTGGGGTTAACGTTTTCATTGGGCGCAATTAGACTGGGACTGGGTAATTTGGTTGGCCTTAACTTCCTTGGGCTTCTAGGGCATGCGATTTCTCTTCGGTTAATGGAATCTGAATTAGGCTTTTCTGTGTTTTGATCTCCTGTCCCAGTTGGCGCAACCGGATTCAATTGGCGAGCCTTGCGGTTTGTCCCATCCGTTAATGATCCACCACGTTCACAATCCCCATCAGATCCGGAATCGGGAAAGTCGGCATCAGTAGCGCTCCTCTTTCGCGATCTAATCAGCCTCTCATTCTCTGACTTGGGGGAGCGCGGGGGTCTCATAGATGACACTGAGGATACAGGGCTGGCCAGTGCGGGTTCAGTGTTGTGGGTTTTCAAAGTGCAGTGAGTGCTTTGGCTAGCCGCTGGTGCCTCTTCGTTCTCCTGTGATGTCAGTCTAGTGTCAGGCATACGGGTCTCATCGAGCATGTTTTCATCGCAAGGATTCGACCTAGCATCACGGCTGCGGTTGTGTGCAAGAGGGGAGAAACCGAATAAAGGGCTCCGGGGAGCGCCAAATTCCTCATTATCCGGGTGGTATTCTGTCTCTGAGATGCGTTCCAAAAACTTTTCATCAAGGAATATGCCCGGACCTCGTACGTTTAGTAGCTGTAATTGCGTATTGGGAACACATTTGACCTATTGGATCCAAACCACCTATGAGCATAACATGTGGAAAGGCGGGGAATCAGTTGGCAATTACCTCGAGGGAAATCTTGACATTTACGAACTCGTCGTACTCTCCACTCCATGTGCAACGAATCTCCAGATCACCGTACTCGGGCTCTGGGGCGGAAGCGTAGCTGCGATTCCTCTGGTATGTGGTCATGGTATGCTGTTGTATCGACGCTCTGATGAAAGGTGGAAGGGTCGCTTAAAAGCAGAAAATCCGACAGGATGGAAGAGAGTCAGATGAAAAAGATGTAGGCTCTTGTCTGAGGAGGTTGGAAGAAAGCAATGAATTATGAGAGCCGGTGGTGTTAATCGCTCAAAAGAGAAGGGACAATCAACACCTGCGGCACTGGCAACATCACCCCAACAATCACTTCAAGCACCACCCGGCCGCACCTCTATACACAGCACATAGCAGGCTCGAGCCTTGATTATTTAATTAACGAGTGCCTCCGCCTCAAGTCTTATCATGGTCAGCAAGAAAACCAGTCCATTGCTTGTCTAACAGTAACTCGCACCGTAGCAATAAGGATATGTACAAGGAATTGAAGCATTCATTACCTTTTCCCATAGAACCCACAGTAAAACAGACGCAAACCATATAGTAGAAACAGCCATCCAGTCCTGTTGAATGCACGGTTACCCTTTTGATTCCCGCTGGCGCCGTGTATCCCCGTAAAAACACATCTGATACCGTAGAAAAAATATAACCATGACACCCATCCAGCAGTCTATGGAAATCACAAGAGAAATAACAACGTAGAGACCAGCTGGTCGCATAAGCAATAAAAAGATAATGTGTAGAAATGAAAAATAGTAAATCAACCTCAAGCTTTGGGCTCTCACCGAGGAGTTCCGTTTGCGGAACCTGGGTGTTCGAACCCGGTGTGGCCTGGCGCGACGCCATATCGATCAGCTTCACTCCCTGCAAGTGGCTGTGAAGGAAGTATTGGCGTTGCTTGCGGTGACTGCTCAAAATAACCTCGCGCTGCTGTTCCGTTCGTGCCTTGGGGATAATTGCGGCTCTGTTGCAAGGGTGGGAGCACTGCAGAACTAGCTGAGTACTGCGGCCGGGGATAACCCTGTTGCATCATCGCTCGAGCCGAATCTGGAGTCTGTTCAAAAATATAGGGCCAGTCAGCGCCTTCCACCAAATGAGCGGTCAGAGAAGAGTTCATACAGGTGTACCGGGCTGGTTCACCATCCCGAGCGACTGCATTGTGGCCTGCTGACTCGAACGACTTTGGGCGGCAGGATCTTGCATCTGGGGTACCTGGGTAGACGGCGGAATCCCATACGGCATCTGAACGAGAGTAAGTACATTGCTGCGACTGGTCCTGGCCCCAGAGTTGTCCTCTCTATTGGGACCGTGGAAATCTTTATCGGGATATGACTCAGGAATTTCGGGCTAACGAACCGTGTAGTCAACTCCAGGGTGTCCCGAGGGGTATCCCATCATGGGGTTTGGATATCCCCCGGATTGCCCATACAAGGCCGCCGTCTGGGGGTATGCTTCCATCTGGCGCATCCGTCCATCCGTATCATACATGCCTCTGCCATAATCGACAGATGTTCTCTGACGCTTTACAGGCGCATAGTACGGGTATTCTCTATTTGCGGTCTGGTAAGTGGGCGCCGGATATGTGCTTCCAGGAATCTGCATGGATGAACGTTCCGTAGGAGAACGCGGGGGAAGAGCTTGAGGGAACTCTTCTGGTCGTGGTGCTGATCTCTTTCTATAGAAATTTGTCAGTCCCAAACTGCGGCCTATGAAACTGTAGCCAACTTTCACTTCTTTACTCACATTAGTGTCCTGGGTTCCTTTCGAATCCGAAGTTTCACCCCCTGATCCGCAAAAGACCTGGAAAGGAAGGTTGATTCAGCCATCCCCGGGAAACTTTTCGGCGGCGAGACTTCACTTCCGTCAGCACCAGTAGCAAGTGGGCGTGATCTCGATTCAAGTAACTCACCAGTAAACCGATCTGAGAGAATGGACTTCAAACACACAACTTCCGTCCTAAGCACCGCAAAATTCACAGTTAGCGCATAGCTCCAACTTCGTCTCCCGACCAAGAACCGGCCAAGGTGCAGGTAGACTCACTTTCGCATTTCGAATAGTGTGAATTTCAACCGAAATTCTCCCTCGATCTTAATAGACAGGTCGCCCCATACAAAGAAACCACCATCTGGAACGCAAGTCAGCCCAGTACCACTCTCCAACCATGGAGTTGGTCCTTTACCTGTGTTGTCTACATCCTTCAGCCGATGCAACGACGAAACCAAAGTTCCGGTCAATGCAGTAGACGGCGAAATGGGAGATGGGGGGTCATCTTGAGCATCGTAGAGACTGCAGCTCATAAAAAAATAAGGACTCTGCAGATAATGTCTAGCAGCGCGATTCGGTCAGCAAAAAAAGAGGAATTGCCAGCAGCCAGCAAACGGGATCTTGCCACTTACTGAGCTAGATAAGTCCCTTCTTCCCTCACCCTAATTTGCACAATCGGTGGTGGATCAACCGGCTTGCGCTCTGCTCCGGACGTTGGTATTAGCTCTCGGAGGCCCTTTTGGATGCGCAAAGCGACCTCCAGAACGATCTCACTCACCTTTCTCCTTCCCGCCGGCCACGCGCGCCCGATTAGGGTGCTGGCGGACGATCAAGTCGAAGTCATCACTACAGAACCCTATGGTTAGCATTTGCAAGCTTGCGAATTTCGAGCGAGAGCTGAGACGGACTCAGCTCCCCAGGAAAAAGCTGGAGACGCACCTCTGAGAAGGGCGGGGAAGGGAGGGATCAGGATAGTTCGCCGCACTCATCAAGGCGAGCTCTGTGAGATAAGACTGGCGAAAGAGCCAAAGGATCCGAATAACGGGATATCCGTCAGGAAGAGAACCGTGAACCAGAAGTGAGTTGAACCGGGGCACCCTTCGGAGAGGTAGGTAGTAGGAATAAAAGAAAGAAGTATCGGCGCAGAATGGCAGAAGAGTGGGAGAGTAAGAAATGAATCGGATCGCTGGGACCCAGAAGAATAGCTCAGTGGTTTAGCTCTCGGAAATGATACTGTGGTGGGGAGGGGAATTTGGAGGGGAGAATTAAAGATGGCACAACGGTAGTATGATTGACGGACCAAGGCCAGCCCAGGCGGAACCCAACTGCTACAGTGGAGCAGAGATAAAAATTGCAAGGAGCCGAGTTGCAACGTCCGGGACGAAGCAGCGTTGCGAAGGTTCGATGCGAGTGTCGAAGTAGGCAGCTGGCGTACCGCAAGCGGTGGTTGATGGTGTCGTCAGGACGCAAGCGGCAGTCGCGGTGGTAGTCGCAGTGCAGCACTGACAACCAGAGTCCAGAGCGAGTCACCACAGCTCCGGTTCCAGACAAACTTAAACCGCCGGGGTGAAATTCGTTTTCACCACCAAATTTAAAAAGCTCAGCTTCGAGGTGCTCGCGCTTCTCGTCGTCGCCCTGGCTTTGATTTTCCTGTTCTTCCCTTTTTCGGCTTCCGTCTGGCTTAATTTTCTTCCCCCTCGTGATTAAGTAACTTTTTGTTCTTTGTTTCTCAACCTAGGAACCTTTTTTCTCAGGCTCCCTCGTAGCTTGCGATTTTCTTCCGCGGCCTGGGAGAAGATTCAAAATTCGCCAACTGGAGGTTCCCCGACCGTGCATCCAATCGCAATGCAATTCTGGCGTCGGGAAAAAGGCTAGAAATGAGGGAAGGAACCACACTTCCAATGTCGGGCAAGAGTTTCAAAACTCAAAGCAGTTCATAGGCAGACGAGCAGGCAAGTGGCGGAACACACGGCCACGCGGTGACAAGACAGTAGCTGAATGATGGGTCTGAAGTCGCCTCCGGATCTCTCTGACGCACAGAACAAAAACCCACGGTTAATAAAAAGTCATAATAATAATAATCGAAAGAAATAATCGAAATAATAAGCACACAATAATAATAATAATAATGACGGTGGTGCAAAAAGGTTTCCCGGCGCTCGGATTTTACTAAGATCAGACGACAGCCAGGCAGGCAAATAATGCTCGGGTGGAGCTGTACCAGAAATATTGCACTCGAGTAGGCTGGTGGACAGACTCGACAGCGGGCAGAACCAAACTTTCGCCCTTTAGACGATGCTGTCTTGCTGCCAGCTCCGTCAAGCCGACCACGGTTGAGCACGCGAGCTAGGGTGAGTATCAAGTCTGACGATCCGACACGAACCACTGAACCAGCAGAACGATGCGCGCATCGGCAGGTCCCAGAAGATCAAGAGGGGGTGCCAGGAAAATTAAGTCAGATTTCAGTTCGGCGACCTGCGCAAGCCTGAAAGTCTACCTTGCTTAGCCAGATCGCCTGACGACCGATCGAGCTAAGCACGAAATCCACTGCGTTTGCGGGCAAACCACAAGTCGCTTCCCCAACCACACCCCAGCCCACAGGCGTAACGGCTGGCCAGTGTAGATGGAGCCGGCTATGCAGGTGATCAGACCCGTAACTGCAGGGTCTCCAGCCCTCCCCGTGACTCCGGATCAATGGGGTGGTTTTGGGTGCCTGAACTCTGGCATTCCAGTCAGCCATTATCTCATAGTCTATGCCCAGTAGTCCGAACAGTAGATAGTGAAGGGGTAACTTACCTAAACTCCGGGTGCCTCATACGTTAGCGGCGGCGCGGTCGTTGATATACCCTTGTTTCCGAGTGAAACTATCGCCTACCTGCTCAAATAATCGCCTGGACGCCTGAAGAATAAGCAACGATCAATTCAATGACATAAAAGGCGGCGGTACTGGACTTTTTGTCCGAAACTGGGAAAACACGAACCTTCTTAGCCTATCCCAGTTTGCTCGGCGCCCTAGACAGGTGCGCGGGGGGGAGCACGGGGCTCAAGATGCCGGTAACAAAGCAACCCGTTAAAACCTTATAAGATTCCTTTGCCTGTCACGTTCTTCTCGTTTCCGCGATCCAGTTCTCAGCGTTTCTAAAGGCCCAGAATCCTCAAGCGCGCCGCAATCTCCTCGAGTCCGGGGGTATCCAATATTGTGATCACACTCCCCGCCTATGCACTTCCTCATCAAACGCAGCTCCTTCCTCCGTCGGAAATCCGTGGCGAATAGCCTCTTCCAGTCTCGAGCGACGATAGTTCTTTGATCATGGATGACGCGAACACCCACACTCCCGTCGTGTTGCTGAAGCCGTCATCCGCAATGGATCCGTAGCGAAAGAAGCCGGTCACCGAGCGACGCAAGAGGTTCCAAAGAAAAATAAGGAGGAATATAAAGATAGTATTATAATATAATGAATGAGGAAAGGTATCCAGAATCAGCGCGAGGAGAAAAGATGGGGAGAAGGGAGAAAATGAGGGAGCGGGACTGCTTTCAACGTGCATTTCGCAAGTCGCAACCCAGAGGGCTGAGCTCGCTGCGTTCGAGGAATCTAGCGCGGTGGATGCATCACATCCCCTACACCTTAACACGCAGGTCGCAGAGATCTGCTGTCCGTCCAGGAAAAGAAATGATCCATTGAAGTGGCTGATTCGGCCTGCGCATCTCAAGCCGGTTTGAACCGTCAGCACCGATCGGTCAATTCGATTGATGCGGCAGTGAGAGGAGACAAGGATGCACAGACTTTTGGGAAGTGGGATCCTCGGCCATGTGTGTCGAGGTGCAGCGAGTCGCTCACTGGTCGAGGAGGGAGCACAGTCAATAAGACCTAGCCAACCTTACTTGAGTGGACTACGCCGTCTGAGTGGCATCCAGAGCCCAAGCGATTCCTGGTCTGTGATCAAGAGAGAGAGTGCGGCTGAAGTTTACACGGGTTTCTTCCAGTTTGCATTTGAACTTGTCCACCGAGTTGAGATGCGCCGACGGGATCTCTGACGCATACGGAGTACAAATGGATCTTGGGTTCCAGCAGATTGCAGCTGCATCTAGCCGATTAAGAAGGCTTCCAAGAGTCTTCCTTCTCTGCGACCACCCTGGTCAACCCTCGAGCCTGGAGAGCTGCCCCGCGATGGACGACTCATGCCGCCCAACGCTGCTCTATCATAAGGCAAACATCATTGCAACCTTTACCCTTGGCCGATACGTATTGTCGTGGATCAAGGCTAACACGGACCTCAAGTAGATGGATGAACACTGAGCCAGAGAAGTGATGATAGCCACGCAAGGGAGAAATGGACCAATGAAACTTGATTGTTAAGGGTCTGGGTCACTTCCTGCAGATGGTGCGAGGCCCCGACTTTACCCCTCATTGACCTGGAAGCCTCGCTCTCCTCTCTCGAGAACGAAAAGGCACAATAGAACTGAAGACAAGAGGGGCCCCAGAGTTGGTCAGTCAAAGGGACAGGACGATGCTGGTTTCCTGGTTATGAGTAATTAGTTGCTGCTAGAGCCGCCAGAATATGCGAGGACGCCCGATCGATGCACTTGAAAAGAAGGGAAAGGCTGCTCCAAAGGCTGGCTCCGTTCTGCATGGCTCTGCGAAGTTCTGGCGCAATCTTGGCCTGCAAGTCGACAGTGGTGGTCGAACATACTTTCGGCACCGAGAACGGGTTATACCGCGTTCTGGTGGAGTAGTCGCATGAAATTCCAGGGACAGCACACGAGAAAAAGAAACGAGAAGAGAGGGAAATGGACAAGATTCTGAGAGAACCATTTGTTGATCGACAGCCGCCAGCGTGGTTCAAAAGGAGAACACTGCGCAGCCCACGCTCCTGTCAGAAGCAAGCTAATTTGCGCCAGACCGACAGCTGTCGCTTGTGTGGGTTCGCCAGAAGAATCAATTTCAAAAACCTCACTCAACGGGCATCGGCCGCTCCGATACAACGGCGGAGCTAGTAACTGGAGATCTTCCAGGAAAGCCGGGCCCGACGCAGAGTAAGTAGTGAATACAAAGGTTACGAAGTACTGTATGATGGCCAAAAAGGCTCTTGTCCCACAACTTTCAACCAACCGACTGGAGAACATACGAACGATACGAAGAAGACTCGTCGGACCAGCTGAATGTGTGTGCGGGTCGAAGAAACGCGCGATGGATTGTTTGCGGGACTAGCGGTTGCCTTTCTCCTTTCTCATCAGCCGACAAGCAGAAAATTCTCCTGGGTCTCCCCTGACTTCCTTCATGTCGACGAGTGACAAGTTCCGACGCTCAGACGTCTCGTTGATCTGCCGCGAATCTCCATCTGAACCAGAGTTCCGAGGGCGCTTATTTTACGCTCCCGTTATGCTTATTCGGGTTCTCGGGATCGTTCCAAACTTCCTTCTGCCATCAAGCTAGCTGTACCATCTGTTTACTAGAGCATGGATGCTTGCAATGTCAGCCTTGTAAACTCTTCGCAAACAATAGCTCCAGCATTGGTCGAAAAAGAAATGATTATTCTTGACAGATCAGATACGAAATTCGACTTTCTTTTATTACGAGTTGCTAAGACATCATGATAGAAGCTGCGCCGGGTTCTTCATTGAGAATAGTCATTTTCCATCAAAAGGTATATACGGTCGGCGTATAGTTACCCATCCGGGTAATATCTTAATCACCGGGCTGAGGCAGTTGGAGGCTTTTTTAACCTTGGGATGAAAATCTCAGATACGCCCCTCCCGGCGTCGTCTTCTGCGCCATACACGAACCACCCAAACAGGAAAATGCATTCCATCTCAGCACCCACGTTATGTACAATCGCACCGTGAACACCAATCCAATCCTCCAAACCCTCCATCTTAATATCTGCTACCGTCAACCCCTTGATGTGAGCAGAAGGCCCCATTCGTCGTTCCCCAACAGATCGCCGTCCAGGATATGCGAGTCCTCGATGAGCACGAAGGAGGGCGACTCGATAGGTCGGGTTGGGGCTTTGGGGGGCAGAAGCAACTGCATGCTTCTTCTGAGTGCATTCCTGGATTTCATCGCTGCGTCAAATTTGAGTTTTGGGCCTTGGGCAAGTAAGTGTACTTGGGCGCTTGCATCTGCATGCATCCGTACTGATCTGGACTAGGCGAGGGCTGGCTCTACTCTCTAATTGGCAGCGCTGAGCGAGTCTGGGACGCATTAATAGGACGTGTTCCAACTTGTTACCCGTTCATGTTCTTTGACTGGCTCGAGACAACGTGAGACAGTTATAGGTCATAACTCGCTAACCTAGTCTCAACTCCGCTGATAAATAGTCCAAAATGGATGTTCACTCCTACCATGGCAGATTGCTGCGTCTTCGTGGACAAAAAAAAAAAAAAAAAAAAAAAAAAAAAAAATTGATAGAGCCGATGGATAGCCTACGGATGCGAGAAGATTTGCCGGTTAATCAATACCTAAGAAGAGATGAATATATACAACAGACGCTCTCAAACAATAATAGTACACCAAATGATAATAGTAATAATACACAATCAAACTCCACCGTCAATCATCGAGTGGTCTGTTTTCGCGGCACGGGGCTAATTCCAAGCGGAACACGGAGGAACGTCTCCATAAGCAACGCCGCAGCGACACTCACATTGAGACTGTCGACTCGAGCAGGATCCGACACGGCCCCGACGCCGGGAATGATCCTGGCGCCGGGAATGCTGACAATTGAATCGGCTTGTGATCTGATATGGTTGCTTAGTCCAGAGCCTTCGTTGCCCATCATGATGACGCTGGGCGAGTGGCCGATGGGGCTCCCAGCTGCAGGTTCGCCCTCACTAGCTGTCATCAAGTTGCTGTCATAGAGCGAGGTGGGATCCAGATATGTAGCGTCCGAGCTAAGAGCATCCGCTGCATAGAATCGCCAGCCGTTGGCTTTGGAACGCTGAATGAACTCTACCTCGTTCTTGACCTCGAGGAGAGTCATGTTCTCGGCGGCGCCGGCGGAGGCCTTGATAGTTATTGGGGACAGAGGCGCCGAGTTTCGACCGGCGAAGACAATGGCATCAACCCCAAGGTAGTAGGCTGAACGAATTATAGCGCCTAGGTTTCCGGGATCGACTACGCCATCGAGTAAAAGGACGACTGGCTGCCTCCTATATTGTTGGGCAGCCGAGAAGTTGATTGTTATGCGGTCATTCGTACCATTGACACTCGCTTCTTCTCGGGTTTGTGGTGCAAGTTCCACACGGAATTGAGCCTCTTCGAGTTCAACGGATTTGAGCGCTTGGACAGGCGTTCGTGGAAGGGGTGACGCTTCAAGGATACAGCCGTTGTGGGGTCTTCCCGCGCTCATTTTATCGAGTAGTCGGTCCCATTCGGCAAACGCGAACTTAACTTTGATATTCTTTGTTAGAGCAAGCTTCCGCAATACTACTTTGGTATCACTTAGTTCCTCTTCGGCACCCTGGTACAAATAGAGTTTGTATATTTGCCGCTGGCTACAGCGCAGGGTAGCTTCAACAGCCGTGGTTCCATAAATGAATTCGGAAGCGGGAGTGGTGTATGGGATTGTATCTGGGACTTTGACGTGTTCTTTCACCCGTTCAGGTCTCTTCTCTGTAGCCTTATGGCGCGCTGCGAGTTTTTCTTGGCGCGAGTGTTCCTTCCGTGGATAGGGGGGTGATGAGCTATGTTGCGACGATGGGCGACTCTTGTTCACGGCGCGGGATTCCTGTTGGTCGCGCGGCTTCAGGGCACTTTTAAACCGTTGGTGTTCAAGGGGCAAGGCACGAAAGTTGCCTGTCCGGATGAACTCGTCTTCATCAAACTCTTGCGCTGGAGGCCCAGGGTGGTCTTCCTTTCGCCTCCATTCACCTTGGCCTGTACGGTGTCTGCTTTGTGCGTCTGTAGTTGAATCGTATTTTTGCGAACGATGCCTGGTTGCAGCTGCAGAATCATTTTCGTTACGAAATCTTCGCGGGGCCCGATCTCGCTGATATTCGCGAGGCAGTCCCTGAAAGCCGCCTTTGCGGCGGAAAGTGTCTCTCAGTAATTCGGGGTTCGGAAATCCGTCATGGTCTTCTTTATTTCTCCGGTTATCCCGTGGCCTAAATGACGATCTCTCATCACGAGAACGATCACGGTTGTCGTCAGAGAGGTTACGGGGATCCCCTACACTCTGTGATCTGCGAATCCCGCGGCCGATGGCAGAATTGAGTGAGGCATATCTGAGAGAGTTTCGCGAAGTCCCAGAGGTTAGTGGTGTCCGAAGCGAGGTCGGGAATGCTCTCAGTGGAGATCTAAGAGACATCATGGTCTCTTTGCTTTCTCCCAGAGCTCATGCAGCTTTCGGAGCTTCAAAACGCCCATATTTTTCCTTTATCGCTGATAAGATAAGCCGCATTATTGTTTATCCGTGGCCTCGGAAATCGCGTCGGATCATCCAACAATTCATTGCGCGGGATCGAGGGATTTGAGAAGCAAGCTGGGGTCAACACAAAATTCACTCCTGCAGAGGTCGTCACTCCTTGTTTCTCACCTCATTCTTTTCGCGCTTTCCTTCCAATGTCCGGTGTTAACTCTCACTTTCTCCTTTTCGCTTCGATTCCGCCCCGCGGACGATAACAAGCAACTAAAGATGGAGAGCTTCGGTTTCTCTTTAATAGCTCAAAACTGGCGGAATACTCTCAGTTTTGATCCCAAGCGAGAAACGGACTCTGATCAGCCGACTGGGCCCAGGATGACTGCGGTTGAAATCCCAACTTTCTCTAACCTTGAGGAATATGAATGGCTTCCAGGGCATTTCAACGTCCGATATATCATTGAAGAGGTATCGTCAGAAACAAGCCTTGAGCCTTTGTATCGCGTCAAATTAGAAAGTGGCGAAACTCAAGTTGTATGTATTTCATTCGTTCCTCTATTCCAGCTCATAACTCACAACCATCTTCGTACTTAGATAGCCTCCTCCGCCCTTCAAACGTTTGAAAACGGCGCAGACGCGATTTCAACTTTTCAGAATTCGCGTGTCTCCTATCGCGCGCCTACCAGCGAGTTGGAAGCGGAGTCAGAAAGCGAAGAAGAAAATGAGGACGAACTCGAAGTGGAGAGCTCCGCTTCCGAGTCTCATTTGGATGAGACCAGGCCATCACGGCGCACAAAGAAAACAATGTTCACAGAGTTCTTCGGTGCCCTTAGCAGCGATGACGAAAAAACGACTAAATCGGATTCTAGCGAGGATATCCTTGTCGTGTCTAGGTCAAGGCGAAGTGGGCTAATAAAACGCCCGCAACACCGAACCGCCCTGGATAGCGACGACTCGGGTTCTAGCGTACGCAAGGGCACGAGGGCTTCTACTCGACAGCGGAAAACACTCAGGCGGAATCTTCGTGAGATGTATGAAGATGACATCTCAGAATATGAAGCTGTGCTCTCCAAACACCAAAAATACGTGGGCGCGAAAGAGAAGTTCGAGAGGATTCCGTCAGGGGATCCATTTCGATCCCGCCATCGAAATACCTGCGAAGTCTGCTCGATCAGGGGAGATCATCCCGACAAAGGGCCTCTTGTTTTTTGCCAGGGCTGTATCGATGTCTACCATCAGGTTTGCTTAGGGCCGCGTACTGCACGAGAGCACCTTGTTACTAAAGTTGCAAGCGATAACTTTATTCTTCAGTGCCGTCGTTGTCTAGGCTCTGCCCACACGAAAGACCACAAATTTCCCCATCAGGGATATTGTACTGGGTGCAATCAAAGAGGAAAGATGTCGGAGCCTCTCAGACAGCGCCTAACATCCAAACAAGAGCAACAATTGCGCCAGGAGAACGGCGGCGAGGATCCAATTACAACAGTTGGATCGTACCTGGTCAATAACCCCGAGAATTTGCTTTTCAGATGCCGTGCATGCCACAGGTCTTTTCACTTCGATCATCTCCTCCCCGGTTCCGACACATCCTCATGGCGATGCAATGATTGCATATCATTACCCGGGGAAGTCAATGCCATGGTCGCATGGCGACCGATGAGTACCGCCTCCAAGAAGCCTCCCAAGACATCTGAATTGGAAAAAGAATACCTCATAAAATGGAAGGAGAAATCTTACGCTCACTGTACATGGATGCCCGGAAGCTGGGTCTGGGGTTATATCAACCCGGTGATGCGGCGTACTTTCTTGAAATCGGATAGAAGTCAGCTCCCACGAATGACCACCGAGGAGGCAATTCCAGATGATTATCTACGAGTTGATATCGTTTTTGACGTCAAGTATGCCGATGATGATCTCCACGTGTATGGAGATGATTACGAAGCCGATCTAGGGCGTGTGGATAATGTCTCTCAGGCCTATGTTAAGTTCAAAGGATTGCCGTACGAGGATGCGGTGTGGGAAGTCCCTCCAGAGCGCAGCGATTCTGAAAGCTGGGAAGACTTCAAATCTGCATACGCAGATTGGGCCAAGAAACCCTACATTAGCACACCAAACCAAGGCTCATTACGGAAACATCTTGCAAGTGTGAGGAAACAAAAATTCAAACAAAAGGATGCCCAGCCGAAGATCATGACCGGCGGTGAGATCATGGATTATCAACGAGACGGCTTGAATTGGCTTTACTATAAGTGGTTCCAACAGCAAAATGCCATCCTTGCTGATGAGATGGGTCTCGGTAAGACTATCCAAGTGATAGGTTTGCTGGCAACCTTGATCCAAGATCATAAGTGCTGGCCCTTTCTCATTATTGTGCCCAATTCGACTTGCCCGAATTGGCGAAAAGAGTTCAAAACCTGGGTGCCTTCAATACGTGCAGTCACTTATTATGGGTCATCATTAGCGCGCAAGCTAGCACAAGAACATGAAATGTTTATTAGAGGTGATCCTGACCTCAAATGCCATGTTGTCATAACTTCCTATGAAACAATGGTGGATGATTCTTCTCGGAGAGTACTGTCAAGGATCCCTTGGGCCGGGCTGATTGTCGACGAAGGGCAGCGACTTAAAAGCGACAAGAGCCAAATTTACGAAGGACTCTCAAAAATGAGCTTTCCATTCAAAGTTCTGATGACTGGTACTCCTTTGCAGAATAACACTAAAGAGCTATTCAACCTTCTTCAATTCTGTGATCAAACTAAAAATGCAGAAAAACTGGAGGAGAAATATGGGACTTTATCGAAAGAAAATATCCCGGAACTCCACAGCCTAATCAAGCCATTCTTGTTGCGCCGGACAAAGGCTCAAGTTTTGACCTTTCTCCCCCCGATTGCTCAGATCATCGTTCCTGCTACGATGTCTGTTCTACAGAAGAAACTTTACAAGTCCATTCTTGCAAAAAATCCACAGCTGATTAAGGCAATCTTTCAAAGAAACGATGAGGAGAACCAGCCGCTCAAGCAGAACGAGCGGCACAACTTGAACAACATTTTGATGCAACTACGAAAGTGCCTTTGTCACCCTTTCATATACAGTAAAGCAATCGAAGAGCGGACCGATGATCCCGACATTGCCCACCGGAATCTAGTGGATGCTGCTGGGAAACTCCAACTGTTGGAGCTAATGTTACCAAAACTCCAAGCACGGGGCCATCGGGTCTTGGTTTTCAGCCAATTCCTCGAAAATCTGGATGTCATGGAGGACTTTCTCGATGGACTAGGTCTTCCGCATCGGCGTCTTGATGGGAGAATGACTTCGCTAGAAAAGCAGAAGATGATTGACGATTATAACGCACTGAATTCGCCGTATTTCGCTTTTCTTCTTTCAACCAGATCCGGTGGTGTGGGTATCAACCTTGCTACTGCAGATACCGTTATCATCATGGACCCTGATTTCAATCCACATCAAGACATGCAAGCTTTGTCTCGTGCTCATCGTATAGGCCAGAAGAACAAGGTCTTGGTTTTTCAGCTGATGGTTCGGGGCAGCGCCGAGGAAAAGATCATGCAAATCGGGAAGAAAAAGATGGTGCTTGATCACGTTCTCATTGACCGAATGACCGCTGGAGAGGACAATGGACAAGACCTTGAATCCATCCTCCGCCATGGAGCGAGGGCATTATTCGACGATGATGATTCTGGGGACATCATATACACACCTGAGTCTGTTGACAAACTTCTTGATCGCAGCCAGGCAGAACAAGCCAAGACACCAGATGAGAACAACTCTGGGTCTGCATTTGGCTTTGCTCGCGTTTGGGCGAACGATGGTCAAAGCCTTGATGACCAGCTTCGGGTTACGGAAGAAGATCCAAACACAAACAGTAACACTTGGGAGAAGATTCTGCAGGAGCGCGAACTAGCCGCAGCCGAGGAAGCGAGAAAGAAAGCAGAAATTCTTGGCCGTGGTAAACGTAAAAGGACAACAGTTGACTACACTACAACGGAAGCCGATCCTTCACCGGCAAAGCCACGTGCAAGCCGTGATGCTGAAAGCGATGCTGATTTCAATGGAGATGAAGCTGCGGTGGAATCGGATTACAGCATGGATGAAGCGGATAGAGCACTCAGCGATCTCGAGGGTAGACCTGCCAAAAAGCCCAAAGGTAATTTGTACTTCCCCACTGAATGGAGCCCAGAAGCTTAATATTGTTCATAGTTCGCTCTTTCCAGCGTGTCGTGCCCCCTCCCGAGCCGCCAACGCCCAGCAGCATAGGGGAAACTTGTTTCGTTTGCAGTCGCATCCATCCCATTGGATCTTGTCCATTGAAAGTGGCAGGGGTTGAACACTGCGGCCTTTGCGGGCTCGCGCATTTCGGCCATTCTCGCACCTGTCCGCACCTGAGATCTGACATACAGGTTACAAGGATGCTAGAAGCGTTGAAACAGAGCACTGAAGACCGAAACCTAGTAGCGCTGGCCAAAAAGTATTGCTATGGCATCAAAGGGGATCTCGCCCAGCGCAAAAGACGAGTATCCGGTAAGGCTGCAGGTAGGCCCGCGAACTCTACGACGGCTGCTCCTACCGCTCCTACACAACCCCCTGCTTTTCAAGGAGTCGGCATCCCGGCCGCTAAACAACCAACCATAGACCTCACCGGGCGCCCTATGAATGGGCATGTGAACGGGATGCACGCCCCGGCCGGTCCGGGGAACTCCCACACGGATGATGTTGAAATGTACAGTGCTCTGACCAACTATCTATCGCAGAGGAAACAGTGACTGTTTCCATACTGCCTCTGGATGTACACTCGGGTGGGCGGCGTTTTCTCAGCGAGTATTGGGCGCATCAGTCATTATTGTAAATATAGAATACTAATATCATGAAGTAAATGACGAAGATAAATCTAATTCTAAAGGAAGTTTCGAAGGTTGACAAGGTTGGTACAGTAGTTTCGGAACATAACCTGGTGCGGTGCTCCGCAGCAGATATATATCTTCGGCCTCGGGAGAACATCCGAACGCCACGAAAACTAGTCCTACATCCACCTCTGTCAAACAGTACAGCAAAAGGGGGCCGCGTCTGGCTGCACGGGTCGCATTTCAACAACCCAGAAGGATAACTCCTGGGGATGGCGTTTGAAGCCAGCAGAAGGTCTCGAGGTTGGCTGTGTCACCAGCGGTGATAGAGACTCCACTCCTTCCATGCTGTTGTATCGGTAATCTACGACTCCCCAGTCCGTTTTGCTTTTCAATTGATGGGGATGCTCTACGGGTCTATTATTACAGTTCTGACGATCCTTTACAGGAGATTTTTGCGGGTTGTGTTACCCTGTGGCCCAACGGAACCACCGATGATGAATCGAGAAGTGAGCAGGCGCCATCCCAGAGAGCAAGGCAAGGGACAAACCGAGGATGGGGCTCGAAACTCGTCTTTCCAGAAAAATTGACAGGTACACGAAACAAAAGGAACCAACGCTGGGAACCAGCAGTTAGGATGACGAAGAGAAAGAGCCAGTCCTGCAGGCGGCCGGGGCATGGTCGTACTGGCCAGCTAATCGACCCATCGACAAACACTGGCAATGCGAAGTGGGTTTATTTTGCTATCATTTCGGGGGGTTGCTGTCTGTTCTTCTTTTTCATTCACTGTTTGACACCCCAGCCCTGACATACCTGGAAAGCTCTTGATTGCCCTGTAAATTGCTTTCTTTTTTACACCTGTATCCCGCTGTATAAGTCCTCTTTGAACAGAGGATGACTGCAAAACTCATTGCCCCCACTATATATCCCTCTCTTTCCCTTCAGCCTACTACTCATGGGCAGAGAAAAGGAAGAGGAGAAAATCCCCGCATCCCCAGTGTTGGTCTCTCCATTCCTAACAATAGTGAATCTTGCCCTGACTCTTATGCGCGCAATTTGCTCACTCCTGCTTTGGCATAATCCATATTCACAATTGTGCGAATTAAATTTATATTCTCAGTCTGATTTTTCACTTGTCCTTTCTTTCTTCCTTGTTGTGTTCCTTTCTTCTCTCTTTCCCTTGTCGCCACTGTTCCGGACGTTTATACCGTCTACACTCCCCAAGCTATACCGATACGTCTGCCCTCCTCGTCTTCACAAAAGAACGGAGTATACTGGTAATTGTACTCGCACCACCATGTCGACCCTGCTGCGCCCTCAGTTCTTCTGTACCCGCCCCAATGGCACCCTCACCCCCGTTATTGCAGTTGATGAACTCCCCGCCCACCTCTCGATTCGTGGCGCCCCCCGTGTGTTATCCCCAAACGAGACTCAAGGTATGACAAGTTTGGGAACTGTGGCCCAGCGCGGGCAGTTATACACTGTTGAAGGCGCTGTTGCTATTACGAGTCGTCCCTCTTCTACTGGCGGCACGAACCACCGCTCCAGAAACCATGACATGCAGTCCTCGCTCATGAGGATCCTGGCCGACGAAAACCTACCGTACAACCAGCGCATGGCACTTAGCATAGTGCTTCAACAAGGCTTTTCTCAGAACTGGCAGGCAAACAATCCTCCTGCCCCTGGCTGGATGGTTCCCAACAACGGTGGTAGTAGTCCTGGGGGTGCAAGCGGCCAACAGGTAAGTAGTAGTGCCCTCCGAGTCACACCATGGTGGCCTTAAACCCCATCAGTAAACGATACTAATTTATCCATGGCAGACCCATTTCCGTAACGTGAAAAAGGAGTATTGCTCCTACTGGATACGTCATGGCGAATGTGACTATCAGCAGCAAGGTAGGACTATCATTGACCCCCAAGCTGCGAACAGTGACTAACACAGACCAAAATAGGATGCCTTTACAAGCACGAGATGCCGCATGATCGCTCTATGCTGGAGAAGCTTGGTCTACGAGACATTCCTCGCTGGTATCGTGAGAAACACAACATACCGAGTATCTTGCCAAACGGACATGGCCACCCTCGCCCTCACGCCGCGAACGGCCATTCTTGGAAGGGCGATTCCGCTCTGAAATCAATCCAATATTCTACACGGTTGGACATGAACGCAACAGGCGAGCCCTCCAACCTTGAGAACGTTACCAAACAGAAACCCTCGACCTACCTCCCCACACAGCAGCGTCAGCAGGAGACTGTGCTCCCTGGAGCTTCCCAGATGGCGTTTCGTCCTATGAGTTCACCTACTGCTCAGCTTCCTCAAGCGCAGACACCGACAAGCCCTCCTGCACAGTTTAACGCTGTAAACAAGAAGATCGACCTCCTTTCTCTCGACCATGGAGATTACATGCCAAACAATAACCTGCTCTACCGTCCGTCCGAGACCAGCTTTGATGCACATGGGCACTCTCATCATGACGACCTAGTTCGCAGTCTCCAGTCTCTCACCGATACCCCCGGTCTCATAGGTGCAGACTATCTTACAAGTCCTTTTGAATCGACTGTAGGCTGTGGCCGCATCAAGAATGCGCAGAGGTCACGCCGGTTGTACCAGGGAACTCAGGGCGCCATACCTGATAGTGTCCAGGGACCGAATACCACTGACACCTTGCATGGCTTCCATAACCAGGCTACAGCATCGTCTAGCGGCGCCTCCCCGACCTCTAAGACCACTAGCTCACAGCTCGCCAGCCCAATGGCAGACTGTGCTCGCGGAAGTACTACATCGGAGCCCGCCACTCGCGGTCCATCTCCTACTTCTCTGTCTTCCGGGCCCAGCCCTGGTGTTTTCCGAGGTCGTGGAAAAGATAAGGGGCACAGAAAGGCCTTCGGTGCAATCGGCACTAAGAGGCACTACAGAAAACGATCCGTGTCCGACGACGACGACATGTTCTTCCACGGAAGGAAGTAATAATCGGCTCATTTCTCATACGGACGCTCTTACGGTTTATAAAGCCGACTTCAATCGAGTCCTTCCCGTACAATGCGAGTGTTTACCTGTGTTTCTTTTCTTTTCTTTTCTTTTCTTTGTGTTTCTCTACGATAATATCGAAGGCAGAGAGATATTTATTTCAATCGACCTCACGATACGATACGATAGTATGATATGATGCGATACGATACGGTGGTGGCTACTTGTCGCATAAATATACCTACAACCTCCCACAACAGAATAAATGTTGTATATTCATTGGTGAAGCGAAAATATGGCAGTTTCGATTTGGAAACAGAATCAAATGAGGTGGAATAGGATATACCGCGAGATGAGCCTTTTCTCTTCTCCAGTTTCTCTCTACTATACCGAACGAGTGAAACCATCGATGTACGTTCTTGGGATACAAACGCAGCAGCCAGGCTCGGTGAGATCTGTTTTACATGTAGCCGTGGTTGGATTATCTTCCCGTTCTACATCTACTTGTTCTGTGCATCTTGTTTACTTTCTTCTTCTTTTGTTTGTTTGTCTCTCTTCGTTGTTACTACCTGGGCATAAATATGTACTATACTGGTTGCATCCGTTTATACTGTGTTTAGTGGATTAATGAAATGGCCGCGGGCAAGTATAGGAAAATTAGAAAAAAAAAAAAGAGGAGAAAAGGAGGCCGTTCGAAGTTAGTTCAAGTTTTTGCTTTGCAATTCAAGAATTAAAACATGCTCCAACTCGCGGAAAACCAATGAAAGCTAAAAAAAAAGGTTGTTGGCTACTATATCAAGATAAGAGGTATGTAGGAAGAAAATAAAGTAATAGTAGTAGTAGTATAGTACATTGGCATGAGAAAAAACAAGTCTAACGGCCCTGCGCCATCCTCGAGTCCCCGAGTATTGCAATGATACAGAGATTGTACAACATTCATCAGCATGCGGTGGGATCCATAGCCCACCTAGCGTAGCTTCTTCTTTTGAGCTTTACCTCCGACTTTCACAGCAACCTTCTCACGCTCTGCAGTCGCGTGGGCCTTCAGGGCGGGGTTCAGGGATGGGAGAGCTTGAACAGCCTCCGCGATGACCGAGTTTCCATCCACAATAGTCTGCCTCTCTTGCTCAAGACGTTTCCGCTCGGCACGGTTGGCCTCAAGTTGCTTCTTGCGCTCCTGCGTCATGATCCATGATTCCGGGAATTGGTATCTCTTCTTTGGTTTGTGGTGGCGGGTGTCGAGGGGGATGTCTGCGAATGAGTCGCCCTCTTTCGCTTCCTTAAGTAGAGTGTTGACAATATCTCCTAGGTAACGCTTATTCTGGGCGCGGGTGCTGAACTTCTCGCAGGACATGCGGACAATATCCGTGTCTGGGTTGAAGCGCGGACCGACGAGCTTCTGGAAGGTTAGGCGCTGCTGTTCGGTGAGGTACTTGGGGACAAGATCGGCAGTGGATAGTTCGACAACAACTTTGCTTTCTGCAGGGTGGGATTCGCCCATATATGTGGTGTAACGGAAGCGGAGGATGTGGGTTTCTGGTGGAAGAGTGAAGGGCTTGGCCAGTTCTATTAGGGCAAAGGTGTCAGTTTATCTCGTCCATTTGCATATGGCAATTATGTTGTGCTTACTGCTTAGAAGTGGCATGTCCCAGGCAGCAATCCGGGCATATTCTCTGATTTCCCGATGGAGCTCAACCTCGGCGTGGGCCGCGGAGGTGATTTCGTCGTCGTAGAATTCGTCCTGATCTTCAACAAGACCGAATTCATCATCTTCGTTCCTTGCCCAGAAACCACGGACTTTCCCTTGAGGTTCTGTAAATCGAAAAGGCTCCCGCTTATTTACATCGTTCACTACCTGCTCAATCTCCGCAAACATGGCTTTTCGCCTTGCAGGGTCGTTATATTGCGCCACAAGCTTGCTCTGTTCGGCATCGAATTCCCGGCGCTCTTCCGGAGACATTAAATCATACATTGACCGCTCCTCCGGGGCTAGCAGATCCGGCGAGTACTCGGGCGCAGGTGGCAGGTCTTCGGGACGAGGGTCTCGCTGAGGAACGGGGTCGGGGGGGTCTTCAGGTAAGAATGTCGGAGCTGAGGCGGAGAAATGACGGTATGGGATGGCGATTGGGGCTCTCCGAGCCATTAGCCGGGCGGATCCGCCCAGCGACCTTGCGAATAAGGCCATTGTGTGAGGTAATGATGCTTTCTTGGTGGTCTGGAGAGATTTCGGTGGTTGTTTTTTTTGGCGGATGTCGACCTGGGCTTGGCGGCGCTAGTCCCGATTTGGCGATCCTGTGACGGGCCCTTCACGCTGCGATTGTCATGCCCGCTCTTGCTTTACAACGTACGCCATGAGTGCCTGTCAAAGGATAATGCTTCACGAAGATTTGACCTACATGACAGCGTTTTTGCGAACCTCCTAAGGCAGTCACAGGGCGAAACACTGGGAAAGTGACAACAAACCCCATCATGGCCCAGCAAGCTAGAAAGCTGTGCTTCGTGACAGTTGGTGCAACGGCTTCGTTTCATTTTCTTTTGAAGTCGATACTGGACCCTGGCTTTCTGAGCGCCTTGAGTCAACACGATTATACCGATCTCCTTATCCAGTTTGGGAAGGACGGACAGCCGCTCTTTGACGAGTTTGCCGCAAAGTACCCTCCTGGCGACCTCAATCGCCATGACATAACGGTGCACGGCTTCGATTTCAACCAAGCAGGTCTGGACAATGAAATGCGTCTAGCTCAAGCTAAACCCGCAGAGAATCGAAGCAGCGGACTAGTCATTAGCCACGCAGGTAACTATCGAACCCCAATTCTGAACCTAAGGCTGGAGCTAAACGGAATACATAGGTTCTGGCAGCATTTTGGCGGCACTGAGATTCGGTGTTCCACTTGTCGTGGTGCCCAATCCTACTCTTCAGGACAATCACCAAGAAGAACTTGCCGAAGTACTCCAGGATGAGGGGTATGCGATATGGGGCGACTATGGGTATGGTATACTCCCACGTAGCTGGCTGACTTGATCTGGGGTGCTAACTATACACAGACAGCTGTCTGCAGCCCTCGACCGCGCCGAGGTTTTGCGAAATAGGATGCTCAGCTGGCCTCCTGTCTATGGTACACAGGAGAGACAGCCGCAGGATTTGGCTGGTGTAGTCTCCGAGGAAATGGGTTACTTGGATTAAGTCGTCGGGCGTGTTGCAATGATTGTTAATTGGTCGCTGAAACTATTTTTCGGTTCTCTGGAATTAGACATTGCCTAGGGATCATTTACTAGTTATTTAATATTCAGGAATAATCAAGGTCCGTTGTCGGAGAAGATGTTGTTCTAAAAACTCGAGTTGTTGATATGGTATACTCCGTGGAGTGGCCCGAGCTTCTTTGCGGCGGAGCGCCATCCCCCAAATTGGTTGGTTTGCAGCCAACGCGCAGACAGAAGAAAGCCTCCTGTTCTTGACAAGAACCCACCATTTTACTTCCCCAATCTCTCCTTCTCAGCCCATCTCGATAATTGAGGTGCATTACTGCTCGGTTTCTCCTCCGCAGCTTTACGTGTCCCCAAACAACAGCCCCTAGGCCGCGGGGCCGCCGCCTCACAAACAAACCCGCGCTCCCCCCAAAACATCCCCGATCCCCCAATCGACCACCTCTCACACGCCCAATATCCCCCGTAATGACTGAAGCCACTCTTCACAACGCCCCTATCGTCATCGACAATGGCAGCGGCACAATCCGAGCCGGTTTCGCCGGCGAGGAAATCCCCTCATGCTACTTCCCATCCTTTGTCGGTCGGCCAAAACACCCGCGGGTCATGGCTGGCGGTCTAGAAGGAGACGTCTTCATCGGACAACGTGCCCAGGAATTGCGCGGCCTAATGAAAATTCGATACCCACTAGAACACGGAATTGTGACGGATTGGGACGACATGGAGAAAATCTGGCACTATGTGTACGAGAATGAGCTCAAGACGCTGCCGGAAGAGCACCCCGTTCTCCTTACCGAACCGCCGCTCAACCCGCGCAAGAACCGTGATATTGCGGCCCAGATTATGTTCGAGACCTTCAATGTTCCCGCTTTGTATACCTCTATTCAGGCTGTGTTGTCGCTCTATGCTTCTGGACGGACAACCGGTGTGGTTTTGGATTCAGGGGATGGGGTCTCCCATGCGGTTCCTGTGTTTGAAGGTTTCGCTATCCCCAATAGTATTCGGAGGATTGATGTTGCGGGGAGAGATGTGACGGAACAATTACAGCTGTTGCTTCGGAAGACAGGGAATGTGCTTCATACCAGTGCGGAAAAGGAGGTGGTGCGAATGATCAAGGAGAAGGTTTGCTATGTTTCTTTGGACCCGAAGCGGGAAGAGAAAGACTGGGTAAACAGTTATCACAAGTCGGAATCGAAGTACGCGGACTATGTTTTGCCGGATGGGCATAAGATCAAGGTATGTGGTGGACGTTGAGATGTACGAAGTACAATCTGACTCTTTCTGTAGATCGGACAGGAACGTTTCCGTGCCCCTGAGATTCTCTTCGACCCCGAGCTCATTGGCCTCGAATACCCCGGTGTACACCAGATCGTCCAAGACGCCATCATCCGCACAGATCTCGACCTCCGGAAGTCGCTGTACCTCAACATTGTCTTGTCCGGCGGATCAACGCTGTGCAAGAACTTCCCTGATCGATTAATGCGCGAGATCAAGCGATTGGCCGTCGAGGACATGAAGATTCGTATTTCCGCGCCTGCTGAGCGAAAGTACACTACCTGGATCGGTGGGGGTATTCTTGCTGGACTCAGCACGTTCCGAAAGGTAAACCCCATTTCTCACAGCTTCTGTATTCATAACTAACAGCGTGTAGATGTGGGTTAGCGCAGACGAGTGGCACGAGGACCCTGAGATCATTCACCGGAAGTTTGCTTAGGATGTGGCAACTCTCGACATCGAGAAGCTTGCCTGAAGCTCAGCCTTGTCCCCTTAGCAGTCATGCTGGGTCCCAGGCTGTAGTCTCGAACACGTACTAGAAAAGCAAAACATCGAGCACACTGGGTGCTTCAGCATGAAGACCGACCCATTTTGGCTTTATCCCGGCAGATGGAATACAGCCGCTTTTGATACCCCATCTCCTTTCCAAGGTCCTGTTAATCAATCCATATCAGCCTCTTAACGGCGTTACACTCATACAACCAACGATTCTTGATTCTCATGCCCGAGATCCGCCATGCAAATACATATATGCATACAGACACGTTAACTCATATCCTCACCCCGTTAGTTCACATTACTTGGTACCTGGTTTACGCTGGCGGACGATCTCATCACAAACTTGTGTGACATCTTCTCAACCAGGCAGGCTGCTATGGGTTTTAAAGAGGGACATGGCTCTTCTCTTTCTTTTCTTCTCCATATTTGTTTTCTTCATGTGTAATTTGCAGCGGCCGGATATCGATAGACATACAACGCACCTAGGCGTCTGCTTGTAAATAATGGAATCTGACTTGAAATAGAAACCAACTGTACACTTCACTGCATCTTTGTTTGTAAAACGATGGTCCAACTACCCAAACTAAAGCGGTGAGGCTACTCTAAGAATAATATATATTCAGGTTGTACAACTTCACAACAAGAATTTCATAAATCCAGATCACCATAATCGACTTGCCATGAAATATAGTACACACGTCGATGAGACGCAGACAGACTCTGAATCCGAGGTCAGAAAGTATACGGTATGGGGGACTCGGCGCTGGCTGAGCCATTTGCCAACTTGGCAGTAGGTCAGATGACGGATATGTCAATTGTCAAGGGTGGGGGGATTATCCGTCACTGACATGGCGAAACTAAATTTAGGAAGTGCTGCCGAGATCACCAGGAACAGGCAGATGCAAATCATGTGGTTGGCTTGGGTGTTCGAGGTAACTGTATTGTTTCTTTTGCTTTTTCGAGGCAGTGCGATGTTGATCATCCCATGCACATACAAAGGAACAAACAAATGGTGGCGTAATTGGTGATCGACATCCCATTTTTTTTTCTGGCTCTAGGCGGACAAGAAGAACGCCCCAGATAGATCTACGTATTTGAACAAGGAAGGAGCTGTCTGAGTGTTGCGGTTGTTTGATATTGTGGCTATGCTAAATATGGGCTCGAAGAATTTCTTCAAGATGCAAGACTTCGTCGTTGCTATGATAAACAAAGTAGAAGTGTACAACATACTCCTGGACGTAATGACCAAGGACCAAGGGATAACCAAGTTATCCAGAGATGGGGGGTATCATAGATTTGACAAGTAGTTGACTTGTTTGGTTGACGGACAAACGAAATTGATAAGGGGGGTCGATAGAAGCGAAGGAATTAAAAGCGTAGAATGCAGACGTTTGGGTGTGGAAGGTCGATTGACGATTGAAGATTGGAGAGTGGTGAAAATAAGAAGGGAATGTAAGGCAATAACTTTTTTTGGTGGTCGTAAGTCGTGTAGTCGTAAGTGTTGAAACCAAACGCCGCTTGATGCGCTGGAAAGAAGTCGCTGATAGAAAATCGGTCAAGGCGACAGGAATGATGACGCAAGTATGTCTTCTACGCCATGCCCCTGATCTTCTCCCAGCCCTTCTCAAGGCCACGGCGAGCCATGTCACGCGCACGATCACTTGTTGTGGAGATATTGCTCTTGGCGGAGGTCTGACTTGTTGAAGAGAACTTGCGGCTGAGTATGCTTTCGTGGTCGTTGTCGCGGTGGACCATGTTGCCAGCTCCGCCACGGCCGACGTGGTAAACAGGGGCGGCGCGGCGCATTTCACGCTCGAGCTCTTCATCGAAACTGAAGATGGCGCGTTCGCTGCTGCGGTGGACGTTGCCAGCGCCGCCACGGCCGGAAGTAAAAGTGGAAGGCACGCGCGAGTCCAGACGAGTGAGAGACGCAGGACCGGTAGCAGAGCGCGAGTCGGTGGTTTTGGTGTTCTTCAGACTGATGACATTACCAGCGCCTCCCCGAGCCGTATGCAGAGCAGGACGGCTGGTATGGGGGACAGTTGGATGCGGTTCAACGAGACGGTAGTTGACGGCAGGCATGGTGCAGAATTGATGCTATGATGCTGAACAGGGAGAGAGATGCATGAACGCAAGAGTCAATCTGAACAGAAATCGAGAATGATGAGTGAGAAAACTCTTCTGTGTGTTTCTTTGTGATCTTGTACTGGAGAGGAACCAACGAAAGCGGCGGGGGTGGCAGCTCTATATAGATTGGGTCCAGGAGACACGTTCCGGGGAAAGCATGGAAACAAGGGCAACCAAGAGCCAACAAGAGCCAAGAATGGCACGCAATTCCCCTGGGCGCATGATGAGTGGCAGACAGTCGTCAGAGACCCAGCGGTGCCGACTCAGTGACCCTTCCAGGCACACCACGCCGGTCACACGCTGAGTCCGCAGTGGAGCGCATCGTTTGCTCATCATCAGTGCGCAGCGCAATTTTTCCATCGAGGATCCATCTGGAATTCGACCCCGTCACGGCGCCGTATAATACCGTCACATTGCCCAGCGCTTAAAACAGCGGGAGACTCAGTAATCCAATGAGATCGGGTTTTGGCTGGACAGGTGATGCCTGCTCCGCAGTCTATTGGCCAAAAACAAGAAAAGTGGGAATTTCACAAGGACCACCTTGCTGCTTTAACCGTCATCTGACATGCAACCCTCCAGTCAATGCTGTGGCGAAACGTAACAGAAACTCGGGACTCAGCCAATGAGAGGGGCGGTCGGCGCACACTGCCGAGCTGTGGTGGTTTTGTGAGGGTAATGGAAACCACTTCTTGGTTCATGCCTTCTGTTTTCAGTTTCCCTGGCGATGATGATATTCGGTGTCTTCAGCAAACTACAGGCTTGGACGGTGAACACACCGACACTACAGTAACTTAACTTCAGACTGATCATTGTTGTCCCGAGTGCGCGCTTCACCGTCAACAGTCCGTATAGAATAGATCTAGAATGTGGCGGCTAGCCGTCTCCAACCGCTTGCCGCCGGCAACAAAGCGGAAAAATTTCACCCCCGCATGATCGAGTCGTCAGCGCCAGCCTGTCAAGCACAATTGCATCATCGCCAGCATATTTAGCATCGTGCGTTTGCAGTGGCATCGCCATTTGGCGCCATCAGCTGAGGGGATTTCGAAGAATGAGCTGTTTCCATGAGGCAAGGACGTGATTATTCCCTATTGAGGGCTGATGGCGATGCTCATTGTTTGTTCATTGAATGATTTTCTCACCGATTCGCTTGGCAAGAGCCACTCAGTTGATCTTCATTCCCCTGTTGCTGCATCGGCCACCAGGAATCAGACCGGCGTGAGCGTGGAAGATGCGAGTAGAGCCCAGACTGCGGCATTTTAAGTAATGGATACACCTTGTTAGCCTGTGAGGGCGCCCGGTGGGATGATGAGATCAGAGATGCATCGCGCAGCACAAGGATAATTACCCCAGATCTGCCACTGCAGGGCTGGACTGCCTTGGACTGTCTCAGCGCGTCCGCAAGAGGAAGCTCGCGGCCAAGAGTGGATTCGCCTGAAAACTCTTCATCTCCACTCATCAAGTAAGATGGGGCCGCGTCTTGCCGTCTTGATGACTTTGGTTAGTTCGTTCTTTGGGGGAATCAAAAATTGGGAGAGCTCAGACTCGCAGCAAGGACGGTGTCGAAATTCGACAGTAGTCATGAGGCTGAGCCCGAGCCTCTTCTGGAATGCAGGCGAACTGCCGGACTGTGACCGAGGAATGACTCGGTGAGAGTCCCTTTCCCCGGATTTTCGCCCCAGAAATCCCTCACCATGACGTACGGTGTCCAGGAAGAACACTTTCGCCATCTCCAATTTCCCATGTCCCTCGTCCAGATGCAGGTGCAGGTACTCTCCTCTTTCTTCCCCGCCCTCGGATCTACCTGCCCGTAATTGCACCCCTTGGGGGATTAAACCTTGGGAGTCGGGTTCCTGGCTAGCGACATGTCCTGACGCCTGAAGAGCCAAGTTTACCCCTCATTCACCTGACAGTGTCCAATCTGCCACTCCCTTTTGTGACTGAGTCTGAACTTCAGTGGGTTAGATTTGTATGATAGAACTGTAGGAGAAAGATGAATCTGCTCTGATATGGCTTACGCTGCCACAGCAACTCTGCTGAGAGATGGCCAGTCTCAACTAATGGGTCTCATTCCCGACAGGTTTCTTTCCCAACCCTCCTACATAACAGCCGTCATCCAAAATGTCATATAACGCAGGCGGAGCATATACCAGACACGGTCTAGTTGTCGATAATAAGTTAGACATCCATTATGACCGCTTGACCCGGGGGACGAACTAATACAAGTGTAGTTACCCTACTATCCGCCTCACGGCCAAGGTTCTCCAGGGGCTTAACTGTGCAGTCACCGGCTTCACCAATGGTCGTGATGCCCTTGCATACCTGGCCGACCGAAATAACCCACGGCCGCACCTGATCTTCATCAAAGTGAGCTAGCTAATCTTTCCCCTACCGTATTCCGTTCCCTCATTAGTATATCTGACCCTCGGTAGATAAAGGGCCTTGGATATACCCCAGACGGCCACGAAGTAGCCCAAATCCTTCGAACCCAGGCCCCGTTCATCCAGGATCCAGTTCTGCAATCCACCCCAATCATTGGTTTGACTGCAATGGGTCAACTTCTCCCAGAAAACCTCAAGTTTATGAATGATATGCTACATAAGCCGATGAAGGTTCGCGATATACGATGGGTGTTCATAACATGGATGAGGAGGGACCCGTGGCAGCCACATCCGAAGATCTAACAACTTACTGTGTAGATGAAATAATGTAAATCACAACGTGGTCGAGAATGAATTGCTTTGATATAGTGACTGACGCCTTAACGCCTGAGGCAGAAAGATATTATTCTGCCGGAGCTGACCGCCCTGAGATAGTAAGCCGCATCGAATATCTTCATCAACATCTCCCCATGCGACAGTTCGCCACTACTGGACAGCAGATAGGATTTGTCCACCATTATCAATACAGCATACTGAAACCCTTGGGATTATTTTGCGGGTTAATTTTATTCTACGCCTTTAGCCCGAGCTATATTACTCTCAGACTCCGAGTGCAGCTACAGCGCTCAAAAGATCCACGATGCCGAAATATAAGTGACCCTTCCCTGCCTGCGACATTGTTCTTCTGCTAACATCCGATGTACTCTTCTGTAGGTTGCCTCATTCGCGAGCCTTTACTGTCTTCAAACCTATTCGTCGCGACGCGGTTCTCCGCTCTATTTCATCTCTGAAACCCGCAAGCCCACCGTTTACTAACTCTACGTTCGATATGTAGGCGACTATTGCGATGTTTACTTAACGCACGACTCAATGAGTGTGCGAAAGGCGCATAACTCTGGACGAAACCATTTGAGGAACGTTGTGGAATATTATCAACGTAGGACCACCGTCCATATCCATACAGCAAAACCACCTAACTCATGATTGCAGAAATCGGACAAGAAAAAGCGCAATCGGTCATCGACTCGATCACATCTTCATACGCCGCTGAAGGACAAGCTGTTCCTAATCCCGCAATGGTTCCTCCGGGCGCTTATCCACCTCCCTTCGGATTTCCGGGTGCGTACCTCTGATGCCTACATTTTGACCCTTCCCTATCCTATACGTCCACCACAAAGCAAGAGCTAACATATTTTGACTTACTAGGTCAATTACCTCCTCCACCATTTGGTATTCCTCCTCCTGGTCCAGGCGGTGCTCCTGGCATGCCACCTCGTATGTCTTTTGCATCCATTCCCCCCACCTCCTACCTTACTCAAACTAATATCCACCAACTAGCGCCTGGAGCACGAGGTCTCCCTTTCCCTCCTCCCTTCCCCCCAGCTTCTGGTGCCCCCGGCCCAGGAGGCCTTCCACCACTTCCTAACATGCCCAACATGGGACCTCCTGGCTCTGCCCCACCCCCGGGCCAATTCCCTCCCCCACCAGGCGGCTTCCCCCCAATGCCTCCGAGCTTTCAGGGCGGCGGTGCGCCGGGCTTCCCACCCATGCCTGGTGCGCCGGGTCCAGGCCCTGCCGGTTTTAGCCCCAGCCCGGGCCCTGGGGCTGCCGGACCACCCGGAGGAGGAGCTGAAGGGTTTGCACCCCCGCCTGGGATGGCACCAGGGGCTCCTGGGCCGCCGCCTGGGATGGGGGATCAGCGGTGATATGATCTGACATTTCGTTATGTTGTACTATTTTCTCCTGCTACTGTACGTTTTCTTAAGACCTATGGATCATGGATCTTTTGTGATTTTCCGGCGTATGATGGGGTTTCTTCCGCTTCCTTCCATTTCATGATTCTGTTTGTCCGTTCTGGTGAGGATTCGAAAAGCTAGAAACGGCATTGCATAATACACTACTTTAAATTACAGTCCAAGTAACTTGAGTTGACTGATCTGAGACCACGTGAATACTTGACTGATTCATATGAACCTTTGTAACTTGGACCAGTATATTTACGACACTACGTTGCGGTATCTATTAATGACGAGGGCAAGAGCGAAAAAAAGAAAGCAAAAAAAAAAAAAAAAAATTGAAGTTAACGTCCAGAGCGACGTAGTAATATGATTATGGTAGTCTTCCATAATTAATAACAAAAGCAAGGCAGGGGCATCGGATAGAACCCTGCCGCGAAATATAGCACATAGTCCGCAAACCCAAAGTCCTGATCTCCAGATCCAATGCTTCAGAACGCCGAGTATATAAATAATGAGCAAGAAAGAAAAAAAAAGAAAAGGAAAAGGAAAACCTGGTGAGGTGTTAGGAGAGAGTGAGAGGAAAAGGAAAGTTCAGTATATCACAGGATACGCAAGGCGAGCAATATCAAATAGCAACAGACGATGGAAATTTGAAGGAAAAAAGGGCACAAAGTACCATTGGTTACAAGAAGGAATAAAGCACGGGTCGAGCGGTCAGTCCCTTCCCGTACTCGGCCATAACTTCATCTCTTAAGCAAAGCTAATCAAGCAATCGTATGAAAGTGGAAAATTGGAAAAAGCACAGAAAGAAAGCTCTTTTTAGTGGTCATAACCAGCCCCTCTTTGCCATGGGCTTTGGTTGTTCTGTGTTCGGTATCCGTTCTGGAACGGGGAGGAAGTAAAGCTTCGAGGGATCGGTGATTGTGACCGTTGGATGTGGTCGGCGCCACCAGGGCCTCGCCCGCTGTTGTCGCTAGGGAACAACGGAAGCGATGGGTCAACAGGCGAGAGCGGGGGCTGACCAGCCGTTGCGGTGTGATTCGGTTCAAGGTTCTGGCGGCTGACGCTGGCGCCATTGCCACTGGAGAATGAGCCGTTGTCATCGTCAAACGGATTGTTAGGCTTGTAGTTGGTGGTCTTCATATCACCGCGAGCGGTAGCACCCAGCGCATCCAATTCGGTAGTCAGCTGCGTTTGCGATTTGATAAACGAGCCTCTGTCGTCTCTCATGGGCTGGTAGCGTGTGTCAGGGTTCTTAGAAACCATAGCATAGATCGACGCAATGAGCACCAGAATCAAAAGTACCAGGGCAGCAACAGCATTGATCACAAAGAAGACAACACCCATGACTCCAGTAACCAGACCTGGCTGGTTGAAAACGTTGGAAAAGAAGAGGAGGAAGATAGCATTCAAGAATTGAACCGCGGCGATAGAGATGTTATAGATGTTGGTTTTCTTGTCCATCCACGGCCGGAGAACGCTAACTGCGATCAGCATGGCAGCTTCGAGGATAACATAGGCGACGGTTTGAACCACGGGAGCCGGCTGAGCGAGACCGATGAACATGCCCTTCACAAACAGATAACCCAGGACGGGAATAACGAAGTAGTACGCAGTGGCTCGGTATTGCACATAAAGGAACCCCCACTTATTCAGGCAGGTCGGGTCTGAGTAAAGGATGTAAGCCGGATTCTTATGCAATGCGATCGACCGTTTCGCCAGGCTGATGACCTTGAACGAAGCCCAACCCAAAGTTGCCAGGAGAGATAAGAGCATTATCACAGCGAGCACAATTTCGGCGGGGGAATCGTTCCTGGTGAATTCCCATAGACAAAGGATGCACATTTGGGGGAAACCGATCAAGGTTAATCGGAAGAGAATACCACGAGTAACAACTCTCCATCCGTTGCGGAAGTCCTGGAATTTGTCACTCTTCATCTTCCCGTGCTTAGCAAGAAGCTCGCACGCCCCCTTGAAACAGACGACGAGAAGCATAACCAGAGCCACGAAGACCACGAAGAAGATAAAGCCCGTCAAGAAGATGTTGGTTGCTTCAATTCCAGCGACGAATGCGACACGCTCAATTCCACGCACTTCTTGGGTTTCAGAAGTGGCCGTCTGCGAGCCGTCTCTTTTAGCAAGGGCCCCCACGGATCGTCTCGCTATACCGGTCGCGGTATCAAGAGTTCGCTTCTTAAGGATTTGAACCGAAGTGGTCGAGAGCTGGGAGAGAAGTGTCTCGGCAGTTCCTCCAGTGGAACGCTGGTACCAGGTACAAATATCTTGAAGGAACCCGACGCGAATAACACCCATACTCCATTGGAAATTTTGAGTCCAAGATTGGACAATGGGCGGCAAGTGGATAGAAGTCATACCAATCATGGCTTGCGATTGGTAGAAGTTAAAGAGGGAAAGAGCATTCGCCGCAACGTGAGCAGCAGTGTTCGAGTGCCCGAGGCCGGAGGTGATAGCAGATGCAGTCAAACCTAGACCGGCGATGATGGCAGTAGTCCATCCGACGCCCTTTTGGTAGACGGTTTTACCATTCGAAAGACTAGCCTGGAGACAGGCAATACTCTCGTGTGTCTCGGTGGAATTGATGTAGATGCGAACGGTTGCATCAAGATCTGGAACAGTGAACGCAATGCCTAGTTATAAGGTTAGTTGATTTCTGTCAATTTTGGAATACCGCGGTTGGAAAGACGCACCTGGAATCTGATTGACGAGATCACTCCCAACTTGCAAGGGAGCATCCGTGATGTTCATTTCACCAGTGTTCATGGGGCAAAGACCCTTGAGTTCCGGGGTGTAATCACAAGGGTTGAATGTCTTCTGCAAAGCAGTATAACCGTAGGCGTCAAGGGAAATTGTGGCCTCCACGAAACCAGAAATGGCGGAAACTCCGTCAAATCCGACCACAAGTGAGTCATTGTCGGGCGTGTATCTGACGTTGAAATAGGTAGCCGTAAAGTTGTTGCTGTCCTGGCAGAGGGTGAGCGCCTTGGACTCAATAAGCCTCACAGCGGAGACGAGAGGGCTCTGAAGCACGGCGACTAGAAAACATAGTAAAAGTGATAACGTCCGCATTTTGGCGATTTTGTGAGTTCCGATCCCTAGCGCAAGTTACGAACGAGGACGCAGGTTGATAAAGGGGACCCAGTCGCAACAATGCAAAATAGTAGGAGAATCCAAGGTGGTATTGTGATTAGAAGCTGAACTTGGCGGTGCCGGATGCGGAAGGCGTTGGAAATCAGCTCTCGATGGTTGTAGGCGAAGTGGGCCACAATCAAGACACGAGAAGAAGTCTCCGGTCCGACTTTTGGTGGTAATGAATTCAAGAATTATTGCAAAAAAGCCGCCGTTGCGATGTTCACAACGTCATGGACCGTTGGTCGGAAAGAGCGAAGCACCAGGTGGGTGAAATAAACTAGGTGTCAAAGTGAAGACTAGCGAAAGTTGAGAGAAGTGAATTGTATGCAACGAAAGTTAGAGTGCTTGGAGCGTGAGAAAAGCGAGCGTGGCGGCGACACCCAGTATTGCCGAAGATGGAGAGGTTGGACGGATGAGCGTCTCCTGGCCGGGGACTCCGATCTTGAAGTGTCAAGGGCGGACGGACTGACAGACAGGCGCGAGTTCGCGGACGGAGACGAACGAGGGAGGGAGAAAGGGTCGAGAAAAAGAGGGGGGAAAGAAGAGAAAGAGATGACGGAGGATGGAATGTCGAGACCCGGCGTGGCAGTGATGGTTCTTCTTCAGGGGATCTCGTCGCGGTTGGAGGAGAGACGGGCGGGAATGCCCTGAAACTCGCGGGAATGCGAAATGGGGATGGGCTGACTCAGCACGGGGGGCAGCAGGTGAAATGGGACGATGGGCCCAAAGAGCGGCGAAAAGTGTGGATGGCCAATCAGGGGCGCGCACTCCAGTTACTATTCTTACTCGATCGAAGACGGTCTCGAGGTTGACGCTTCAACGCTGTCCCACGTCAAGCACTGCTGCACAAGTCGCAGGGTGCAGCGAACACCGCCAGTTTCTACTGAATGGAGGCGAAATTGCCCAAGAGTCTTGACTCTTGACCTCTTGTTGTCGGCCGCTTTCTCTCTTGGTGCTGGCGGCCAGCCAACACCGGATTGTGCACGCGCGTCCTCAGGGGATCTCAGCTCCAGGCCCAATGGCGGGTGATTCCCATGCGCTTAATCCACTGGGTCAACTTTTGATTTGTTCCACTTCCCACTGATAGTCAACGTGAATTCCTTCATAATTAATATGACGACGTAACGGCCAAGCGATGGCGACAAGCAGTTGGACTGCTGATGCCATCCAACAGATCGCTGATCAGACATCAAACTCTTTGGCGCCCAGCTTCCTTCCGTGGAGAACTCTGTTGCCAAGGCTAGTCCCATATCGGGTTTTGAGGTCTTCCATAAAGTCATCTTCAGTCCCATGGTTATTCTTCTGCCTATTTCCAAATCTCGAGCATGGCTCATTTGCTATTAATAAACAATTTTCTGTCAAAAAGAGGCTAAAGAACTGACGGCTTCTGCACCTGAAACCTTGTCTCAAACTGTGCGAGTCCCAACAGAGCGGTCTCGCCATTGAATCATCACCCAGTTCCTGAGGTCTCACCAAGAACTACTTTGATCACCAGATTCAAACCCTTAAGTCATTTTTACATCCTCAAAACACGCACACTGGTCGACCTTTAGGCAATATATCCAATGAAGTGAAAAATTTCTCTCTTTTGGCCTCGTTCTTAGCGCCGAGTCTGCTGTGAGGGGATTACTATTCGTCTGCCCCATATTGCACAGCCCCCTCCTTTACGACCACGAACGAGTAACTCAAGAATACGCCGGAGTTCTTTCTCAAGACTCGCAATTTAATTTCCCATGACAAAATCTTGAAGCAGGCGCGAGATTAATTATTCAAAGAAACGCCACTGGTAACACTGACCTCCTACTGTGGACTCGAACTTCATGAATGCCAACCTTCAACCTTCATTGTTCTGTTGTCGTTGGCCGCGTCACACGCCTTCTTCTGCACGTGGAGTTTGGATGTGACAGAAAATATCGGCCGATGGTGCATCTGACATGAGATCTTCAAATGACAGATAGTCGTTCACTCTTCAGAGTCCCCAATAATAGTGACAGAGTTGCCGCGAACCAGAAGGTATGGCTTGATGGCGCGGGTGCCTTGACTATGTATATCTGCTCGTGCTGCAAAGTACACTTATCAAACAATCTGGATCAACGGGGACTCTCGATTCTTGGCCGCAGGCTTTGAGCGCTGAAAGCAGACAATGCCACCAAAGGTCGGAGCATTATCCAGCGCGCCCGAACTTCCACCTGCGCTTTTATTCAGTGCCTGGAAAGTACGCAATCCATCCCCCCAAGACGCGGGAGATGGGCCGCCACCTGTGTGCAAGGCCCGGCTCTGGAAGGCTTACATTTACAGTATACGCCTGTGTTTCGCACCACGCTCTTTCAGTCTGGGACATCAATCATAAATGCAACAGGCAGCAGCCATTCTAACTGGAAACCCCATTCCCAACCTCTACCGCTGAAATCTTGAAAATGGGTTTGGCACGTGCTACCAACTACTTTATCTGGGTAAACCCCATTATCGCCACGATCCCACAGGTGGCCGGTGCGAGGACAGGCTGTCATTTGCATCCATCGCGCCTGCCCCATAAAGCATTGGTTTTTGTTTCTCAACCTTTGCTTGCTTGCATCCCAAGCTCCCAAGTCCCGATGACGGCACGGTGGGGGTAGCAGTGGGGCAGATGACAGGAATATGTATTTGGATCTACACGATTTTGAGAAACGCTGCAGATCGTGCTCTTGAAACTTGAGGCTTGAACATAAGCCGTGATTTTTATAGAAGTCTCAGGGTTCGGAGGGGAACGCAATCGCTGACGCCGCCAGTGGCTCTTTAAGTGTCGGTGGTTTCGGAAAGTCAGAAAGGCCAGGAAGACGCCATGCAGATCAACACTCACGGCGTGTTCATCTTCATCATGCTGCAGATCAACTGGGCCGATCAACGAGTGTAGACTACGACATACGTAGTGACGCCTATCCGGGCACCCGCGGACTCCATGGCTTCGGTCAGATGGCTGGAACCCCACAATTTCCCTGCTTCCATATGATATCATCTCAGTCCCTATCATTAGTTGCAAGACACGGAGTATGCTGGCCAAAGTTCCCAGGAATGAAGCCAAGGATGCAAGTGAAACGGGTTCTTCGCTCCACGAGGCTGCGACCTTTTGATACCCACGCAACAAGATAGGAAAGACAAACGGAAACCCTCAAGTATGTCAACTGAGACCTGTGAACTTGAACCAGGTGTTCCAAGCTTTAACCGGCTTTATGTACTCGGGGGTACACTCGAGGGTACGTGTTTGTATACCCAGTCACCAGCCCATTAGAGCCTAGAGCTGTTGTATATTTATTGGTCGGTGAGTTAATAGACTTCTAAGGTTGGAAGAGCAGCATTTAACAGCTAGACACGGGAGTAGTAAGTTAATAACGCTCGGTATGCTGGCTATGTATTGCCGTAGACTTCTTCACGAGACCAAGTTGCGTTGACAAACTCCAAACCATGCTTTGCTAGTTGTGGGAAAACTTCACAGTAACTTCTAAACTATCATTGAGCCGATTACTACCTTCTCTCACTAAAAACAGTACCGTTACAATTGATATGCTCGTGTTAAATGTTTCCATTGTACATCTGGTATACCAATTCGATAACTTGGAAGATTCAGGCGCGTCGGGTACGGTGTTGACTGAGGTGCTCCGATAGGGTTAAACCCCCCAAAAATATCAAAACTGAGCTTGCCAATTTTAGATGACAAACAACTCAAACTCGCCCACAGATCCAAGAATCTCACCGTATTGGATATTTATACTGTCGCCGGCCCAATTGTGTTGCACTTGTGCCGTATATGCCTGAGGCAGCTAGACAGAAACCTTATCATCGCTTATCATCACGTGATGCGGAGACGGAAGAAAAAAAAGCAAAAGCGCCGTAGCAAAAAATTCAAGTTCCCGCAGGTTCGCCAATCAAGAAATCTCCACCAACCAAGCTGCTTAAGGACGACTTCACAAACAGAAGAATCCTGTAGCCAAGATGCCGGCCCCCGTCGTGGATACCGCAAAAGACATCACGAAGAAGCGCAAGAGAAAGCACGGTGGAAGCGCTCGCGCGACCGAGAACGGCGAAAATGGAGCAGAGACCAAGCCAAAGACTAAGTCGACTAAGGACAAGGATCTCAAGCTTGCTAAGAAGGTCGTGAAGGAGGAGGCGCTCAAGAAGCGGAAACTGAGCCCCTCGCCCATTGGGGAGGAAAGTGGAAGTGAAGAGGAAGAGCAGGAGCAGGATGCTGTTTCCGAGGAGAAGGGTGCTGAAGATGAGTCTGAGGGAGAGGGGGAGAAGGCGCCCGAACTTCCTTCCGTGGATGCGGTCAGCTTGCCGCAGCCGGATGGTGGTCCCAAGAAGTTCACGGAGTTGAATCTCTCCGAGAAAACGCTTCAGGGGATCAAGGATATGGGATTCGAGACGATGACGGAGATCCAACAGCGGACAATTCCTCCCCTCCTTGCCGGCCGTGATGTTCTCGGTGCTGCGAAGACTGGATCAGGGAAGACATTGGCTTTCTTGATCCCTGCTATTGAGATGCTCAGTGCGTTGCGATTCAAGCCTAGAAATGGTATGTTTGTGATTCCAATGCTCTAGGTACAACTCCTAACTTGGCTTGTCTCGGATAGGTACCGGTGTTCTTGTGGTGTCCCCCACGCGCGAGCTGGCACTTCAAATCTTCGGCGTGGCCAGAGAACTCCTCGCGGGACACAGCCAAACGTATGGTATTGTCATTGGAGGCGCGAACCGACGCGCGGAAGCGGAGAAGCTCACCAAGGGTGTCAACCTACTCATTGCCACACCTGGTCGTTTACTCGATCACTTGCAAAATACCCCCGGCTTTGTGTTCAAGAACCTGAAGACCCTTGTTATCGATGAAGCGGACCGAATTCTGGAAGTTGGTTTCGAGGACGAGATGCGCCAGATCATCAAGATCCTTCCCTCCGAAGATAGACAGACTATGCTGTTTTCTGCGACACAGACCACCAAGGTTGAGGATTTGGCGCGGATATCGCTCCGACCTGGACCTCTGTACATCAACGTGGACCACAGGAAGGAGCACAGTACGGTGGAGGGTTTGGAGCAGGGATACGTCGTTTGTGAGGCTGACAAGCGGTTCCTACTGCTTTTCTCATTTCTGAAGCGCAACCTCAAGAAGAAGATCATTGTTTTCTTCTCCAGCTGCAACTGTGTGAAATACCACGCCGAACTTCTCAACTACATCGACCTGCCAGTTCTGGATCTGCATGGAAAGCAGAAGCAGCAAAAACGTACCAATACTTTCTTCGAATTCTGCAACGCCAAGCAGGGAGTTCTCATCTGCACGGATGTTGCCGCGAGAGGCTTAGATGTATGTTTTCTCACCATTTTTTTTTCTTTCACTATCGTCTAACATGATTCTAGATTCCCGCTGTTGATTGGATCATCCAGTTCGACCCTCCGGATGACACTCGTGACTACATTCACCGAGTCGGACGTACGGCGCGCGGTGCCGAGGGCAAAGGTCGCAGCTTGATGTTCCTCCAGCCGTCCGAAGTCGGGTTCCTGAAGCATCTCAAGGAAGCGCGAGTGCCAGTCGTGGAGTTTGATTTCCCAGCCAAGAAGATTGTCAACGTGCAGTCTCAACTGGAAAAGCTGATTAGTCAAAACTACTACCTCAACAAGGTAAGCCGGCAACCCATGCTCGGTGTATGCAAACATGCGACTAACTCCCACCCCTGCAGTCCGCCAAAGAAGGTTACCGTTCTTACATCCAAGCTTATGCATCGCACTCGTTACGCTCCGTCTTCGACGTCCACAAGCTGGATCTTATCAAGGTGGCCAAGGGCTTCGGTTTCTCTGCGCCGCCTCGTATCGATATCCAACTTGGGTCGAGTCTTAGCCGAGACAAGAAGCAGCAGCAGCAGGGACGACGCAGTTACGGCAGCCAGTCAAAGGGCGGGTTGAAGTTCAAGAGGAAGCACGAGGATGATTAATTCTGTCGGTTTTGAAAAGTCAAGAGTACATACGTCTTTTTACCTAGGTATGCTTTGTGATTAGCATAAGGTTCGGAGTTAACTGTGCTTGTTTTGTTTGTTTTACATAGCTTTGCGCTATACAATGCCGCGGTGTTGGATTTCATATTTATATTTATTTACTCAAAAAGTTTCTAATTACTTCAGAGCTACCCTGACTAAGATTTACCGGGGAGAAAATTAACTCAGCCAGAACAGTCGGCTGAGCAACGTTGTAAAAAAATAGATAAATAAGGCTGGTTCGCGTGTTCGACGATGAAACCTGAAGAAAGCGCGAGAACGCAAGGGCGTTGCGAAGGGATAACCGAAGCTTAAATAAGGTAAAGCATGGAACATCATCAGGGGAGATCGGATCGAGGCCCTCATTCCAGGCGATAACCTAAAGTGAACATACCCGGCTTGTGCGCCTCCTAATTATGTGAAGTTTAAGGGTTGAGGTTCGCCCTGAAAATAAAGTGTGCGGAACCAGAACCAGGGACTCAATTCAGGGTCGGTTCCACGGTTCTTCGAGTAAACAAGTTGCAAGTTAAGTTGAAACCGTGTGGCTGGTCCGATCAACCTCGGTGGCTGGACACCGACTCAGTGGGCTCCCACTTCACTTCACTTCACTTCTCCCAGCGGGGTCCATCCTCCGGACTTACTTGCGGCCTCGTGTGTGATAGCCCACGGATGCAGCCAGAAAGACCCCTACCCAATCACCAGCCCCAAGTGGACAGAATGGCAAAAGGAATGAGATGGATGTGATGTGACGGATGAGTTGGCAGCAGGATCGCCAATCGATGGTCGTCCGGGAGACCCGCGGTCAGTGGGCTCCATCTGATGCAGCTTAGTCGTGCTGGACGGACAGACACCTGCCATGGCACACAGGACGGAATATTTTTTCCTTCTTGATGTCGGGGATGGGACCCGGTGTCTCTGTACATGTGTGACTCGAGTCTTGACGATCGCTGTGGGTGTTTCAGTAGAGACGTCTTGTACTGACGGCATCGTTCTCGGGTTTCACCATTTGCGGGAGGCGCTCGGGCAAGATCGACTTGGGTACGAGTACAAAGTAGCTGGAAACTTGGGTCACGGTATAGCAGTCTATCCACATCTAGCTTTTCCTAGCTCTCGGGGAAGGATGGCCCATTATCTCCTTACATCCCTCGGTAGATGAGATAAATGGCTGGGGATGGGATCCCGAGGACCGTTGCCACTTACTTCCAAACACCACTTGGTACCATAGATAGACAGTAAGACAAAGATACAAGTCCGAGAAGGAGATCGGATCTCGAAGATGCTACCCAAATCGCTTCACCCTCGATACTGAACCGAGAAGGAAGTCATCCGACGGTGGCCATGGTGCTGATACAGTCCAGGCCGGAGGCGACCAAGAGGCTGCTCCCTACCCACGTCAGAAGCATGGACTGTCGCCTTGCGTGGTAATAGTCTCTCCCATTGAGTCAGGCTGAAGAGCTGGAGCTTTGTTATTATTATTATGGACCCAAAGGAATGCCCGCCGCTATTTATTCTTGCTAGATTAACGTCTCGATGGCGCCCATGTGAATGTAAAGACACTCGAGTATAGAGCTGGATGGCTGGCTGCCGATTTTAACGGGGACTACGTTTTGCTTTCCGTCAAGAAGAAACCCATTCAAGCTTGAATTTTCGGTCAATCAGGATCGGAGCTTCCGCTGGAATTAATCCTTGCCATCTGCTAGCCCGGCGTCTCGCTCGACTGTTGGTCGGTCGAACGATCTTTTTGTGCCTCCCAGCCTTCTCTTTTTCGCTCCCGCTCGATTCCTTTTCTCTTCTCCTCGTCTCCATCGTTCCTCGACCTCCTCGTGCTTTATTTGCATTCAATTCTGTTTCCCCTTTCTCGCCACCTGCCAGTTATTCCCTTTCTTCACCCTGTGCAGTGCGGCTTTTCTCTTGCTTGGATGTTGCTGCTGGGATTATGAGCGGCTGAACTCTCTCTCCCTCCTCCGTCCAACAACAGCCAGCAAGCTCCGTTTCCTCCGCCCATCCATCCCATCGTCCAGGTCCATCCCTCCTTGACTGATCAGCTGCTGTTGCTCCTTCATTCCATCCCTCCCTCGTTAATCATTCTCCTGCGCTGGTACGCTTGACTTTTCTTTCCTTCTTCCTTACACCTGACAGCCTCAGCCTCACATTCCTTACCTCCCCACACCCCCGCCTCTGCCTCTCTCTCCGTCACTCGCGCCCTGACCAACCCTTGTCCTGAAGCCTACACATCGATCCATTCGATCTGTGTTGATACTTCATCCGTTAACGCCGGGGATCAGGTCTTCCCCAGTACTTCCCTGTCCCTACTCCTTTCCTTAAACCCGATCCCAATCCCCACCCGTTCCGTTGCCCAACTGTTGCATAGTTACTCTATACCCTCCCCCCTCATTTTGGATGAAGAGAGAACACCAGAGTTTCGGAAAGGGGAAGGTCGGCAGACGATGAGCTGCTCGGCTGCCTGAAAGGAAAACATACAAAAGAATACCTCTCCCACTTTTCCCTCCCGTCATGGGCGTCCGCACCCGAAGACCGCTTCTGCCAGCCCCTACAGACTCATCCATTGTCGACACCAGTGGTGGCAGCGTCACAGGCACAGATTTGGGAACTGACTTATCTCGCCGCACAGACAAGACAAGTTATTCGATTCCCGACGACGGGAGTCCCGTCATAATTCCCACTCGACGGAAGCACCGCTCTCGCGGTGAGGACACCAAACTGTCTCGCTCAGCGCATCACTCCCAGACCTCCCTACTCATCGAATACTTCGAGGGTGGGAAGGGTTCTGGTGGTACTAGTATAGTTTCCCGTCCTAGTGTCCGTGTCCGAGTCACTCCCTCCTCGTCCGCGAAGAAGTCCAAGGAACCGAGTGTCCACATCACCGACTCCGCTGGAAACCGGAGGCCATCATATTCCCGTCACATTTCCCTAGGTTCTCCGTCAAAGCAAAAGTCAGGTGGCGAGGCTGCTGGCGATGATCTGAGCTATACCTCTTCGGTAGACGACAATCAGAATCCCGGACCGGTGGAGGTTGAGCTCATGAATCGCGATCAAGGAAGTGAGCTCTCAACCCGCAGGTACCTGCCAGCTTCCGACATCTCTTCGATGCCTGCGGATAGCATGCTCGAAGCTCCATCTTCTGGTCCAGCCCCACGCCGAAAGCGTAGTCAAAGCCGGGAAAGGGCGCTTGAAGAACCCGAGCACGAGGCTGATCCTAAAGATTTTCTCAAAACCCCGAGTCGCCAGAGAAGCCGCAGTTTGAGCACGGAGAGAATTGCTCAGCGCGCCGCGGAAAAGGTTAGCAATTACTCTCGCGACGCCTCGAGCAAACGCCGGTCGGATAAAAATCGAGGCATCGCCACCGACTACCATGATATAGAATCGAAGCCATCGCGTCGTCGAAGCAAAAATAAGGAAGACAATATGGCGAGCCCCGAGTCTAGCTTGCTCAGCGCTTCTGGTGTTTCATCAAATCGCCGCTCTGGCGGTCCATATGACTTCCGCGCCAACACATCCAAGTCTTCATTGAACAATCCGAAACTCCTTGAAACTGTCGAAGATGCCATCCGGAGGTTGATTTTACCAGAACTCAAGGAGCTGAAGAAGGACCAGAAGGTTATCACCAACACATCAAAATTCGAACGCGATTTGAGCAATTCCTACTCTCCGGCAAGCTCTGAATCCCGCGAGGGTGGGCTGATGAGGCGGCTCTCAAAGCACGCAAGTGCGCCAAACGTTCGGAAGCCCAAGGTTGTCCTCAACAGGGATAGCAAAGATGAAGGCATTGTTCTTGCAGATGACTCTGTTTCATCCCAAAAGGGCCGTAGGGCTAGCCGAGATAGTGAGATGACTTCGGACACAAGTTACATCAAGGGTCTTCGACATGAACCGAGCGACCAGGACATGGTACGGCGACACAGAAGCAAAGGCCTACGAGATGCTGAGAAAGCTGGTATTGTCGGCAGTCGTTTAACCGCAAACAACCTCAAGCACCATGACTCGCGGTCGAGCATCGATAAATATGAGAGCCAGAGAGACAGCGAACCCAAAAACGTCAATGAGACCGAACTCGTGTTTCAAAAACACAATGTCGCTCCGATGCCCTTCCGCAGTGCGCTTGAATCGGATCTCATGACAAGAGACTCGATCCTCTCAGAGCAAACTGTAGAACCTGAACCTCGAGGTTCGCGAAATGACTTGGGGCTTAAGCACAGCAATATGTCCAGTCATAACATATCTGTTCACAGCATCTCCGACCAGGGTCGCGAATGGAGCCATTCCCCCTCTATCGAAGGCGCGGCCGGCACTATTGCTGCTGCTGCAGCTGCCAATCTCTTGGACACTCATTCGGACAATCGTGAGCTCAGCTACGGTGACCATCTCAACGCCAGGCGCGCTCTCAGTCCAATCCAAAGTGTTGCCAGCAACCAGAGTGAATCTCACGTCCGCCAAGATTCAACGCAACATGTTCCCCAAGAGTACTCCGGAGACGAGAGGGATATGGAGCCGAGACTCTCTATTGAGTCCCTCTCTTCTGCCCCTAGTACGAGTCTTGCACGATCCCAACGCCCGGCAGGTTTCACCGAGAGCCAAGAGGAGATATACAGAAACCAAAAGGGAACCAGTGTGGATCTTGGCTACGAGGAATCCACTCTGCGATCTCCGCAGTCACCTAGAGAGCGTCACTGGCCAGAAGAGTCGGACGAAGGAGACGACTATCGACACTCGCTCGCGGAAACTGCAAGCATTGAACCTCGGAACATGGCCGACTACGCAGATGGCAGTGAAAGTGATTTCATCGAAAAAGCGAACCAGGGCCGCCCAGTTGGTGAAGGTGTCGCTATAAACCCTAAGTTTGTCCACCCGATAGCCGTCGAGTCAGCTGTGGCTTCAGTTCTTGATCCCTCAATCCTGGATACAAAGTCCAACCAATCTGGAGCAAGCCAGTCGCGCTCAAACACCTATGTGCAGAACGATTCTGGTAGCACGAGGTCCTTGGGACAATTAAACGACCCAGCCCAAACTTCTCGCCAGGGAAGCCCCCTAAAACAACGAATGGATGCGTCCAGTCCAGATGCAACATCCTTCCCCAGACGCATGGGTGTCACCTCCCCGCCACAAAGCGTCACACAGTCATTGGATGACTTAACCGACCCGGTCAAATTGCACCCTACCCAGCACGTTGAAAGCTCAAGTCCACTTCCCGAAGATCGTGATCTAAGCCCCGAAGCCGAATCCGAAATAAACACAAACCCATCCATCATACAGGGCCCTATCGGAGGTGTCCCTCAAGACAACTCTTGGCCATACGAGCCGGTGTCGGCGGACCGCGGCCAGTCGCCCCTTTTTGACGGCGCTGGCCCTGCCGCTGCTGCAGGCGCCGGTCTCGCCTATGCTTCTGCTAGAGAAGCCGGCTATGGCCAGGATTACTACCCTGAAGATGATTACGGTGCCGAGGCCTACCAAGACCAGCAGTACGGAAATGAGGGTGTGTTCAGCACGCCCCCAGGGGCTAAGGATGAGGGATATGTGTCAGCAGCCAACCCCATTTCCCCAAGCCCTGAACTAGGCACGAAGGGGTTCGGCGGGATTGATACTAACGGCCTCGGCCTGTTTGATAGCCCCACGGGCGCCGATGATTCCTTCGGACCATCACATCAGCGACACCTCAGCGGTTACTCCCATGGAGTTGGCTCGCCTTTGTATGACAGTGCAACAGGACGCGGAATCGAACGAATTCAGTCCAAGGATATCGTTGCACTCATGGACCACGTAAGTTTTCCTGCGTTTGTTTTGAAGGAAACCATTTATCTAACTTTTATACAGCTCACGGTTCGCGATGCTCAGCGAAATGCTCGAGACACAGAGATCCTGGTGACTCTGGTCCGAAGTGCCGCTGAAATGCGTAACTCGTTCGAGGAAATGAAGAAGTTCATTTCCCAGCAGGATGGTATGCTGCAAGATGCCAACGAGCGACAGCACGAGCGGACATACAAAGCCATTGGCGGGCCGCGTCCGCTACCTATTAATGGTAATAGGAGCGCTCGCCAGACTTCCGTGGATGATGGAGAAGCGAAACGAAAGAACGTGTTCAAGCGAGCGTTGAAGGGGCTCAGCCTTAAATCGGGCAATGACCTGACAAGAATCGAGGAGATGCTGGAACAGCTTCTTGATGAGATGGATTCTCTGCGAACTAGCCAAAACGACATGCTACGGAGCGGAAACCGAGGTCCAGCCAGTGTTGACCTTGACGGTTACGAGCCTGAGGGACATGCCGGCACGTCATCTCCTGGTGACCACTCTGGATTCCTTTCCAACTCCTCTCGGGCTGCTCCTGAACCTCGTGGAACGCAGAGGGGCATTGAAACTCGCGTCAGCACAGTGCCGGAAGCCGACGAAGACGAGGAGACTGATGAACGGGGAGATTTCTTGAGCCCGCAGCTGCCCTTGCAAGAGACTACGGATACGCAAAGAGAGAGAGCCGGGTCTGCGCCGCTCTCGACTCCTCCACGGGCAGCAGTTGCATCAGGGGGCCTGAGCCACAGCAATGAGACAACGCCCAAGACGAACGAGAAGGCCCGAAAACACAAGTCTAGTAGCTCGTCTTTCTTTCCTAAGATCTCTCGCTGGTCAAGAACCACAGCGTCATCCATGGGAGACAACATCCGCAACAGCATGCAGCCTGGTCGCAAAGAGCGTGTGTCCTTCGATACATCGCGTTCCGGATCCGACATTGAGAATAATGTTTATAAATCGCCCAATTACTACGATCCTCAAGGTGACGACAGAATCCGCTCAAACTACACCCTCGACGAAGGGTCGCCGCAGCAGGAAAACCGACCACCCTCACCGTTGGTTCCATCTCAAGTCTCCGAGGCCCCCAAGTATCGAGCACACCGTGGTAGCCTGGACTTGCAGCACCCTCAGCCGCGTCAGGGGCCCACTGGTCGATACCAGACCCAGCTAGAGTCGCAGGCGCAAATCTACGGGACAAACGGCAACCACTCAGGCCAGTGGGGATCAAACCCCAGCTTCTCCGCTCTCAATGGGAACCGACGATCCAGCGGCGGAAGCCGTCTCTCTCCCATCTCAGACGCAGGTTACTCAGAAACCAGCGCGCGGTCCTCGCGACAGGGACCTCCACGACCACCCAAGGTCAAGGACGACGGGCCTCTATTCCCAGAGAGACCGCCTAAGATCAAGGAAGGCGAAGAACAGTCATATGCGGACCGCGTTGCTTCACGGGTAGGTTGATATAACCTCCTTTTCCAGTATGAAATTGCTAACCGATTGACGTATAGGGCTCTGCTATGCAGTCTCCACGCAACACGCCGCCCACGCGAAAGCCGACTGGACCTCGACCTCTGAACTCGAACAGCCAATACAATAGCCCCAACAGGAGAAGGCGAAACTACCGCGACAGCCCTGAACAAGTTGATGACGAGCACGACTACTAAGTAATACGCGGGTTTGATACTCGTGTTTCTTTTAATATCACGATTTCATGAACAGTCCTCTTTTTTCTTGGTTTTAGTTTTCATGGCTGGCGTCTTGCATATTGATTGCCAAAACTATGCCTGGCCCCCCTTCATATACATTTTGCCGACGGCGGCTGACGAAGATGTACTTTTTTTGTCCTTCGATGATGTACCTAGCGATTCCCTTCTCTGCTGCATATTTTATGCCTACGGTCATATGTGTAATGAAAAAGAACTGCGTACAAATATCTACAACACTTTTGCCTCCCACGTTCCCCCATACTCTTCGTATCCATGGATCCCCCCACTTTTGATCATTGATGCGGGGCAGCTTTTCCTGTAGTAATTAATGCGGCGATATAAACACTTATCACGGCATCGTTTTTTTCCTGTTTCAATATCCTCTTTCATCTCTTCCACTTCTTACCCACAAACATCCATCAAAATGCCACCCAACAACCCTTTCGACCTCCTCATCTGCTCTACCTGCGGCACACAATTCTCAACTCCGACCCGGGAAAAACTCCCCTCATGCAAGATCTGCGACGACCCCAGACAATACGTTCCCCCAACAGGGTAAGTACATCATTTACTAGCAGGATCTAAATATCCCCATCGCACCCTCAAACGTCACCCTCAAACAAAACACTGATACTAGGATAACTACCCAACCAGACAAGCCTGGACAACCCTCACCGAACTGCGCAATTCAAAAGACCCGTCCTACAAAAATATCTTCACACCGGATCCCATCCACGGTGACCGGCTGATCGCCATACACACGGAACCGAGAGTTGCGATTGGGCAGCGGGCCTATCTGTGTCGGTTGGAGATGCAGACACCACCACCATCCTCGGGGGGCAAAGCAGGGGAAGAAGAACCTGAAGGAAAATCTACATTCAATGTCCTCTGGGACTGCATCACATATATAGACGACGAAACCGTGTCCGAGATCAAGAGGCTTGGTGGGATCGATGCGATAGTTATTTCGCATCCGCATTATTTTACGACGCACCTGGATTGGGCGGATATATTCAAGTGTCCGGTGTATCTTTCTGCTGAGGATGAGGAGTGGGCTGTTAGGAGGGGGGAGGCCCAGGTGCTTTTTGGGGAAAGCTCACTGTCTTTCTCTCCCGAAGGGGTCTATGGTGGCGATGATGGGAGGGCGGATATTGTGGCTATAAAAACGGGTGGTCATTTCCCCGGCAGTACGGTGCTGTGGTGGAGGTCCTTGAAGACGCTGTTGATTGCTGATACGATTGCGATTGTGCCGAGTGCGAGGTACTGGGTTGATCGTCCGCCTGGAACAGCATCCTTTACGTTTATGTGGTCGTATCCTAATATGGTACGTCTTCGCTTGAGGCTCTATTTTGCAGATTTTAGAACTAACTTGGTAGATTCCGCTTCCTGCTGATGATGTACATGGCATTTGGAAGGCTATCAAGCATACGGAGTTTGATATCGCCCGGGGCGCTTTTATCGGGATGGATACAGACACCGACAGCAAAAAGCGTCTTCTGGATAGCGCTCAGATTTTTGTCAAGGCAATGGGATATTTGGATCATGATATTCATCAGGAAGAATGTTTTTGATGCAGTGTGCTAAAGTTGGTGGTGTACAAGAATGAAGGCTTTGAATAACCATGGCTCTAATAAGACTGGTAATGATGATCCAAGCGAGACAGAGTTACAAGTCAGAAAACGGGCGCACCGACGTCCTTATTGAAGGCATGCGCGAATGATGCTTTGCGGTCGCCAGCGAGCTGTATTCCAGCCCTTCGCTAATGGGAAATTCTCCCGGGAAACTATCTGCAGACTTCAATTGACGATGTGCGTTCATCTCGAGCGCAGAACGATCGATCCGCGCACTATCTGCAACTAAGGAGTCGATCGAATATGGCTGACTGACGACGCTAAACTGTGGCTCTCTCTCCGAGACAATCTTGGTGTATTGAGCTGCCGAGACAATCTGGCACTGCCGGGGACCCGATGCGACAGAATGTACATTGCTCGCTGATAAACTTCTCTCCAACGAAGAGTAGACCGAACCACTGCCAGGCGTTGGGAGAAACGAAGATAAATCACTAGGCACTCTCGTTCCTTCACCATCCACACCTTCCACACCTTCCACTCCGTTTCGCACATTCTCATTTACTTCATCTATGACTGTTGCATCCTCATTGACTGAAGTGTTGGTATTTTGTATTCTCACAGATGAAGCAGGCGATGACGGTCCTTGCAGGACTACCTCATCCTCACTGGCCGCTTCTTCCGCGGTCTCGAGCGCCTCTAATATCTCAGACGGCGATAGAATGCGCTGAGGCAAAGTCTGAGGTGGAAGGTGAACCTGCGACGCAACCTCGCAAAAACCCTCCTCAAAGTCATCGTTTGTCATAGAGTAAACAATGTCGGCGATGCGCCGTTCTCTGCGGTCTATGGCACGATGGATGGTCGATTTCCGGCCCGAGGCTGACAATGAATTGGCACGGGAGATATGCACCATATATTTCGTGGCCTGTAAGACCTTGAGCTCGACGACTGCCCTCATAAGAGAAAATGTGTTTGCAACATTGACGTTTCGAGCCACGTTTTCGTCGTGTAGTTCGAAGTCATATGGGTCATCTTGGTTCAGCTCCGACTCGGAGAGCAAGCGGAAGCTTGGGTTCGGGGGATCGGCCATGTTCAAGATGAAGACATATCATGGATCGAAGGCCTTTCGGGGACTCCATCTCGCGATGTGAGGGGAGAGTGAACAGAAGTTATAAGGAAGGAAGGAAACTACATCAGTGTTGAGAACAATGGATGAGGAAGGGGCGGGGCAAATCTTTGTATCTCAATACTGCGACCAGTAGTAAGCCGACTGACATGGTCATTATAGAATGGCGATAGCTATAATGATCTGATCTGGTGCTGTAGATGTAGTTGAGATCAACGAACGAACGATGTGCCGGATCTTCCCATCAGCTCCACCCGAGGACCTCAACTCATCCCCCACCCCCATCCTCAACTTCACCTTCTCCCTCGCCATCTGCTCTGTACCTACTAATGCGAGTAGCCCTCCCACTCAACGTTCTTTCATCCCGTGCTAAACAACGTATTGCGATGTCATCTCTCCAAGACTACGACCTTCGCCAACGACGGTTTGCCCCGCTCAACCCAGCCAACCGTGAACCAACTAAGGCACCTCAATTAAAAGGCATTGTATTCGACGTCGACGGCACATTATGGTGCGTCTATCATTCTCTATACTCGAATTACGAAGCCGAATAAATCAAACGTTAACTCTTTCAGTCTTCCGCAAAACTACATGTTCGGCGAGATGCGGTATGCAACCCGCCACGAGATAGAGACAGAGACAGCTAAGACTCACCAGTGCAGCCTTGGGCATCAGTAAATCAGTCGACATTCTACATCACATCCATAGCCTCCCCACAGCTGAGGAGCAGCTCGAGGCGAGTAACAAGATCAAGGCTATTGAGCGCGAGGCAATGCAGCACCAGGAACCCCAGCCTGGACTGGTAGAGTTGATGGAGTACCTACGAGATAAGGGGATCAAGAGGGCTCTGTGTACGAGAAATTTTGAGTATGTTATTCTTCCTCTTATTCCTATTTTCTTTTCCCCCGATGATGGAAACTGGATAAATACTAACAGACGCTTAGACTGCCTGTCATGAATCTACTCCAGAACCATCTGCCAGAACATATCTTCCTTCCTATCATTACCAGGGAGACACCTGGGTTGTTGCCGAAGCCTGACCCTGCAGGGCTCTTGCATATTGCGAATGAGTGGGGCCTGGAGAACCGGAGTGAAAGTTTAATCATGGTAGCTACCCTTAACTTCTTCCCTGTCTCATCATCGACTGATAATTGATTTATGCTAGGTCGGTGACAGCGTCGATGATATGACGGCCGGCCACACCGCAGGCGCGGCAACGGTTTTGCTGCTCAACGACCATAACGGCCACCTGAGAGAGCATACGCACACAGATCTGGTTATTGAGAAGCTGCATGAACTCATTGACATTCTGGAAAATGGGTTCGTCGGGCAGAGAACCCGCGTGGAGCAGCCTTCCGCTCACGGGTAAGCCTAAACTGATAGACAGTTAACCTTGGCTCAAATATCTTCAACATCCAAGGTTGTAATTTTGGTATGATACGGGCGACACATTAGAACTTGTACAGCATAGAGACTTTCCTCGAATTTCGGATATCTTTCATCTTTTATGTGATGCCCTTAAATGGCGAAATCGGCCGCCAATAGCCTGGATATAATACCAATATTGTACAGCAATACACCTATAATCGCCGACCTGCGGCTCGTTAGTATCATCAAACATGCAAACCATCAAAGTCGGTATTTATCCCAGGCCTTCTTAGACGCACTTGGCATGGGTCGGTAGGCGTCTCCGCCACCGCGTTTCCCACCACCGCCTCGTCCACCTCCACGGCCACCTCTACCTGGGCGGGATGGACCAGAAGGACCAGCAGGACGGCCCTGTCCACGCGACGGAGACCTTGAGGGCGGTTGATAACCTCCTCGTCCACGAGTGGACCTCCCTCTATCCCGGCCAGGGGACATAGAGCGCTGCCGCGGGTTATAGCCTCTAGGATCGTCACGATCGCGATAATCCCGGGCTGGCGGTGGCCCGTTCTTCCCACCAATCCGGATGTTGATATTGCCCCTGTTTGCGTTTCGGTTGCCGCCAGGTCCGCCCCTTCTAGCGTTACCGCCGCGAGACATAGACATCGACATCATATCATCGCTATCTGGCGATGGTGAACGAGCATGGTCTGCTCGGCCTCTGATTTTCATGCCGCGTTGCCCGCCGGAGGGTCCGCTTGGAGGCGGACCACCACGTTTGGGATTCACAACGGAGTTGATGTTTGTGATTAAGTTAGGGTCAATTCCACGGACAGTGAATGATGATGATAGGAATGGGCGCGCAAGGGAGGGACAGTCGCCTATTAAGTGGCGGTTGCTTGTGCAATGGGCGCAGGATACAGAGACGAGGACTGGCGCCGCGGTTGTGTCCTGCCGTGGCAATTTCCATAAGAAATCGCAGTCTAATTCGAGGTGTTCCGAGGAACCGCATAAGTCGCACGGGATTTCTGACGCGGAGCTTTTCAAGGCAGATGGGCACTGCTTCTGGTCATGCCCACGTTCGCGGCATCGTTGACATCTTCGCCACTTTGGGCAAAGGGTACTTTGGTGCTTGTTCCAGGCGCCGCAGTGGACGCACTGCAATTGTTAGTCGTTTTCCTTGGGATTTTTGTGTGGTTTGGAGGAAACGTACCTCTTTTGTTGGACAGACCTCAGTGAGATGGCCCTCCCGCAAACATTCCATGCACACAATCGGTAGCTGCAAATTGATATCGTTGATATGTCGATCGTAGAACACAATTTTAGCTTGCAGTTCCATGTCCTCCTGGCATAGGTCGGCTAGGGTAGAAGGCGCATTGGGATATTTCTGCGCGCAACGAAGGAGCGCACTCTCCTTCGAGTCGGCAGCAGATCCATTCGGTGTCCCGTTCCGGTTATCGAATATGTCCACTGGACCGGCCGACTGTGAAATAGGTAGAGTTTCGGGGTCGTAATCGTCGGCCTCGCCGTCATCGGATATAGATATAGCGTCATTCTGGCTTCGACCATGGCCCCGAGAACCAATATTCAACAAGATGGAATCATCTGCTTCTGAATCCAGAGACTCAGAATCATCCGAATCGGCAGACATAGGTGATTGAGAGCCTGCGGTACTATCATGGTCTCCATTCACCTCGCCCTCCTCCATTTGAACGTCGTTTTCAGCAGGTGCCGCTGTAACATCTTCCCCTTGGTCTGACCCTTTTTCTTCCTCGCCCGGCGCAACAGACGAGCTCCGACTTTCTCCGTGTGTCCCATTCACAAACTCAGACTTATTCGCCGCTGCGGGTTGTGATTCTGATCCCGTATTTGCATTTGTGTTTGCGTTCCCATTTTGCCGACTACGCAAAGACGTTCGAATAACGCCTCTGCCAGTTTTATTCCAGTTCGGCGCCGGCGCGCTCGCATTCGCACTTCCCACGTCAGATCTCACGCCCTTCTCGATATCATTCTCGCTCTCGCTCTCACTTTCAGACGAAGACGAAGACGAAGACGAGTCTTCCGAGCCTGAGCCGGAATCCGACTCTGACGCCGACGTACTCTCCGTGCCTGGATCAACCTCTAGCGAATGTGCGCTGAACTTTCCGCCTTTTGGAACGAAATCCTGCACATCAGCAGATTGTGAGCCACGACCGCGCCGGCGACGTTTGTGTGGTGGTTCGTGGGAGGCGTGTCGTGAGGAATTGTTGCTTCCGCTTCTGCTGGCATTTGCGCTTGCGCTTCCACGGTTGCGCTGGGCGCCTAGGGAGGCGATTCTTGAGTCCTCATCGTCGCTTGGTATATCTGGCATGCTGGGAGTTGTTCGGGACGGAAATGCGAGGAGGATGAGGTGGAAAGTGCGAAGAAGTAATTTATTGATTCGTTGGCGGGTGGATCTGAGGGTGGACGAATGAGGGAATGAAAATTTACGGATGGGCGAGGGGACCAACTATGCTGGAATGGTGAATATGGAGGCATAAAGCATGGGAGAGTGAATGTTAAGGATGAAGATTTTTTTTTAAAATAATAATAATAATAATATAATTTAAGACCTTCATTGATAAGACATTTCTTTGTTTGTGCGAAAAAAATTTCTTTGCTAAAATCATGATGACCATAAAAGGCACGCTGAGATCGCTAAATAACCATACACAACAACTAAATGCTAGCAGGGTATCTGTCCAAAATATAAACGGCAGAGATCGATCAACGGTGCCGAACAATTCCTACAACTTTCAATGCCCCTGGTTCAACTTCCACCTTCCAGCCCTCGCGCGTTAACATCTTCGCGACAGCCGGCCCAAGGCGCGAAGTCCCATCGTGACTGTGACGACCCAGGCCAGTGATGATACGATAACCACCACGAGCTGCATCGCCTTCGCTTCCTCTCATATATTTGGAATCTCCGAGCGATTCCCACCAGTCAGAGACGCGCTCACTTGTTATACGGACGGCATCCTGTACAGAGATACCATGCAGATCGACTGAATTCCATGTTGCTTGCCGGTCTGCGAGCGCATCGGCGGATGCTGCAGCCTCCCTCTTTGCACGATCAAGATGGTCACGGCCAACAGACGCATAGTACGCGGCAGCTCCTCCCATCAATTTGTCTGACTTCCCGCGCCTGTAGGCTGCGGACGCCTTGGTGAGGGCATCTGCACCGGTAGAGAAGTGGTACCCCGCAGAAGCGGATATTTGCTCATACCCCCGAGAAGAGCTTGATCCCGCACCCCGTCGCCTGGGTGCTTCTTCGACTTCCACGTCAACTGGAGGAGGCGAAGTGGTGAATTTTATCAACTCAGCAGCCGATCGTGGTGCCGGAGTTGCCATGTATGCTTTCGCCAGCTCATGTGCCGCCGAAATCGAGTTTCTCGTGATTCTCAGTAAGCCGAAGAGAAGTTCTGGTGTGATTTCCGGATAATCTTGCGTCAGTTCCTCAATCTGGCTGGTCATGACCGGGTCTTCAGTAATTAACGTTTTGTTGCTAGGGGCATGTAAGTTTGCGAGATGTTGAATAGTGGCAGACAAAGAGGCTCCATTCGCATGGTAGGTCGACTTGACTGTTTCCTTTTTGAGGATAGGAAAAGTTCGAGCACAAATGAAGTCAACGTCCTTCTGAGCAGCATCCCACTTATTAATAGTAAAACCCGTGTCTGACATCGCAGGTTCGTCAAAACTCGCAGATGAACCAGCGTCTCGGTTTTTACCGTTCCTGTTCTTTCCTTTGCGCTTCCGACCCTTCTTCGGCCCGGCGTCGCCATTTTCAAACCCTTCCACGCCTTTAGGTACGGTGACTACCACACCTTCTTCGTCGGGCTGCTCACCGTCAAAAAAGGCGAGATTGAGCAGGACATCCATAGATCGATCAACATCGCCATTCGACTTCTTCAAGGTATGTTGGATTGTGAAGCGCTCCGTAGTTGGGAACATTTCACTGAGATAAAATATTTTGTCTTCCTCTGTAGCACCTGACAGCAAAAGCGATCCATCTGGGCCTATTATGTATGCGATTTGGGGCGAAGATGTTGAACGGCTCTTATCGCTAAGGCTGAGACCCGAGAATTCACTTATCGCATCGGTTGCGCGCGAAGGCGTTGTATCGGCCTGGGACAAGCTTGGATCCGAATCTAATCCGCCAGTCGAGTTCAGTCCGCTCGTGCCCGAAGGGTCGAAGGGCAGATCTTCCTGCTCCCAAGCAGACAATTTGAGCGCATCCAGGGTATCGCGCAGTTGCTGGAGCTGCGCCGAATCCGTAACGTCATAGTCGAAGACTATCGCCGTGAACAAGGCCGGGTCAAGGGGCGGGCAGTAACTTTTTTCCAATTCCTGCAGACAGAACCCTGAGTTAGAGAGTATCCGATTGAAGCAGAACGCGCCACTGCTGTCATCAGGGATGGATGGAGGAATATACTGACTTTCAACGTGGCTTCATTGTTATCAGCCATCGTCTGAGTCGCTCGCTATCTGGCGTAGAAATATTTCGAGTTTCCTGTGCATGCCTCTGAGATACCTCGTGTGATTGTGTTGTTCGTCGCTCGAAAAGTGGGGGAATGCCACGACTCAAAGTCCGAACACAAAAGATCCCAGCATGGATGACATAAGGAAACGATACTCCACTGCGAGTTTACTACTTCTACATCATGGCTATTTCTTCCACAACAAGCAACGCATGGCCATTGATAGCTACCACTCGCTTATTTGACAAGTAAGGGAACATCGCTAATCCTAGCTCCCAGGGAACCCCGCGTGGACCAATGTTCAAAAGTCACATCTATCCCATAGCTGTCGAGTAAACCTCAATCATTCTCGAGACTGACAATCACCTAATCCAGAGGGTTTCCCGAAATCAAGGCATCATACCAGTTGCAACTGCTCGATTCTGGCTGCGGCAATGTAACGTGGGTGACGAACATGACTTCGCGGCGGTACAGCTCACAATGCTGAACCTCCAGCGTTTTCATCGCTTAGGACGCCCTCCCCGTCCTCTCCAAACCGCCCCGAAAGCTCATCGCGGAGCTCAGAGAGCCTGTCCAGCAAATAACCCTCGCAGTTTTCGCTAGTACCGGTTGGCTGAGCTGGAGCGAGTTGGGCAAAACCGGTGCTCTCGGGTAGGCCTTCCGAACCCGTCGGGAAGGGAAAGCTCGGGAATGGCATCGATGGCTCTGGTTCCTCGGAGCCCTCTCCTGGGAATGGTAAGGGGAATATCCGTTTTCCATTCTGCACCTGGCTTGCGGGTGCTGGTGCCGGAGCTGAAAGCGCGATGCCGCACAGGCCGATCAAGATGGTGGCAACTTGGAGCTTCATGCTGAAGGACTGCGTTGAAAGAGGATTATTCGGAACTGAACTATTGATCAGGAATGGCCAGTGATCAGCTTGGTGTTTTACTTCTTCTTCTTCTTTTTGGTTCTGTGAGAGGAATCTGCTATTTATACAACCTCTGAAAATGCGTCTTCCTCGGACAACTTCGTGGACAGCACTGCATCCTTCTTGTTCAACTATCGAGCAACGAGCATACGTAACTCCTGTGGTGCTATTCAAACCTGGACATATATCAAGGATGGATGAGGATGGGACATATCAAAGTATCGGCCCCGGACCCCAGTCGTAACAACCCTCAACGTTGCTCCGAACCGTCGAGTACCGTTACTCTCGCTTAGAAATATTCTGAAAGAAACGTATACCCACGTCCGTGAGCTATTTACCTGCCTGCCTCGGCACGAAGCCCTGGGTTTCAAGTCTTCGGGTTATCCGCGTAATGTTTGCTGCGGGTGTGAGTTAGCGATGTATACGAAACGTGTCCCCGATAGAGATACCTACTCCCGAGATGCAGTGTAAGTATACGTAACTCATTCCAAGGAATCCTGATGTCTCTAGCCGGGCTTTTCCGACTGTGGGCAAACTTGGCTCCATGCTGCTCAACGTCAATAACCCTATCCATGCCTTGCTTTGGCCGGCACAGAGAGGGCGTCGTCAGCAACGTAGGCTGATACTCTTGCGGAACCCGTGTTAATATAAATGACTCTTTAGGCAGAAATAATTTCTCAGAGGCCGTCAGATTATACCAGAGATCGGGCTTGCATGAAGATAAAAGATCTCTGCAATGGCCTCGGAAGCAGCACCAGGCCCCGACACTCCACGTCAGCACAAAAAAAAAAAAAAAAAAAAAAAAAAAAGTCCGCCAGTAAATAATAGATCCCGCCGAGATCCCAAAGGGAACTCGTAATGGGTTGCACTACAGCGTACATGGGTATTCCACTCAGAGCTTGTTCTATGAAGCTGCTTCGTTGGAGGGCTTGGACCTGGCTCCAGTCTACTTCACCACAAGAAGAGTGGTGTGACCTGTGATACCCATGCTTGATTTAGGTGACTCCTGACGAGATAACTCTCTTTACTATCAGCTTTGGTGTCGGGGGCCCTCGCTTCAAGCATTCGTCTCAACAACGTGATCGCCAGTGCCTACGAGCAAGGTCTGAGGCCCGGTGACAGACAAGTTCAAAACTCGACTGGCATGTGAAGAAAGTGAGCGTCTTGGATTATGCAGAAATTAGTACTCCCTTACGCGGCATGAGTGTTAATGAATGGAGACGTTGAATATTCAGACTTTCAGAGCACAGAGACACGCCAGGAGATCAACGCAGACGCGGACGAGGGCAATTCCTCGTACAGTCGGTGAATTCTGCTGCACAGCGACTTGGGCATGACAAGGTTCAAAGCTGCTTTCCGTGCATCGACCGAGACTGATAGCCAAATTTAGGTGCAGCTTCGCATCTGACCTATCCAGCATCTACCGTCTGTAGGCGACATGAGGCATCCAACATGATCTGCGAACCGTCAATAGCGCTGCAGAGAGGTCCCAATATCAATGCAGACTCGGTTCCCACCTGACAAAACTAGCTGGAATTATTTCAAGAATATGCCGACGTCGAATGCTGACCGGTGAAAATTGTCTCTCGCACCTGAGGCGTTGCGTCTGTTCGGCATTGCAGTGACGACGAGCCTGGCTCCCTTTCATCCGACTCACGAATCAGATGTATCAGACTTCAGGTGGCTTAATTGATTCTCGAAAGGAAATTCATTTTCCATAACCAAAATAAGGATGGCAGACTTGGTGAGATCATATTGTATAGACCGTGAGCCCCTCGCATTGCCGGAACTTTCCAGTCAAGGTTGCGGTGTGAACAGTCTCTATATAAGAATCGAGGATTCCTCTTGACCAAGTAATTGCATATTCCAAGATTCTCTGTCCATCTCGATCTTCTCTCCATATCCAAAGTCATCAGCCAAACAGCCAGAATGCGCTTTCTCACCTCGCTCTCCCTCCTTTTCGCCTTCGCAGTCTCTGCGCTGGGTTCGTCCACCCCCAGACCAACATTCCACCTGCCACAAAGCTAACAAGACAACAGCCCTGACTATCACTACCCCAAAGGAAGATGATGATGTCGACTTCAGCAAGCCATACACAGTCCGCTGGAGATCCGTCCCGTACGCCAGCCCCTAATCTTCAAGACACTCCATTTCATTCCTGTCAACAGACACTAACATGCACTATACAGCAATGACTCCAGCAACTTCACCATCACCCTTGTCAACACCAACGGCCACAACGTGAACAAAGACGTCGCCACTGAGGTCAATGGAGACGAGGGAGAGTACCGTATTGATGCGGTCAGCGGTGTTCCCCTTGGGTATGTGCTCCCTCCTACCCACCTGACTGCATCTTTGCATCATCATCATCGGCCGTCTTCTTCTTGCCGCAAGGGGCTGCAAAAGTCAAAGACAGTTCTAACAAGAATTCTTTCAATGAAACAGGGACGGCTACCAATTCAACATCCGCTCCACCGCACGAAACAACCAGGGTATCCTAGCCCAAAGCCAGAGGTTCAACGTGACCAAGGTTGCCCGTCGTACCACGAACGATGGTAAGTACCTCCCTACTTACTTCCAATATAATGTCTACTCCCTTATTCCGTCTCAACCCTCGAAAATTCGAAAAAAAAAAAAATTCCATTTTGTTCTCGCACTCCTTACTAATGAAAATTCGCGAAATAACCAGACAAGAACGACTCCGACAACTCCACCCAGACAAGCTCCTCCGACGATTCCACTGAGACCAACGCTGCCGTTGGAAGCCTCGGCGGCATGGTCGGAAGCTCAGTTATCGCAGGCGTGGTTGGATTCGCTGTGTTGTTGGCTTTGTAAGGCAGTGCCGGGGTGAGTTAGGGTTGTTGATGGGGAACTATCTATCTAAAGATGGGCACGGCGCGAGAGGCCGGGTGGAGGATGGAGGTAGACTTTTTTGGTGCCATTTTGCTTTGTTTTCCAAGATATGATGCGACGCTCTTTAATGTGTGGATGGAGGGATGTTACTTAGAATGGTAATAGTAACTCAGGCATGACTAGACTAATATAATGGCGCTGCCTGCAGGTTGCTGATGGTTTGTGCAGGCTGCTCCCTACGCCAGTCCGAGACCCAAGCGGATATTTATGCAAGGGGGACGATAATAGGTCAATATGATGGGAATAGATTAATTTAACAGTCTGATTTCATTTCAATCCATTTCTATTGAGTGTTGAGCACGTACAAGCACTAGGAAATATCACGTAAGAGAGCCGGGAGTTATAAAACAGGAAAGCAATGAGAATTCAGGCAGAAATTTTGGTAGAGAAGGCCGCCGAAAGGAAGCAAAGAACAAGAAAGATCCGACATCCCAAATATGTACTCGTTTCCACAGCCCTTTCTAAAAAGAAATATATATGAGACAAAATATCAACCAACCAAAGGGGTATTGAAAAGAAAGAAGAAAGGAACTATGAGACTGAAAATGTTGCCATCTACGGGGCAAGCAGAACAGAAGGGTAAGGAATATAACTCGGAAACCGACGCAAGAACCGCAAAAGAGCCGTGGGAATGGAGCAGGCTAAAACGAATCAGGTGACGAGCGTCGACGTCTACCTGCGACTTGAAGAATATTAGGAAAGGTGCCATTAGACGTTTCGAAACGCTCAAAGACAGGTAGGTCATCACCGAGGGAGGACATGGGAACTTCGTGATTAAGTGAGAGAATCGAAATCAAAAATCTAAGGTCAAGAAAAGAAAAAGATGAACGAAAGCGGCTTTGTAAGATATTAGGCCTCAACCTTCTTACGCCGAATAAAGAAACGGCGTGAGAAACTCGAGTCCTTCGACGGTGGGGGGCGAGGAGGCTCCGGGGGTCCAGTATTGCGCAGAAAATCGGCCAGCGCGCTGGTCTCTGTCTGCCGTTCCGAGACAGAAGCCAGGCCATACATTGAGTCTGTGTTGCGCTCCGAGTTCGACTTGGTTGAATAGTTTGAAGGTCTCGTAGGGTTCTGGCTTGACTGTTGGCGCAGAGAGGACTGAGAAGGCTTCGACGAGGGGACCCTCGGCGCGGGGGCTTTGTCAGAAGACGAGCTGCGCAGTAGTCGAGACTTCATTGCAGAAGCGCCTCCAAAACTGCTACCTGTGATTTTAGAAGGTTTATTGACCGCCAATGGTTGAGGTTCCGACTCAGGGGGAGGCACATTGCGGAGGAAATCAATTAAACTTTCTTCCTCACGCTTTGGTTTCGTCTCCTCCTCGAGCAACTCTTCCAACTCGTCATCGTCCCAGTCAAGCGCATAAGGATCTGGTACCCGGCGTTGAGTACGCTTAGGACGAGGATCATCTTCGTTGACAGTTCTACTGGTAGAGTTGGACTGCGGCTTAGTCGGCACTGATCTGGACTTTTTGTTTGCCCCCTTTGACGAGTCAAGAAGCCCGGTGCGCGAGCCAACAGAAGCCTGCGACTTTGTGGCCGACGAGTTACCTTGAGTGCTGGTGATTGAGGGTGCAGACTGCTGGTAAGCCATGTCGTCCGAGTCCATGGTGTTGCGGAATGGCGCAACAGTACGTGGAATACGACGCGCTCCAGCGCTTGGAGGACCTTCGCGGATGAAGTCGATCAAATCAGACGTCGAGTTACCTTCAGCTTTGGGACCCGCAGCAGACCGAGCTTGTAGTCTAGGTCCGCGAGTTGAGTGCGAAAAGGCACTCTCGGGCCGAGAAGGCGGCTTCTTTGACAACTCTGCAGTATCGGAGGATGCGCGCGGGCCGGGCGATTTAGCGGTAAGCGGAGGGCTGGCTGGTCCAGAATTTCGGATAAACTGAGCAAAATCGGAGCTCGACTCAGGACTGGGTCTAGCATCGCGAGCGCTTCCCGGTTTCGGCTTCTGTGGGACAGTCGGACGAGAGACCTGGATTGGCGCAGGCTTCGGCTTCGCGGGAGCTCTAGACTTGGGCGAGGGCTGGCTTGAAGAAGTGGTTGCACCCCTAGTTAATGCCTTGGATCGAGTTGCGTCTTCTGGGCCCGAGCTCTTCAAGAAATCCGCCAGGTCTGCAGTGTTTGATCGCTGGGGTTTCCATTTTGGCTCTTCGGGGAACTATCAAAATGTCAGTATGAGGGTTAGAAAACTTAGGAAAATGTTGCTGGCAACGTACATCCATTTCCCTCACACTCTTTGGCGTGAGAGTGAAGTGGAGTGTCTCTTCACTGCGAATCAATTCGTCCAAGCCAGACTTATCGTCGTATTGCTCTGCAGTTCCACCAGACACTCTACTTGTTTCCGAATCACGACGAGGACGTGGAGAAGCAGGTTCGTTTGGACGATTGATCAAGCCTTTGAGTTTGTTTGAGACCTGAGATGTAGTGGAACCGGCAGTCATTGGGCGCTTCTCTCGGTGGCTACCGAAGCTGCCTGATCTGCGAGGTCTTGTGAGGGTTGAGGGGTTTGTGAGGTTTGATGGATGAGACGATGGTGCAGCGGAAGTCGCCGGACGTGTTGAGATACGCTGAACTGCTGCACGCTCTGTTGCCGAGCTCGACACTGATGACGTCGCAGAGCGTTGGCTACCACTTGCTAGGTTATGGGGGCTGGGCCGAGGGTATGTACGTGAATAGCTAGAACGAGGACTGTCACCAGAATTGGAAGCAGGTCTCGATCCTCGAACGCTGTCCAACGATGGGCGAACTTCACGGCCCGGAGTCGGAGGTAGGCTCGCGCTCATCTCTGTGGAGGGAGTGTGCGCAGTGGCGGAACGCACAGCGGTGGATACATCTTCACCCTGTTTTTCCACGCTGGTCACCACTTGGTCGTTCGAGGAAGGCACAGATGTAGTCGAGACCGATCGTTCATCTCTCCGCGAAACATCCTTGCTCGGCTTCCGCTTTGGCCGCTGCACAGAAGTCATGCTGGGTTTCTCAGCCGTTCCTTGACCTTCGATGATCTCAGTATCAGATTCGGCTAAAAAGGTAGAGGGCGTCTCCGGTGCCCGTGAGACCTCCCCTGATGAGCCATCCTCCTCAAGCGTATCCGACGGCACTCTGGCTTTTGGTTTGGACTGAGAGAGTTCTACAGCGGATTCTTCGAGCTTCTGACTTTTGCTGTTTTCATTTGCCAGCGACACTCGCCCAGTCTCCTCACGTTCCTCCTGCTCATACATGGTCTCCAGACGCCGTCGCTTCTCCGACGCAGTGGGAGATGATCTATGAGTAACTGCATCATCTTCGTCAGTTGATGCGACATCAGTTGTTGGAACATCAAATGTTGGGACAGCAGGGCGGCGAGGTGTGCTTGGTAGAGACCGCGATCGGGCGTGGTGGGCAGATGGGCCACTGCCACCTTTGGGGTTGACTGGCGAACTGATGTTTGAACCTGGCGACCTCGGCGATTGTAGAGTGAGAACCATCAAACTTTGTGGGCGGACTTTGTGCGCGACCACAGCCTGCATGGTCTGGATTTCACCAGTCTCGGTATCTGCAAGGTCTGGCTGCTCGATTTCTTGAACGTCATTCTCGCCCATAGGTAGAGGCACTGATACGGGATCAATCTCAGAGCGGTCGTCAGGCTGGGGCTCCTCAAGGGGAGGGGAGAGCTGCGATTGAACATCATCGGCCACGGAAAAGCTGCTCTTCCTGCTATGCAACCCAAGAGTATTACGGCGTCTCAAGGAATCGCGGGATGCCAGTCGAGACAAGTTTGGGGTACGAGTACGCTTTCTCCACGTTCGCCATAAACGCCCAAGCGTTGGATTTAACGCCAGTTTCTCCATATCGAGCTCCTCCACTATCAGTCGGTTCATGCTTCCTCTTTCTTTGTTAACCTCCTCATTCTCCTCGTCACATTCAACAACAAGTTTGGTTGATAGGCGAGATCGAGCGGTTTCTCCAGCGATTATGAGAGCCTGCTCTCCAATATGCTCGATGATTGAGGTCAAGAAAATGGCTGCAGCGGGTGTGATATTGCCGATATGATTGGTGAATCGTCGCGGCGCCCCTTCATCGTCGACTAGACCTTCCTGGGCGATATATTCCTCTTCATCGTCCTCTTCCATGTCGCCGAGGCGTGTATACACCATACAGCGCAGGCGGGTCAGTTTCCAGGTGTGAATCAGGTCAAATTCACCGTTCGGTGCCTGGCCACCACGAAACTCAACTTGTTCGTCCTCCTCTTCTCCTAGGTACTCGCTCAACTCCTCGTCGGCCACAGACACCACCATCTTCGCTAGCCGAGGCTTTAATACATCTGCAACAGTCGGTCTAATGGAAGCGAGCTGTGTCGATTTGGCAGCTGCTAAAATATTGAGGAGGAGGTGGTCGAGAAACCCATTGAGAGCGGACAACGCTTCGGTAGTGACGAGGGCACCGGTGTCATCTTCTTCGTCGGCTACAAAATCGACAGTGTTGAACTCTTGGTCTGAGGTGACAATCTGAGATGCAGAAGACTGCGCAATGAATGACGGAGGAGGGTTCACGGAAGGAGGTGCTAGATGAATGAGAGAAAGTTGCGAATCGCTAGAAATACTAGCACTGCGGGAGCGAGAGCGAGAGCGCGGAATTGTGCTGAAGTCGGATTCTGGGGCCTTGATGTGTTGCATCTTGTGCGGCTGCAGTTAAAAAGCGGGGAGGAAATAAGAGTAGCGAGTCTAATACTAGGAGTAGGCGATTCTCTTCGATAAGTTAGTCAAATCCAAACCAGGTATAGACGTAGGAGATCTCCGGTGGCCTGCTCTCTTCTTTCCCCAACGTCGGAGGATTATTCTTTTCCTTGCGTTGAGCCGTCGTTGCCGCACACTGCAGGTCGCGGATAAAGCCCTGGAGAAGTGCGGGACGCCTTTTGGGGGGGTTCGCCCGCAGATTTCTGCTTTTATCTTCTTTTCCTTTGTCCTTTTTTTTTTTTTCCTATCGTTTTCTTTTTGTTTTTTACTTTTGGGCTCAACGTCCTGGCAGGAGGAAAAAAGAAATGAAGGAGGCAGAGAAGGGATGCAGGATAAGCGTGAGATGCGGAGTTGAGTTTCTTTTTCACATACCCTGTGTGACAGATCAATCAATCAGCAGCGACAGTTGTTCATTGCGTCCTCGGAGTGTCGGGAGGGACGGGAAGGGGAACGAGAGTGGGAGCAGTGAATGCGGAAGAAAAACCAAGGGAAGGATTGATGAAGAAGAGAGCAAGACGGAACACGAGGAGAGGCGGGAGGAGAGTCAGGAGAAGCGTGGATGGGTTGACACAGCTCGATTTCAGTCTCTCCAGTGAATTTCTTGTGTTTCTCCTCCGCTGGTCAACCATTAAGGTACCCGCACCTTACCCAGACTAAGGATTAGTCTTGCAGAATCAGGAGACGGTGGAGCAGCCGATGGCGTATCCCCCCCTCTGTCCTTTCTGTGCTCTAGCAAATAACACGCTCTCTGGCGGTGGAGCTGGGTGGCTCCTCAAGCGGAGGAGGCAGATTTCTTGTCCCTGAGTCTGTTGCAGAAACAACCGTCAGGGAGCCCACGAGGTGAAGCCTGGACGGAGGAAGCCCGCCACCGCCAGTGCCAGCCTGGCCAGCACGAAGGCGTGGAGCCCATCGCCACGATCGGCCTCTGCCAGGACTTGCCCTTTTTTTGCCCGAGATGTACAGGTAAGCACTCATAGTGCCATCTTCATCCGTGGTTCTGGTCGTATCGATCCCAATAGTTCGGCGTACTAATATTACCACGGTTCCTCCTGTTGGGTACGGACTTTCTGCGGCCAAACACCATCTCCGTCTCTCTGGGCCCTCAGCGGCTCAGGCCTGGCATCGACTTGACAGAAATGCACCAAAACCCCCCCGACTGATCGCCCGACCCAGACTGGACCAATTGCTCCCGGTTCCACCTGGGCTGCCAGTCCCACGCACTGGGCCTATTGCACTTTACCCTTTCGGGCAGGAAACAGAATGCGCAAAGAACCTTCGACCCTCGGAAAGGGGCAGTTTTGGCCCGAAGTCTGGAGAAGGCGTGACATCTTCACCGTTGGACATGCATATTTGCTTTTCCCCTTGCGCACGCAGAAATCGACCTGGCTGACTCGAAAATCCGAATTGGGAACTCGCTGCCCATATTCCCCAAAAGTCAAAGACTGCGCACGGCTAATTCTCAGGATGGACAATAGCAGTAACATTTTTAACTCCGAAACTTGGTGAATCTGCCACAGCTGCGGCCAAAAAGCAAAAACCCAGCAAAACCAAGGGAGTGGCTGAGACCATCCCACGCTCAGCCCACGAACAAAGCATCGCAAAGACCATGCGACATGGCAAGTTTCCCTGCTGAAACGACCATCTGGCCTTATAATTGCTCAATCTCGGACTTCTCAGCGCATGCCGACCTGTAGAACTCTCATCTCATCCAACCTCCTCCCTCGCTGGTTCCAATCTGTCAGAACGCACATGAAACCCCGTTGGAGGCTCGTTGGAATAATAGGTTATTCCAAGAATATTCGACGCTGTACCCATGCCCACGCGGGCCAAGCACATTTTCGATGAATCTTCCACAATCCACATCCTCTGAAAGGACAGCCCAGTCACCCCGAGTCAGTTAATCCCACATAAGCCAATCGTTTCACATAATTCTGCCCCTCCCGTGGTTCACCCTCGGTTGCGATCCTTTTGAAAGATCCCGTTTGTCGATTTAAATCGATTGTGTGGGCTGGCTATGGGGCGATGAACCATGGATGCAACCGTGGTTCGTGCGGTTCTTGCCTTGTTCTCTTGTCGATTTGTGCTGGGCTTGGGCGATGGCCGGAGTTTATCGGTGTAGTAGCGATCATTAATTGGCTGCTGGTCTGTGTTTCAGATCGCAAAGAGGTCAATAATAAGAAAGATGAACTCGGATATGAGATTGGCTCAGACTCTGAAACATCTTATCAATAGCGCTGTTCAACGAAGCATCATCCTTGCTCTCATGAATTTGATCTTGGCGTGAGAGAAGCATGCCAGAAAGAAAGGCTATTGGCAAAAATTCGGATAACTACAATACCTACAAAAAACAGTGATGGCATGCCCTGTTAAATTGAACGGGAAGGCGATGCAATCATGTTAAACAGCGAAGGGCCTATTCTTAACCGAGAAGCAGTTCTGTTGTTCCCATACTTGGTCCATTGAGAAGATTCAGAAGATTCCTCGTGCCGAACATCGCTATTCCATATTCTATCCACCCTGCTCCTGAAACAGCTTTGGCTACACCTATTAAGCTGCTACTTGATCGTCGGGGTAATACTGAGATATCTAAACGTCCGTCACGTATCACCTGTCCCCTAGCATCGCCTCTGGCCCCCAATCCCGTCCTTAATAATACGAACTGCGCCGCTTCCTGAGTTAGGGTTCCATTAGAATTTCTGGCCCTGCTTCTCCAAGTAATCCGCGCGTACTCTGGAGGTGGCCAACTGGAACGATCAGTTTCCCAAAGTTCGGGAGCTAGAGTAAGCCGGATTCCATATGCGGTATGTCGACACTTTCTCTTTTGCCCGAACACAATGAGGTGAGACTACGTACGGTCCATATTCTTAGTATGGCAAGATCTCACGTCGATGGGCTTAGATGCATATATAGCGGATGATAATCGAGGTAACCTCACCACGCACACAGTACTATCAAAGTCCAGAGTACACAGTATCGGCAAGTTAGTTATCGAGATTCAGGCGCAGTCTGAGTCATACCGATCTATAATTAGTTGTCCATTATTCATGCGCGAACACTGAACAGTGCAGAAACCCGAGGGCACTTTTCTCTTGTTGGTCTGTCCTTGGCCCCGGTCGGTATCGCCGCGCGACGACCTGAGTTAGTCCAGGAGAGCCCACGTGGTTAGCCAGCGGTGGGACCACAACCGCGTGGACTGGCAGTGATCTTACCTTTCTTCGCCTACAAAGGTGTCATCGGGCAGCGAAGGTTAGGGTTACGGCCTATGGGAAGAGGAAGATGCATAGGGTATTTACAATGCCTATTGATTTGTCGCTAACAATTCCAGATTGGAAAATACTCTGGGCCGAGACAGAGTATCACTATAGTGCCGCTACGAGAGGAAACCACCAGTATTGTATGTATACGCCTATACTCCGTAAGGAGACATATTTTTCTCCCTCGTTCCCCGCATTCATGTTTAATGTAGCATTAAGGTCCGGAGGACCAGTGGATCTCATTCACGACTCAGCTGCCAGTAGTCATGGCTTATGAACGCCACCTAATTATTTCGGTTGATACGTGGATTCATCACGGATACTAGATAAATACTGATCATCGCCTTGGGCCTGAGATTGGCGGTGTTGACTCCTGCTGGTTTAGGGAACGGACTACGAGCTATACATCGTAAACGCTCCGAGGGAAGCTTGGACTAGAGGACGATAATTTCTATCATGGACCTCGTTGGCGAGAATAACAGGGCCAGAGAGCTGGGGATAAAAATCCACTACGTACTTACTTGGTTTGGGACGGGAGGAGCACGCAATGACCTCGTTTCACCATCATTGAACCGTTGGTCTCCAACGGGCTGTCAAGTTTCGACTTCGATCCTTCCATAGCTTTTTGATGATGAGATTCCATTCTCGGGTTGTAAGCGATGAGGATCTACAGGGGTTTCGGGATGGTTAATTCCTACGAGAACCAAACACTGCTTGAGTGGGAAGAAGACGCAAAGAAAAGATACTGAAAATATAGATCTTTTAGATTCCTTGTTGCAAATTTTTGACTCTATCGCTCAAAAACAATAAATAGACAGTTAGACCCCGCTGAAATGCATTTCCGTCTCATGGCTGTTCGTAAATCGTTGGATACGATCCTCGGTAACTGGACTTTTGTTTTGTTTGTTCTGGGGACGTGTTGAATTGTACCCATCGTTTGTGGAGTGAGTCGCACTGGAAGACGAGTAACATCCCCAGTTCTCAAGCGCGTAGGCAACGCCACTAGCAAAAAAGCTCAGCTCATCGGGCCCGATGTTCACATCGCCGTTGGTCAATCGTTCACATAGCAGATGCTCGATTTTATCAAACATATCGTGGCTGAACCCTGCTTCCGGACAGGTATGATCCGTCTTGCCATTAACCTTGACAAGATCAAAAAATTCATCTTTGACCACAATGTTGCGGAATGTCCCGATGACATGGCTGAGGACTGTGTCTAGATAAACCGCATTGGCACTATCCAAATCCAAAAACGGTGATGGCACGCGGCCTGACTTGAAATCTGCCACCCGAGCACGTAGGCGAGTTTTATATTCCGGATTTGCGATGCCGTTAATGCCGTTCATGTAAGCCACAAAAAGCCTTTTATCAAGATCAACAATATCGTCTGTATGTTCAGGAAGTTGTTCGATAGAGTCAGAAATAGCTTCATGGTTAACATCATCGACGTCGCTGGTTTCCGCCCCGCTGTATGTTTCCTCATGAGACTTGTTTGGGTAAGAAGACGCCCGTGCGATTGCCATCATCTCGTGGCAGGTCATGCCAGCATCACCAGCACCGCCGACATCGCCATTTTCATCATCTTCATATTCTTGCGGCTCAATATAGTGCACATTTGAGTCAAAGCGCACCGTTGATTCGAATGAAATGAATGAGCCGTCGAAAGACTCAATATCATCGATACAGAGTTCGGACATGATTTCTGAGGTGTCATCCCAGTCTGGAATGTCGCACATATCGCCATCAGTTTCTTCAAAAATGTAGTCAGGATTATATTCTGAAGAATCGGAGGCATAGCCGGACTCTGACTCTTCGTCTTCTTCAATTTCAGCATATGTTCTCTTCAGTATCGGCTTCGGAAGCTGGCGTAAAGGTTCCGTCGAAGGCGCCACGGACTGTATCACGGCTGGATTGAGAGTAACAGGCTTGGTAGATGTTACAGACACGTCGTCTGAAGCATAACAGCTGTCCCGCGAGAGCGAAACTTCGAGGTGCGAGAAAGTTGAAGAAAGCGACTCCCAAGACCTTTTGCTCATATTCTGAACGCTCATTTTGCTCGTTCTCGGGTCGAATTGTCGGTGTTTAAACCGACAGTATACACCGACTGGACGGATAGGATCGAAGTTGTAGGATGTGTTAGAAGCGATTTCAATCTCGCTTCTAGGTAGACCCTCAGCTGAGTCTGCAGCTGAGTCAAAAGGGGTGGATGTAGTTGTTTTTGATGTATGAAGTGTATGGCTTCGAACGCCTCCCAGTACGATTATAGGAGTCCATGGTAAGTCGTAGGTAATAATCCCGCTTACTGAGGGAAACAGGGGCTACCCTGAGCCTGGCGTTCGGAGTACATGTTGGAGTCGCGAGTTGAGGTCTGGTAAGTCGTTGAAATATGGGGTTGTTTGTTGTTCCGGAGATGCAGAAGTCGCTGTTTTGAAAAGGATGTGGTTTTGGTCGACTGGTTAACGTAATACATGTAGACTGCGAGTCGTTTGATCAGGAACAAAGGGAGAGGTTGAAGGTTGGATACGCGTTTCGTATCCGTAAAATGGCGATTTCTGCGTAAACAGGTCCGGAGTACGTTCAAGGCTTAGACTTGGTAGTCTAGCACAAGTGATGTAATAGTGTCGTGGACAATGAAGTCGACAACACTGTTATGTCCTCCTTTCGTGGGATGTTGTCCGAATACTGACGCGGGGAGGGGTACCGGTACGAGGATAAGCGACTACCACTCAAAGCGAGGCGTCGCAGTAAAAAAGCTTGGTAATACGGTGGGAGAATGATGGAGTCGATATTAGCACGCAAAACAGTGCTGGGGGAGAAAGAAGAAGAAGAGAGAGACTCTTGGAAGAGGCTGTGAGATTTCCGTCATCGACCACACCCTGACTTGACTCCTCACTTTCTCGCCTCCCGTCGGGCCCCGGCTTCGGGTGTCCGAAAGAAGATTAGTGAATATACCACGTGACTATTACTTCAGTGGTCTCTCTTGCGTGAAAAAAACCACGTGACCGCCACTGCCCGATATTCCAGCAGAGCCGCTTGGGGATCACTTAACCTTGGATCCTCTATTAACAATATAGAACTGGCAATAATTCGTGGGCAGAGACTACGTTACAACCTGCAATAATGATATGCTGCAGATGAAAATCTCGTGGGATCGATATATCGCGGCCCTAACTCAGTGGCCAACAACCGATTGTGTGCCGGCCAGCCCACACAACAATGAATCCCGTCCATATCGACGGCGATTCTAATCTCGAGTACCGTCTTGGACCCTTGAATCGACCTGAGTGCTTGCTTGGAATCCTCCAGCCGCGATATTTTTGTCGACAGGGGAGCCACACCGCCAATAATGCTGAAGGGGGTACAGAATTCTTTTCAGTGGCTTTCCCTTACCAATGCGCCATGATTGGAAAATGTGCCCGGTTCTTTGTAGGTTCGACGACTTGACAATTAATCTTGTGCAGACTCTCTGTTGATCGGATTGAGCAATGGCATCTTGACTCGTGTCCGCACGTCGGCTCTAATTATGGCACCGAAACTTGGCTGTGAGCATGAGATCCCACAAGGGAGGCCTCTCTGCGAAATCGGGGCGCAGCTCAGGAATATGATTCAAAAGAAGCATTTATAAGCTTCCTATCCAATAGGGCCTTTTTATTATTGTTGGTTTTGCTGCACAACAGACCGACTTTAAAGAAGAGAACAAAGAAATCGCTCGGGCACATCTTGACAACCCATGTTTAAGTTCAAACCCCTGCAGCACGAGTTTACAGCCTCCACAAGTTCTAAAATGAACATGAAAACAAACTCCAGGGCGAGCCTGAGCGCTTTGATGGAGGACCATGCACTCTGCAGCCGAAGAGGCTGAATGCGAGATGCAGATGCCATGAACTCTCCGGAGTACCCACAGTTTGGTACCTGGGATAATAATAGAAGCCCAACCTGAAGCAAAAATCCCTTCGGAAGATGCAGATCGCACAATCCCCTCAGTGGTGCACAGATCCGCTCAGTCTGCCAAGGATGTGTCTCTTTATTCTCAAGCATACCAAAGGTCTGTTCCGTGCATTGTTGCCGGTGGCGCACATTCCTCCCAGCGACCAGCCTCATCGGGCCATCACCACAGACATTCGACCAAGCCTTATCGGCCCCCATGGGTCGGATATCCGAAAGAGCAAGAAAGAACCCCACAATTTGGGCGATGTTGAACAAGGCGATTGGATGGGTTGAAGATTGTGTCGATCATTGTGGCCCGGGAAGACTACTTTTATCCGCTGGCTTCTGTTCGAGAGCGACGATGACGCTTATATTCATGAGATCATTTCCATGGTTGGCAGTATCTGCTCCAGGACAAACCGAACGGACTCTGCCGTCGGGGCCGATTGATCTGCGTCTATCGTGTGCACGACCTGAATTGCCTCGAACTGCTCAGGATCATTCATACCCGCAGGCACCTCGAAGATCTGTTTCTATTTGTCCTGCTGATACCCATTCACTCCGCTTCTGGTATAGTGAGCGTTGCATTCCGAAGGGTGGCCATTGAGGATCCGCGGCCAACACTTCGTCACCCATTGCGTTGAGGTTCGAGGAACTTGATCAGCCACCTCTTCACCCTAATTTATGATTGGCAGTTGATGTTACTTGGGAACCCATAGTTCTGTCAGGCTGGGTCAATTGGCACACGCCAGGCGATATCAATACCCCGCCGGGCCATTAGGGCGCATTCCTCACCCATCTTTAGAAAGACTGGAATGCGAAGAGAAACCAGAGGCTGGAAAGAGCCTGTGGGAATTCAAATAGGGCCATCATTCTGTTGTTTGTTTGCTTTGTCTTCTTTGCATCTTCTGCAGTGTTTTCTTTGATTGTCAATCGATCAAACAGTCCCTACGTGCTGCATTCCACCTGCACCCTCTACCATACTTGCGGATCTCTGGCTCCCTCTCCCAAGTTTCCCTTTGGACCAGACCCTTCTTCCGCTGTCTTATCACCAATCATATCTAATTCACAGCGCAACCCGCTGGGTCAAGTCTTTGGCAGCCTCTTCATCGCCGCAAACGGAAGGTGATCTCCCACTGTCAAGATGTTTGCTCAACCATTTGATCATTCATTCAATGATTTGTTCAGTCAGTACGTCAACATGGATACGTCAAGCACGGACGCCAACAAAGATGTTCCGTTCCCCAGCGAATTCGACCAGCTGTTCCCACTTGACTCATTCTCAACCGACTGTGGCGACCAGTCTCCCATTGTTTCCGGCACAGAGCACACCCATCAGTCAGCACAGGATTGGGGCAAGGACCTTTGGTCTCTATCACAGAATACGGGCTGTTCTACGGACCAAGACAACCTCGCTTTTCAGAATCACACCCAAGAACCTGGCGCCCTAGATTTAAACGCTGACGTTGAAGCCCCTTCAACTGGGCATCCTCACACTTCTGTACCCCGCTCGACACCCTCTACTCCTCCTGCCACACCTGGGTCCAAAGCCAAGGGAGGTCTAGTCACCCCAAAGACTATCCGGCGGCACCGAGACTCTCATGATCGCCGCGGTTTACTGCGCAAACAAAGCTTCTCCCCGAGCTTGATGCGCTCTTCTCTTCAAAAAGGCAGTGGTAGGATGAATTATCCTGAAGGCTGGACTCAGAAACTGCAAAATTTTGCTCTCCGCAGCTCGGATGAGTGCCTTCCATTATCGCCACCTCCATCCGACATCCTTGTTCAACAGGAGAACTTTTCTAAGCACGCACCTGGACAAATGAACCCCCCATCAGAAGGATTTCGAGGGTCGACAGAGCTGCCGCAGCAACAATTTGATTCTGGCTATATGACTCAGTCCCCCGCTATCCCCGTGCCTTCGCCATCTGCCAACACTTTAACGGGTCAGCAGCAGAGGTATTTAAGCCAGACAAATACATCTGCACTAACCCCAAGCCCTCCATCTGCCAGCGACTTCTTCTCATCGCCACATTCCTCGGATCCTCAATCGATGTCTTCGTGGAATTCCGATTCCCTTGCGACATCAGCATTCCAATTCACTCCCGAACTCCAGGGCAACGACCCTCAGACATGGTGGTCGCCTATGCATTCTGAGGTGGCACAACGCCCAACTTCGTATCAGCAAATGATTGCATCTCCGGCCCCGCAACGGCCGATTCAAGCATCTGCCAACCACAATGATCTCCTGCAGGGGGGTCTTATGATCCAAATGGATCCTACGTCCTTTGATATATCCTCTTCTTTCCCTTCCACTACAATACCATCTACCACAGCCGCCCACGACAATAACTCCTACAGCCTCGATGGGCATATTCCTCAAAAATACGTTGACTCGACCTCCTTCACCACGCCGACCATCGCGAATCCATCAAGGTCGCCCTCGGTATCTCCTAAAACGAATTCCTCGCCGAAAAGCAGGAATGGAATGGTGATGAAGAATACTCCGCGTCGCCCTCATGCCCGGAAGTTGTCCGGTCAATCACCGGGACCTAGGACAGCTAGAGCCGCTAACAGCCTATCCACGAGCCCGAAGGGCAACAAATCAGTGGCGGTGTCATTCGTCAACTTCACGGCCAATGACAGCAAAAAGATTCTCACCGGGGTCGCCCCAAGCGGCAGCTCCAAGACAAAGGCAAGAAGGGAGCAGGAAGCCCGCGATCGACGACGCAAGCTCAGTGAGGCTGCGCTGCAGGCGGTGCGAAGCGCGGGCGGAGACGTTGAAGCTCTTGAAGCTGTCTTTTGCTAAAACCGCCCTGCATTATTCACATACATATGTAATATGCTCAGGTACTTTCGTTGTCTTTTGTTTGTCCTTTTTTAGTCCTGCTTGGCCTTTTTTTTTTTCTTCTATTTTGCTTTCTTTCTCTCGCTTCAGCAATGGTCGTTTTGGCGCTTCGTGAAGTATTTATAATATTGGGAACAGCTTGGCTCATTCGAAAGGCGTTAGCTCTGTGAGCATACTTATAAAGTTGTTAGATTATACAAAATAATACCCATTCACATTCATGAGTTTACCTTGGAAAGGCTATGACGTAAAAATAGGGTGTACTATAGAAATGTATGGTTGTCAGAAATCGTTTATTAAGACACGTTAAATTGTACATGAATTATCTTAAGAAACTTGTTGGTACAAGAGTAAAGAGAAGCGTTGATGAACCCCAAAGTCTGTTAATAGTCACCAGATTAATTGCCATCGCGTTCTAGTATCCTTTACGGAAAAGAGCGCTTCCGCGTCCAAACTGCAGGAACGGAATGGGGAAATGCACTTGGGGCGGTAATGCCTAGTGCATATAATTTCGCGCGATGTCAAAATAAGCCAAATGACATGGGCTATGCACAATACGGAATTATACTCCGAATAGTCGAGCCACCGCTGTAGACGATATAAAGCCTGCGCAAGGCGCATTCTTTCCCTTCATCCTCACACCTCCTAGCCTTATCGCTTGGCAGGGGTGGGCGTCCATGATTCGGGTTGCCACTTCTCGCCTGGCGCATCCTTGGGCTTGAAGAAGGGGTCGTCTTTGGCAGTCGGTGTCTTGTTCGGAGATTGGCCATCCGCTCTGGTCCCTGATTCTTTTCCTGACGCATCAGGAGCAGTATTTGACGTCGGTTCGCTTGTTTTGGTGGCAGGTCCTGGTTGTTGTGTCGCCGGCGCATCCAGGTGGGACTGTTCGGCCTCCCAGCGCTTGTTTTGCATTTCAGCCAGTAACATTATTCTTTGCCGCCTCAGGACATCGTCTTGTTGTTCTTTGATTGAAGGGGGTTCTGATCGAACGTATCGAAGCCATTGGTGCCATTGAGCTGAAAACGAACTCAGTTAGACTTGCTTTACAGGCTGGCGCTTGAGGGTTTGAACTCACGGCTCACTTCAACGTCGGCATAGTGTGTTCTGGGTCGCGGTTTGAGTATTCGTCGAAACCGGCCGGCATTTAGTTTGTCCCTGAATTCCCAGAATGTATTTCCAACGAGATCCTGTCCTAGTGGAGAGTGTTAGTATTTCCTTGCTCGGAAATAATAATGGACGAATCTCGAACATACCAACCAGAAAGGATCTTCGCCAGGGCAATCGAAGGCTTTTCCACTTGAACCACAGACTATTGATGGGACTCATCTGTCTGGGGGGCTGTTTGCCAATTATAAAGGGGGGGATAGGTATTCGGCAATCGAATTAGACCGGGTGAGGATGATGATATTCGCAGAAATTCTGCTGCGCCGCAATGAGGCACGTCATCGGCTTACCTACCTTACATACCCGTACGGTAAATAACGAGCCCAACGGGCATTCCGCTCTCCCCCTAGACCTTCTTCGCCTCCTCTATCTTCCTTCTAGCAACACCGTCCGACTTTCTTCCATCTTTGAGACCACTTTTCTTCTTTTTAAGTACGCACACTCTTGCTTCATCAGTTTGTTTGCGCACGCCGTTGTTCCCTCGATTCAACCCCTGTTACGTCATCCCTGGCCGCCCTTGTCAACACAAGTCACGATTATACCCCCCTTCCCCCCAGGGCTCGAATATAGCCACCTAGCCACCTGGCGCTTTCGAATACTTATCTCTATGTGCTGAAGGGCCAGTCGACTGTCCCCCACAACCAAATTTCCAAGGATGGCCTCCGTTACCTCCTTAGATAAGGACTTGCGCAGCCTGCGCCTGTCCCGCTATACCCCGCAAGCCGCCGGCGAGGTCCGCTCATGGATTGAAGAAGTGTTGCGCGAAAAGCTCCCACCTGGCGATCTTCTCGAAGCGCTGAAAGATGGCGTTGCACTCTGCAGGTAAGGGCGACACCCATCTAGCTGTTACTGAATGTTCCTGCCGACGTTGCTGACAATTGCCCGAATATAGACTTCTTAACCTTGCGGTTTCCCCGGGCGTTAAATACAAACAGTCAAGGATGCCATTCGTTCAGATGGAAAACATATCGCATTTCCTACGCGCTTGCCAGCTTCCACCTCTCAACCTGCCACCCCACGATGTATTCCTTACCGTCGATCTCTACGAGGGGAAGGACCCTGCGCAAGTCCTTCAGTGTATCTCGGCCTTCAGCCGCAGGGCAAACGCCGTCGAGCCCGGTAAATTCCCCCGCACAATCGGAGCACAAAGTAAAACCGGTACCTTGAGCCCGTCTTTGACTGGGTCTAGTCAGGGCCTTCGCACGCCTACAAGGCCCCGGGGAGTTAGTGACGCCAACTCCAGTGCCTCCGGCCGCTCGAGTCCCACAAAGTCCCCCCAGGCGGTCAGCAGCTGGAGTAAAAGGTCTGACCAGCATGTGACACAGCCGGCTTGGAATATCCATCAATATGGTTACATGGGAGGTGCTAGTCAAGCAAATCAAGGTGTCGCATTCGGTGCCCGTCGACAGATCACAACCGCTGCCCCACATGTACCGAGTGTAGCAGAGAAAGAAAAGCGCAGGCGAGAAGAAGAAGAGCGACAGCGACTCGAACAGGAAGAGGCAGAGCGCGTTCGCCGACTAGAGCGCGAAGTGGAGGAAGCGCGTGCTCGGGAGGAAGAAGAGCGCCGCTGGGCTGAAGAGACAAGTCGCGTGAGGGAGAAGGAGCGGCGAGAAGCCGAGGAGGAGCGGAGACGCTGGGATGAGGAACAGCGGCAGTGGGAGCAGGAGGAGCAACAACGGCAGCGTGAGGAGCGGGAAGCAGAGGAGAGATTCGAGAAGGAGAAACAACGGCGCCGAGAAAACAACGATGTTCGTTTAACTGGCCAGTTCCTTAGCCAATACCAGGCTGACCAAGCCGACGCGACCCAAACACCATCTGGTGAATCACAAGAGAGCCAGCGCATCAAAGAACTGGAACGTGAGCTGGAACTTGCAAAGGAAAGAGAACTCCAGTATCAACGCGAGCGTGAATCATTTAAGGAGGAGAAGAAGCCCGCCGAGACCAAGCGCCCAGTTCCCGTACCCCCTAAGCCAAGCTACGACCTCTCGTCTCTCGAGCAGGAGCGACGTCTCCTCCGCGGCGAATGGCAGCGGAATCAGGAACCGGAACCGGTTAAAGAGGAAGTTCCGCCGCCTATGCCCCGACGACCCCTTCCTGATCCCGAGCCTACTGCAGAGGCAGAAGCGCCTCCACCCATGCCCCGTCGACCTCTTCCTGAGCCAGTTGCTGAAGTTGAAGCACCCCCACCAATGCCGCGTCGACCGCTCCCTGATCCTACTGCCGCTCAACCGCCAAAACTACAGTCATCAGAAAACCGACTCGACCGCTTCTTATCATCAAACCCGGCACCTGTTGCTCCCAAGCCCGCTGCGCACCGTTTCCAGGACTACACTACAACATCCGAAGTCGACGCTGAAAACAACCGCCGCATCGCATCTCAACAGAAGACTCGCGCCGGCGGGTGGGCATCCAAATCCCTTCTCGAACGTGAGATGGAACGCGAGCGTGAACGCCAAAGAGAATGGGAAGAGGGCCAAAAGCAGACGCAGGAGGCCGCGGCGCGAGGTGCCAAGGACCCTTCACTCAACGCAGGCCCTGGTGGCGCATGGGATGTACACCAGTACGGTTTTATGGGTGGTGACAACCAAAATAGAGGCGGACTTGGGCTGGGCGTCGGAGGCGCGAGGCGCCAGATTATCGGACCCCGACCTCCGCCATAAATCTGACCTACCCTACCAGGCTGCTGCTCATTTTTCTCTGCCTGTAGATATTTTGCTTTCTTTCCACCCTTTTATTCCAACCCCCCTGTTGTATTCTGCTCATTTAAAGACGGAGTTGTTTTCTTGAAGGCACATACCACCCCTACTGCGCATTGTTAGACACATCAAGTTCTTTTCCCACATAGCAATACTATAAAAATAAATACTCTTTGAAAATCGTACTTGTTCCGTGTTCATCTACTAGATAATTCCCCGGCGGTGTGGAACGCTCTTCCTTATTTTGCGTGTCTTGCCTCAGAGACGAGCAAATTCGACATTGCAACTGTGCAGAGCTCTTGTACCTGAGTGTGCCAACACAAGTAAAAATCCTCCCTGGGGATATCCGTAGATTGCTTTCGAAAGATTCGTATGGACGCATCCTATCATTAAACATTCTTTGGGTTACTTGTCTAATTTGGGCGGGCCATAAATATCTAGCCCTAAGGCAACGAGGCACAAATATGTATTTCGAGAACAAAAGTTGGGTATTCAGACATTTTCATACCAAAGCAAACCCAGCACAGAACACCAAAAAAAGAAGAGGGTATCAAATATGAACAAGTAGACAGACGTTATAACACGTGACATGATAAACCCTTCTTTCTAACATAGCAAACCCGCAACGCAATGCGAAGACCCAGCTAAACCAAACTGAAATAATAATAATAAAACAAGCAACGATTAAGGATTGCGAGAGGAAGAGGGGGGTTATGACGAGCCAGTCGTATTTGTACTTGACGGCAACACCTCCTCAACTAGAAACGTCAATCTTTCAGCGCTCTCACCCAGCCAACTCCACTCCAGGTCTTCAGACATCCGGGCGAATTGATTCTTCCTCGTCTCAAGCTGAGCCTTTTCCGCGCGCCTTATGATCCCCTTTTTTGTGAGTAGTTTTGTCTCATCTGTGATGTGGAGCATGTTGCTATCTGCTAGGAGGATGAGGAGGGCTTCGAGGGTAAGGGACATTTTGACGTTATCGGAGAGGGATGCGGTTGCAGTTGCGTAGGGAAGAAAGCATTTCTCAAGTTTGGATTGGTTGAGGTACTCATCGTCTGTGTCGGGGGCAGCGGACTCGCGGAGGCGGAAAAGAAGGAATTCGCAGAGGGTTGAGTAAGCTTCCGGAGAGAAGTAAGGGAGGGCGAGAGGGGAGATGAAGGATTGATAGATGGGGAGAGGTAGAGGGCGGATATTCTCGACTAAGAGGAGGTAGAAGTCTTGGAGTTTCATGAAATCGGCTGGAAGGGCCTGGGCGACGGTGGAAAGGAGGTGGAGGAGACGTTGGCGGAGAGCAAGAGAGTTAACGTCGCCTAGAAGGGATGATGCAAGAGTTGGGTCTGGTTGTGCGCCCTCGGAATTTCGGTTGGATTTAGGCGTATCAGCAGGCTTTCTTGATCTGGTAACTGTGCCTCTGCGTGGGCGTTTTGACTCGCGGCCGGAGGAAGCACCGTCTTCGTCGTGATCGCTTGTGAGGTAGAAGTCGCCGTATTCTTCTGCGTCAATATCAACCGCTGCCTCTCTTTTCCTTGTCTCTTTGTCCTCGGTAGTTTTCTTCCGTGATAGCTTCAGCTCATGGTGGAAGACCTCTCGGAATTCATTGACCGCGGTTGCTCCGCCGTCGGCGAATATGGCGCGCAGCATGCGACGGTTGCGTCCGAACCCAGTATTGGAACCGATGATGTAGCGGGCTATCATGCTTTCTTTCAAGATTTCATTGTCATCAGAGGGGTTCCCTTCCCTTTCGTTTCGGCGCTCCTCCCAGTCATCTTCCAAGACCTCGCACATGAACTCCAGCCAGATACGCCAGCGCTCCCATCGGACAGGGTGCAAGACAGAGCAGTTGAACGCCCAGCCTACAGCATGCCAAAAATCCTCGGCCCGCGACCAAACAGAGGCCGACTGTGCCAGACTAATATCAATATCCCGGTCCAGGTTGAGCCTCTTGTCGCCGTGACCCGTCGGCGTGTTCGTCGAGGCGTTGTCTAAATAACGCCGTGTACCATGTCGGGAAGTTTCAAAATGGGTAAATGTGAAGGCCGTCTTCAATGCAGCATTTCTAGGCCCGACAAGGCTATTCACCAGTCGTAGCAGGCGGAGAGATACATTAGGTGCTTCTTCCTCCTCTGTTGTCTTAGGCCGGGCGGTGGTGGAGGGGTGAACGAGGAAGGTGGCAGCGAGGGCCAGGTGTTGCGGGGACGGGATGAAGACAGGCGTGGACGCGCTGGGGTCAGAGCTGAGTGCATCCAAGAGAAGGTTGAGTGCCTGCGTGTCTGGTTGTCAAGTTAATTAGTACGGGGTGACGCGAAAACGCGCGGGAGGGGCACGAACGGAGTCTCTCTTCAAAAAAGATGGCGACATGTTGAACCAACTCGAACGGGAGGGGTTTTGCAGGGTGGCGTAAAGGCACAGGGGCCTCTCCATCTATAACGGCCATCGAGCCCAGAGGAGAGGACTAATCGAGTCGAGAGGGATGAGAGTGCAAAAGATAGACAGCTCCAAAGCAGAAAATAGGAGCATAAAAAGGCCGCCATTTTATGAATTTATGCAAATTTATGCATTTGAGCCCCCAAACCCCGCGATCATAATCCAGTGGAGTACAGACACTAATCAACTACATTTCTTTGCTATATCCATGTTCTACGGCTGTTTCGTTTCGGTTTTCGGTTTTAATTGTCTATTACTTTTTTTGATGAATATTTGAGATTGAAGGCGCCCGTGCTGCTTTCTTCTCGCCAGCTTGGGTTAAGGAGGTATTGTCAGCCACCCAGACACCGATCAATCAGAATTCGAGTGATTGAAGTGATGGTGGTAAGACTGCGGGAAGTGACTGCATGACTAAATCAGGCTGTAACACAGACAGCGCACACACACTTATAGTACAACTGTAGAGGAGGCAGCAAGAGATCATCCTGAAAAGAATAGTGGGATATCTGCGTAGTAAAATATCTGTCCTTTAAAAACCCCTCGCCAAACACCTTCTATCCCTAATAATTTCCTGCCGTATTTGGTTTTGTAGGCTGGCTTTGTTTTGTATCGCGAGCGATTTTTGTTCTTCGGTTCATACTGTTTCTTTTACCCTGAAACAAAGGCCCGCCCGGGTTGCGGTAGACTCTGCCTCCCAATGGGACGGACAGTATGGCCCCTGGGCGGGTAGTAGGTATTAAACGTATGCGAGAGTGGAGGGAGCGGTAGAGTAGAAGGAGGGAATCAAAACACTGGAAATAAAAGAAAAAGGATACTGGACGGAAATGCAATAACAAGTTCTGTAGGAGAAAACACTGGGAAAGAGAAGAGAGCCCCTCCGCTACTCTTCAGGTATATCAGAAAAGAGACCTATCCGCAATCGGTGTGACTGTAATCCGGTTAGCTAAGCTCATGTCATCTTGGTCAAATGCAGAGGGGCCACGTACGAAAGGTAGTTTGGGGAGGACCACTCCCAAGGTAGCTAGGAAGTTGATGACGAAGTATGTAATGTCGTAGTGGGTGTAATGTGTACTGAGGAGGAAAAGACAGATTGGTACACAAAGCAGGAACTTCTTAGCCGGGGTATACTGGTCCCCATTGTCGATTTGCTCCCACATGTTCAGATTATCGTAAGCGCCAGCGTTGAACTCGAACGGAATACCCCGCACCCAGTGGAACATGATGAAAGAGCCAAACATGTAGCTGATGTTGGTGAGAGTCCATGATGTCTCCTGCGAAACGCCGGGAAGGATATCGTAGAAGATCTTCAAAGCCGCGATCAAGACGAAATGGATAGTCCAGGCACCTGTAACAAGACATATCGGTTAGTGGGCTGAATTGCTGGAGCCATTTGCAAGAGAAGGGGGTTGAAGAAAAAGAGGCCCAATAGCAATGCAACAATAGCCCACGCAATTCACTCACCCTTAGCATTAACCCAGTTCGCATTTAGATTCGGAAGGGCGGCCTGGTCGCTGGTGTGCTCAATGGACTCGGCGGGCTCCTGGTAAATCAGACTGCTCGATCTCCTCCGTCTTCCAGCTTTGTTCTGGGACATGTTATTGTCCGGGGCCAACCGGTGCGGTCCTGTGTCGACCTCCGGTGGGAAGGAGATGGCACGGGGCATTAATAGGGACGACACTTTGGCGGTGTTCGATCGCGGGAAAAAGAGGGGTCGGAAAACGAAAATCGGAGGAGAGGAGGAAGGAAAGAGGTAAAAGTGAAAGAGAGAGGGAAAGAGGAGAGGTTCGAAAGGGACCGAGGATGACGAAGCTGGAGAGGATGATCGAGGTAATGATGCCTCGCAGTCACTAACAGCGAGTAACAATGGCGGCACCTGGAGATGTTCCGACCGATCGGTTGGTCACGGGATGAACAATATCACAGGCGGAATAATGGCTTTCAACTCCGCAAGGTTCTGTGCAGAGTCAAAATTTGGCTGCCAGACTCCCTCGGCTTCAGATCCTGGCAAAAGGAAGATTCGGTGCAGGTTGGGAGAAAAAATTGCCCTGGTCTAGTCTGTGAATAGGAGGCCGAACGGGACGTGTCTAATAATAGCCACCAAAAAGGGATCTGAGGCGAAGATAGGTAGAGGTTCTCTCTGTGGCCACGCCAGAGCTCTCTGGTGTTCTAGACCCCCAGTCCGACCAGCTCAGTGGTTCTTTCGATAAATAGCATGCAGAAATAGTATCTATTTCGAATTGATCTCTGCAGCCCAGGCCCACATACATGAAGCTTTATCAAGTCATCAACCCATCGCAAGGCGCGCGTCTGTCTTTGCGATCGTTGATTCTAAATGCTCGGGATTCTGGATTATTAGTATCTGATCCCGGTTCAAAATACGGAATAGGGCATTTCAACATTAATGCAGATGGCTTGTTATTGGGATTATTTACGTTCCCGACTTCGGCAAGGAGGGATGCTCTTGTGTTGCCGGCTGTCAACCTTGTTAGCCAACCATGGAGTACTTTGTCTATATTTACTCAACTACTTATGATGAAAGCATACTTGCTCCGGAGTAACAGTTCTATAATAATTCCGTATACCAGATCCCTCTGCGTCGCCACCTCGTCGACTGTCGATGAGTAGTCATCGCGATGACGTAAAAAGGAAGACGCCAGAAAACAACACTTTTCTCGCTCTTTACATACTATACTTTCCAAGTCTCTATCCCTCTCCGTGCGATATATTTGAACTCAGAGAGACAGACCTCAAACACTCGCCGAGGGAAGAAAAGAACGCAAAGCCAATACCGATAGCAGCCTCCATGCGCCTTCTTCAGGCCTCCCTCCGCATCTTCGCATCGCCCCTCATCCGATTCCCCGCCGTCCGTCCCCAACTCCTCCCTCCTCCGACTCCTGCCACCAAAGTCGCGCTCAAATCCGCTCCCGCTATTCCATTCCTAAGCTCTTTCTTTAGCTCTCGCTCCCAGTCTGAATCTCAGACCAGCAAAATGGCTCCGCCCCCAGACAACCGTAGCGACGATGAGTGGCGCGCCGTGCTGAGTCCAGGTGAGAGACCCCTACTCTTTTGCGAAACACCTTCTCCAATCTAGCTTAATCTGTGTCCGTATCCAAATCGAGATACAACGAGGCTAACAACAAGAACAGAGCAATTCCGCATTCTCCGCCAGAAAGGCACAGAACGGCCTGGCACAGGTGAATACGACTCCCACTACCCTTCTCAGGGTGTCTATACCTGCGCGGGCTGCAACGCACCTCTCTACAAGGCAGACCACAAATTCAAGTCTGGTTGTGGATGGCCTGCGTACTTTGATTCCATCCCGGGGGCTGTGGCAAGACATACAGATAGCTCGTTCGGGATGGAGAGGACGGAGATTACTTGTACGAACTGCGGGGGCCATTTAGGCCACGTCTTCAAGGGCGAGGGGTATCCGACTCCGACTGATGAGAGGCATTGTGTGAACAGTATTAGTTTGAAGTTTACGGAAGGGGAGGGAGGCAGTGCGAAGGCCAAGGCGTGATGGTATGAGAGTATTGTTATTTGAGCGATTTGGGAGGTTGGAGTTTGACCTGTGGAGCGTTTTGTGTACGTTGATTCGGTGGTATAGTATGAAGTATCATAAACTGTCAACTACAGAGGCTGGGGTTGGCTTCCATACGAGATAATACGGACCATATGGCGGCGCTCTCCGTCTTTGAAGTCTGGAACTGCTGAATGAGCGACTGTCCTCTGATCCCAAACAACAACGGTCCCTTTCTCCCAAGATACTCGGCAGGAAAAGTCTAATGACCGAATATGATCATGAAGGAAGCCCAGCAGCAAATCTGACTCGCTTGGCTTATATCCAACAACCTGGCGGGCAATCGTCGGGTTGACAAACAATACAGGCTCTTTCGTCACTGGATGTGATATAACCAGCGGGTGCTCTGTCTTGACGGCTTCCTTAAGAGCCCGTTCTTGACCTACTCGAGCGATTTCACCAACGCTGGCGCTAGTATGCAGGAGCTTCAGATGGTGGAGGCCTTCGCGAAATGTTGGTGAGAGCGCTTTATAGGCCGCGGTCAGCGAGGTGAATGCCGTATCACCTCCTCCTGATGCGGGCATCTCCAGAACCCAGAAGAAGGCATTGCCAGGTGTATTAGGGGTGAAGGTCTGATCAACATGCCATAAATCGTAGTTTGTCCGCTCGCCCAAGAGATCTCTAAGATTTCCTCTGTGCCCTCGTCATCAGCTTTCAATTTCAAGAACAAGCTCGGGGATGCATACACTGTCTCGTCGGCATACACCACTTGGAATTCTGGACCAGTGCCCTGGGGATATCCCATGGTCGGGTGCTTCATTTCTTATTAACCTCGCAACTATTTCGAAATATCTATCTGGCGCCACTATACCTTATGTAAAGGGCCGAAGTGTTTGGCAATGGCCAACTGCCTTTCTGGTCCTATATCCGCAAAGTCCTGGTCTCGCTGCATAACGCCGACTCCGTTGATAAGTAGCAATTATCATCTTACAGAGTACTGATAAACTCACAAAGACAAGAACGCCTCTCTGAGCAGCCAGAAGGGCCACCTGATCCAACCCTGCTGGCGTCAACTGGCTGAGTTGAAGGCTGCGGATTTCAGTCCCGACACGCGGCGTGATGTTTTTCAGGGCCGCCTTTGACGATAGTATGTCTGGGAGCTCAGGATCCGCCCGTAATCCCGGCTCCTCTGCATCGAAGGCTGGCACATCAAGTGTTGCTGTGAATCCTTCCGGCCTCACGGGGAGATAGGCGGGATATAGAGGCTCCGCAGGCATGGCAACGTCCAGCGTGGTTACTGATTATATTTGAAAAAATATAATAAAATAAAGCAGACACTGAGCTAATATTCTAATCAAACACAACCTGTACGGGTATACAATCATCTAAGTATCGGCCAAAAGTTGGAGTAGGTACTCTGCAGTATCGTGAGGTTTTCCGTATCGCCTCATCCCGGCCAAGAAAGGCGCAACAGCGCCCACTATTCCACATGCGACGATTTATCTCGGGCACAAGCCGCTCAGATCCCTGTAGCTACAGAACCTAGCTTGAGTGATAGTTGCCCGTGTTTCTCTAATAGTAATTCTACTCCGCCTCCATCAGTTGTTTGCAGTGTGTTTGGACAGCAGGATGTGCCGCCACAGCATCTCGGGAGCACGCAATTGTACGACAGCAGATAGTCAAAAAGTCCGAATCGCTGTCTGTAAAGAACCAAAATATCGTAGCTTCCAGGTCTCAGATCCTCGACCTGAATTCAGCGGGCTCCAAAGGCATCATGGATTTCGCAACTCGGGCAAGATCCTCGAGGATTTCAAAATGGATCACGCAGGCCCTTCAGCTTGACAACCCGGAAAGAGTGCTCGTCTTGAAGCTTGATATCCTGCTGCTCGTCTGGGCATTTGTGGCAGGTCTTACAAAGGTTTGGATTCACTGGTTTCTGGTTCTGCTTCACCAAGCCCTAACAGCATAGGACATGGATCAATCCGCGACAACGCAGGCATATGTGTCGGGGATGAAAGAAGCCTTGTCATTATACGGAAATGAGCTGGTCGAATTTACCACGTATTTTTCCATCGGCTACGCTCTGGCCATTGTTCCTTCACAGATGATCCAGACTCTGATACGGCCTTCTATTTTCCTCCCTGCCTGTGAGGTTGTATGGGGAGTTCTGACTCTCGTGTACGCCTTTTTCCCTCCTCAAATTGCGCGACTACTTTTTGACGACTTGATAGGACATATGCGACAAAAAATGCTAAATCTGTGTATGCACTTCGATTTTTCCTCGGGATATTTGAATCGGTATGCCAGGCCGGCCGGATGAATATTGTATTGGTTGTTCCACGCTGACAGTTCTAGACATCGTGGCCTGGCTTGGTCAGCCTGATCTTCAACTGGTGTATGTATATCCATGTCCCTGTCTTGTTCCAAGGAAAATACTAATTACGAAGATACCCCGGCTGAACTCGGAAAAAGGTTGGCCATATTTGGCGTGAGCGGTGTTGCAGGCAGCATGTTTCTCGGCATTTTGCAAGCGGCACTCTATAAAAACCTCAACGGGGCAGGGGGTCTCGAAGTAAGCATTTCTTATACTGCACTATATCAAATTATACTAAGAACATAGGGTTGGCAATGGCTTTTCATTGTTAGGTATAGTTCCCAGCTCCTGGGCCCCTACACCAGCTAACCCTAAGTTTGCTCCAGCGGCTGCATCACGATATTCTGGGGCCTCATCGGCTTTTTGATCATTCCAGACTCTCCCAATATCACCCGGGCACTGTGGTTGACACACGCCGAGCGGCGCTTGGCTGTTGCGCGCATGGAGAAAAATAACACAGAGACCTCGAAGCTCATTGACTATAAGAGACTCTTCAGAAAGGCCAAGCTTATCACACTCAGTCCGCTAGCTTGGCTTTATATGGCCGCCTATCTTCAGTATGCCTGGAGCCAAAGGGCTAACAGCTATTTTCTGCTATATCTCAAGGTACAGATTACGAATTTCATAATATACAGTCGTGTCTAACTGCCGTATAGGGCCTTGAAAAGTCAAATGGTGAACCGCTTTACAGGTCGGTCTCTAAAACTACGCTTTTCTCAACTGCCAAACTAAAGTGGATTTCTACAGCACATATACCGTTAACTTGATCCCACTCGGCGGATATGCCATATCGATTGTAAGCAACGTTCTACTGAATGCTGTTAGTGATTGGAAGAAATGGCGCATTCAGGTTGCAATTGGTCCTGCAGTAAGCATACCTATGCACTAGGATGGCCCCAAGGATCATGGTGTTGACAGAAGGAACTCTAGATCCTTCAAATAGTTTGCTGCGCTGTTCTTTCAGCATGGCCCAGCTCGACGCCAACGATAATGGCTTTTTATTTCTTAACTTTTGCCACCGCAGCGTGGGGGTATGTTGTCCTGAGCTTGTATAGAGCATCGAATACGCTGACTGACCGTCCTCTCCTAGCTACTCACTTCTCGCCTGGTTGGCAGAGATTCTCAGAAAAGAGCCGGAAGCCCGTTCACTTCTCGTTGGTGCTTCTGTCACCCTCGTTTGTAAGTCATCCTCAAATGCGCTGCCATCTACGGTGTATGGTGGACACTTCTAATACTCACCAGATGTCGGGCATGCGACTATACCTCTCCGCGCATGGCGGACCGCCGATAGCCCTACGTACCCAGTTGGGTTCCCTCTTGCTACTGCATTCGCAGGAGGCAGTATTATGGCTATACTAGGGATGTATTTCTATTTGAAAAGGTATTCTCAAGAAATTTGCGTTGGCTTCTGGCGCACTAATGCTGACATTTTGAAGCCATTTATACATCTTGGCACAGGGGTTGGAGCCTGCATTAGAATCTTCGACAGATTCTGGCGTTGATATTAAAGATACAAGCAGCACTATCGGAAAGAAAGCCCTCGATGGAGTGTCTGAGGTACGGCCATAGGCTGGGCCATGCTGGAATCGCCTCTACTTGCCATCACATAGAAGCCCTTTTGTTCAACAATTCGTGGCCAGGATCCAGTGTTAGTAAACTTTCAGCAAAGCTGCTCTGGCTGCAGTGGTTGGAGCAGTTTCCAATGTGGTAAATATATAAATAGCTTCGCCAAACGAATGTGTAGGGACAAGGAAGGTGTGCTGAGCTGTATTCACGAAGTCGTCCATAAATAAAGGGTCCACATCACGTGTTGGCCGCCCTATCGGTGCCACATTACTGCCTGAGGCAGCAACATCCGACACCGCATCCGAACCGCCACTTGTGAATAATCTCCAGCAGGTTGCTCCATTATTATCAAACACTTCCTCTCCCCTCCCTTCCCTCCTCCCTCGGATCTCCCAATCTCCCTCCAGTCATTACAGCAAGACTTGCCATTTTTACGGGTTATGTCTCGCCGTCCCAACCCCGCCCAGGCGGCTCAGAATCAACAGACTATCAAATCCCTCTTGAAACTCGATTCCAACAAGACATGCGCCGATTGCAAACGCAATAAACGTGAGTGCGCCCTGCGCTTTGCGTCACCGAGCTCAGTGCCGGTTTATGCTTCGGAAAATTATTGACAGGCTTTGGCCTTTAGATCCGCGATGGGCGTCCTGGAATCTCGGAATATTCATTTGCATTCGTTGCTCGGGCATACACAGGGGTATGGGCACCCATATCAGCCGAGTGAAATCGGTAGATCTTGATGCGTGGACCGACGAGCAACTCCAAAGTGTTGTGAGCTGGGGCAATGCCAGAGCCAATAAGTCAGAATCCCCGCGGGTTTAGTTTTTGGGGGTCCATAGTGGACTAACATACCTGGTTAGATATTGGGAAGCAAAACTGGCGCCCGGCCATGTTCCATCTGAAGCGTGAGTAGCTCCAGTGCGCCTGATTATTCGTGCATTTCAGTTGACAAGGGGAACTCTGGACAGGAAAATAGAGAATTTTATCAGAACTAAATATGATTCCAAGCGTTGGGTTATGGATGGCCCGATGCCCAATCCCGCAACGTTGGATGTCGGCGATGACGATGTTGTGAGTTACTACTCTTGATTCTTGGTGGATATTTCAGGAATTGACTAGTTTGTGCATTAAGCCGCTGGCTGTCGTTCAGGAGAAAGCAAAGATTGAGCGCTCCGCTTCGCAAAGAGTGGCCGCCACCAGCCAACCGCCAGTGCAACATCGCCCACAGCCTTCTATGGATCTCTTTGCCGATGATGGTGTTGCTCCCCCGATTCGTCCTAGCACTACAGAGCCATCGATCCGAGCTCCCCCCAAGCCGCCACAGGCTGCTCCAGCGCAGGCTGCCCCGAAACCGACACGGCCTGGAGACTCCTTACTCGGCCTCGATTTCTTCGGCAGTACACAGCCGGCAGCCAATAATCGCCCCGCCAGTGTCGCGTCCACGCCAGGAGCTAGGATGTCTAGGCCAGACCTTAAGCAGTCTATCCTCTCTCTTTATTCCAAGCCCCCGCCTGCCCCGGCGCAGCATGAACGTACGCCTTCATTTGGGGAGTTGGCTTCCCCGCCCCCACCATCCACGTCGTCGTCCAACATGGGTGGGTTGACCGATGCGTTCAGCGGATTGAGCTTCCCAAGCATTTCTTCTCCCGCTCAAAAGCCTGCAGAGAAGCCGTCACCTTTCGCAGGTCTGACGAACTTTACCAACACCAAGTCGACTCCTGCGGCGCCCAAGGTGACCTCACCCACACCTTCAACTGGAAGCACTGGCGGTGGCTTGTTTGACAGTCTTACATCTCCTACCATTCCTCCTGCTAAACCGCAATCCCGTACTACCTCGATTTCGTCCAACAACCACGACTTTGGCGGATTTTCCAGCTTCCAATCCCCGCCACCGGCGCCCAAGCCAAACCCACCCTCGGGTTCATTGTCCGACGACCTATTTGGACTATCCTCTCCCCCCATCTCTGCAACCACCACCTCCCCGCCCCCAGTAAAATCCCCACCACCAGTGACAGCCCCTCAGCCGGATCTAAGCTCTGCATTTAACCTCAACAACCCGGCACCCAAGCCAGCAGACCCGCCCAAACCAGTAAACACGACGACTTCCATTCCTAGTCTCAACCCGGCCGCTATCGACCCATGGGGCTCGAACGCATGGAGTACCCCAGAACCAGAACCAGCACCCGCCGCCCCGGCTCCCTCTCAGCCCTCCTCTATGATGAAGCTCCCCGACACGCTGACAGCCAACGACGTCGGTGCTGGCTGGGGCGCCTCCCCAGCCGCATCCAAACCACCTGCGCCGTCTGTCACGGAGGATGAAGACTTTGGCGGCTGGGCCAGTGCGGCCCCAGTATCTTCTACCACGAGTACAGCACCACCTAAACCGGCAGGCGGGTTTGGGGGGTCTGATGACCTGTTTTCTAATGTCTGGGAGTAAGATAGATCCATAGTTATTTACTCCTCGTCCTTTTTTGTTCAAATCGGCCATGGTTGCATATCTATTCTTTGCTTTTTTTTACTTCTTGATTTCTCTACTGCTGTGTTTTTTTTTCTAAAAACTAGTTGATATTCACCCACGAAATTTGTACATAATGTGGACCTTTATGTCTTCTAGATATAGCGCTAGCTCGCAATGTGAACGCATATCTTTAATATTGCTAGCCCTGTTGAGGGAGCTCATCATGTTGTATCCGAAAGTTGATATTGATTTCAACTCCATATCATAATTTCTTTCTTATCATGAGTTGAGCCCAATGCACTATTGACAGGACACAGCCAAATCTCTCTCCTTCGCTGATAGTATCATCACATAGACTGTATTAGAAATTGCCGCCCATTCCTCCGTTCATGCCGTCGTAGACAAAAGTATATAAAAATAAAACAGGAAAAGAAAACCGAAGGTAGGGTAGGTTTTGTAGAGGGGGTATATATATAATAAAAAAGGTCAAACAAGTTAAAGAGTGGTATATAAGGCCAGAAGAGGCCAAAGCAAAGGATATCGGAACCCGGGGCAAGGTGAAAAGAGAGCCGTTTCCTGTCGCTTAAAAAAAAGGAGAGATGGAAGAAGAAGAAAAAAGAAAGGGAAAAAGAAAGTATGATTTAGTCCTTGATTAAGCCTTTCATACTTGAACAATCATCAGGTTGGTGTAACACTGATTCTTGCGATATCTTTGTCGTGACCTTAATTTCAGTCGGCGGGGAGGAGGAAATAGCCTCGTCGGATTCAATGCGTTTGCCGAACGTACTCATATGATAGTCTGACGGATCGTTCCTGCTTCCTGCAGCCACGGACGCCTGGAATCCGGGGAGATTCGTGTTTCGAGAGCGGGTGCCTTGGTTGAGATAGGGATTCGTGGTGTTCTTGCTTTTACCGGTGGAGAAGATTCGGGGTATGATTTTGGAAATGAGCGCGCGTGTCGCAGGGAGACAGGCGCAAATGATGGCGACATTGCATTCAATTGCAGACCAAGTGGCTGCGCCTGGGTTGTCGTCTGTGACCTGTTAGCCTCTTTCGCCTTCGATCGTTCACAGGATAGCAAGATTGGACTCACAGGTTGGGTCTTTCGAGTCTGAGATAACCAGAAGACTCTGTAGGCGAAGAATACTGGTAACTAGCACACTGCAGAATTCGTTAGTGACTATAGATCCCGCAGTGAGGATGGCTACATACAAAGCACCAAGGGCGAAGACTGCCATGAGAGCAAGTTTCTGTCGCCGGGGTAGCTGGAGACTCTTGAGTACCGGCATGGGAAAGACCAGAAGGACGATGTCGGTGAAGATATGAATTCCGGAATTAGAGAACCATAAAGCCTTTTTGTTCAGACAGTGCCCTTCAAGGCTGTCGTTCCAGAATTTTGCCACTGGGATACAGTTGAGCCATGCGCTAACGAATGTCCATGTTCCCCAGATGCCGAGGAATCCGATTAAGCAGTAGCATGTCAAGCGCATGCGAGGAGTGGAGAAAACACGCTTATACTGTAAAAGGATCGATGCTTTCGTGGTGATGAGGCTGGCTTGGTAAATGGGGACTGAAGCCCAAAAACACTGGGTGAGAGAAACAATATTAGCATGAAACAACGACAAAACACACACTCCACTAAAACGTTTGCCATGGGACCACGTACGATCATTTGCTTTGTCAATGTTTCCGGCGGAATTCGGTCAATATGTTCACCCATAAGATAGGCAGTTTCTGCAGCGGAGAGCCAACAGTTAGCTATCAGATAGAATGTAGGTTTACTCAAGTTTTGGGGTAGGAACAAACCTCCAACAAAGAGACCAAAAAAGGCCCAACTGAACGCCTGTATATAAGGTCAACGCCACAAACATCAGCGCACCGGGATAGGTTAGGTCTAGTAACGCACGAGAGATATGATAATTGTCCAGTCATCTGCTCCCATCTGTTTCACCATAAATGCTCGAGTGTAGATGCGTACTACTGTGAGCACGGTGGCCAGAGAGGTGAATATGGCACTGACTGACAATGCATGTTGACCGCGAGGTACTCCGATGGCCATTGTACTCCCTAGGTTTCTGGCAAGCTTGGGTCGGCCAATGCAGGAGACAATGGTATATAAAGTTGAATTCAAAGTTCAAACAGGCGTGAGTAATATACCGTACAGCCTGTTGGGTCAGGAGAGCTAGGTCAAGTAGTCATTGCTGTCAATAGTATCTGTTGGTTGAAGCGAGTGTGAGAATCATAAAGAATGAATGATCATTTAACGACAAGGAGGGGGGAACGGGAGGAGACACTAAAATAATACCAATAAGAGGCTAGATATGGACGGACCAGAAAGAATATGCTAGTGACAGCCACATCGTCCGTGTACTGGAGATCGCTCAAGTCAGGAACCAGTTCGCCCACGAGTCTGGAGCTGACTACGAAGACTAGCAGAATCCTTCTTCATGGCGCCGCCAGTTCAAGGTCCAATTGACATAGTTCAGGCGCTTATCGCATCATTGATGGCTTCCCATTTCAACCCAAAACACCCACGTGAATCCAAAATTGGACATATCGTATGCGGGCTTTGCTCGTGGGGAAGCCACGGTTATGGAGCTGTGATCTCGCGTCAAAAGCTCCATTGGTGGGAGAGTACACGTTTGCCCGCCACTGGGATCAAACGGGGTCTGACTTTTGGTCTGATCTTCTCAGAGTGGCGAGCCCATCTTGGGCTATTCTGTGCCGGAGTGGAGCCGCACGCCGAAAGGCGAGTTCAGTCCTCACTCCAGAGTCCATGCTGCAAATGGAAAAAGCGGAGCAGCCGAGTAAGCTGGGCAGTTCGAAACGAAGAATAAATGATAAACTAACAGCATGACAATCTACCTCGTCTCTGAATACGTAGTATTAATAATAAATCACTCAGAAGAGTATTGTTTCCGCTTATCAGAGAACCCTATCTGACAGGTGCCAGCATGCTCAGATTGACTTTTCGAAGTCGCATACTCGGAACGGCGTGCAACCTACGGTGTAGTTTACCGAAGCAAATAATTGACGTGTACTGTTCACCCTGATTTCTTAGAAACTTCAATGCAGCATGGATGGACGAAGGGCATGCATACGGAGTAATACTCCACTAAATCCCCGTTGGGATCCGGATTCAGGATATGAGGATCGCTTGAACCTTGAGGCAAGGGGCAGGCAGTGCACGGACCACAGTCTTTTCCGCGAATCCCGAGACACATCTGCGAAAATGTCGGTGGGAAAATTTCGATTGACAGGCTCCAAGTGTCAAATTAGCTTTCAGGTACAGACTTGAGCGAATCATGGCTTGAAGAAAAGCTGTCGCATTCATATCCACATGCGTTCATATGAGTGGGACCATGAGCGCCACACGAGGTTCTCAACCATGGTCCTGCAGATATGACAGTTGAATGAAGCGGTCTGAAGTGGTCTGCAAGCTGATTCCCCAGCCTGGAAGAGTTGTACAGGGCACATTAAGACCAGACTCAAAACGCTCGCGGTCTCTGAAGAATCACGGCGAATTTTCCGCACGACAGGATGAATAAGATTTTGATGAACAATTAACTAGCGCGCTTCAGTCCCAGTTAGCGGATGCGGCTCGGGATGTTTCCTGATTCAGTTGATCGCGCGCGTCACCGTTAGCCTCGTTGTGGGAGAAGGATATGGCACTAAGAAAAAAACACCCACCCGAAAACCGACAATTGGGAGACTACGGCCAGATGGACATCGGCGGCTGGAGTCTTGGATGGACACGCGATGATGAAGAATTCAAATGTTCCGCATGGCTTAGTGGGGTTGATCTCTGAGGGGACGAATACAATTCTGCATTCCGCCAATCCACAGTTTCCATTACGCAGGCAGGTGTTCTCCGAGGCCGCGAAGCGAACTGCGGGCGTTGCCTCGTGTTGGAGGCTTGAAGGTTGGAAGTTGGAACCCCTGAAACTGGCCTGAACCATGGTTGAGCAATGGTTGAACCATGGCTGCCATTATTCACCGACTGTTCGATTATTTGCTGTGTCAGATGGAACGGTCCGATTGCGGTAGCACTAATGCAGAGAGCTGCAGGTGTGCTGGCAAGACTTCGAACCCTTTGATGGAGTTTTGGATGTGGAATGCCGGGAGGCAGGAACTGGAGGGACTGAAAGTGGAGGGGAATTGAGAGTGACTTGGCTCCTGATTTCTGAGGCATCTCTGCTTCAACCCTCACTCTCATCTCAAACAGTCAAACTCCTTCACTTCTCCGCGCTTTCTCCCTCTTCCTCCCCTCATTGCCCCGTCCTACGAATAGCACTTTCAAATCCATCAATAGGCTACTATCGACGATTTGTCTAGGTCTTTCATCGGCCGAAACTCGGTATCCAGTCAAAGAAGATCGCTAATTCGCGATTCGCATCGACGTAGCGTGATCGAGTGATCATCCACCAAGGACAACGACGGCTGATTCCGCCCTGTGAGTGTACATTTCCCGTATAGGGCCTGCACTTATCACGGATGGACGAGCACCTGAATCTCACAGGGGCAGTGAGGGAATCAGCCCAGACCCTCAGACTCAACTTCCAAGACACAACTTGCCGATTCTCCAGCCTAAGTCGGGCGGCGCTGTGGAGACTTTTTGTGGCCGACACGTGCAACACAGGCTAGTCGACGAAGGAGATTATTATTGCCAATATGCCCTACCCAAGGAAGATCAGTAATTAATCTCCACGGAGCTCGAGTCTTGGAGACTTCGGCTCGTCAGTCAGAGCGGCCCGGGCTAAATACGCCTCGTGCTCAACGTTCCAAGTATTCGGAATCTACGACGATCAAACCATCGGGCGAAGCCCCTAAAGAGGCAAATGGGCATCTAATAAGTCGACGAATTGTCCAAGTCGAACTTAATATATCAATTAGCGTTGCCCTAAATTTTGACGACCGATCCATGAAAGTGACGAAACTGGTGAAACCGCGGCGCTGTCAATCCTTCGAAAGTTGAGGCTGTCGACGAACACCAGTGCATTACTTTTATTTCTATTGTTATTCATGGTGCTTCCAAGGGCGTTGCAGGATAAACTGCTCTCCTGACTCCTCACTATCTGCTGAACTCCGTATCATGACCCTCCGCTATCCACATTCAACCGCTTCGGCCAAACACTAAAAATCACTAAACCACTGAGACCCCATTATATTATAGTACTGACCCAGCCAGTCATTATTGAACGAGTTAGTACTGAGTAATTACCAACTATTGGGACGACCAAGTCTCTGAAAATTCAACTAACGTATAAACGAACTCTTTAATCAATCAGCTACGGTGGATACAGTCAAGAGTTTGTCAACTGAATTGATATGTCCCCTATGACGCTCCGTACGTCCGTCAAATAACTCAAACAGGAATACTGAGACATGAGTTACAAAAAGACAAAAAAAAGTCGCAATTAATCAATAAGCCGAGCCCGAGCCCCGTTCTACCCCCTTTGCCTAGACGCCACATAGCTATAGCAATAATCGAGGTTAAAACAACATCAAACGAAACTCACTAAGATCTTTTTGAAATGTGGAAAAATCCATGTCAGGAATTATGGAGATAATGGTAAGAATCCAGGGTATTTGTACAGAATATAGCAAAGGAGAAAAGGGAAGAAAAAAAGGGGGGGAGCTCTGATGTTAGCTTTATGTAGCTCGGACGGATGGCCCCCTTCAATAATATTCCTCCTTCTCTAAAATCATAATCAATTCGGTAAGTTCCTTGCGTAGCGACCTGTTGCGGTCCCATACTTCAATAACCTTGGGGCGATGGCTGAGGAAAGAGGCCTTCTTCCAAGAAAGCCCGTTGAAGCCTGGGGCAATACCGTTGGGCAGATTACGAGCCAGGTTGCGTAGTACAAGAGCGGCCTTGTATGCGACACCAACAGGCTCTCCACGCTCACTGACAGGCGTATCCATGTAGAACCACTTCCGCACAATGCGTTCCTGGAGCACAGCGCGCTTAGAGCTAGGAGCTTCGGCGTCTGCAGGCCGGTCATCGGGAAGATGAGAAGAGACATGGCCTGCGACCATAGCAGTGTTTGTGCTAGGGCCAGAAGAGCGGAATTTGGCGCAGTTGTCCCACAAACAAGTGTGAACCGGCGTTTCAGCATTGTCCAGATTATACTGCCCAGGTGTTTCGGTTGGTTTAAGGTCCATGTGGTCCGAGAAAACATGGTTGCGAAGGTCGGTCGGCGAGGTAAAGGCGCGTTGGCAGGTCTTCGCCGGTTTTGTATTATCCTGCCATTTGCAATAGATGTAAGGGAATCCTTGGAAAGTATGTGCGGTTTCCAAAGGACGAATTCCTTTAATTATGAACCTCGTTGATGAACCAGGCCCGTTGATTACCTGTGCTTGAGCATTCGTAAATGTAGTGCTGACATTTTTTATGAACTCTGCGGCAGGAAGAACACCACCCCCAGGAACTCGAGGGTCAGCAAAGCGGCTTTGGTACGCCTGCCAGAGCGCTATCTGTGTAATCTCGCACTCCGCGTCCTCAACGAAACAGCAGCGCAGCCAGCGTGAGCTACGTTCTGGCTCAGACAGGTCCATCAGATCCTTCAGTAGTTCTGGTGGAACACGTGGGATTTCCGATGGAGGCGGTGCCACCTTCTCCTCCTGCAAGACAGTTTCTCTCTTGCTTGGCCGTCCCTCGTGTGTCAATAGTGCAATCATTCGGGGGATGAAGATCGTCCGGAAGTTGAAGACATCCATCATAGTCTCGATGTTCTCACGAGAAAGAGTGTACTGATACCAGAAGTCAAGTGCACCACTCAAAACGTCCTTATCCATGTCCATCAATGTGAGTAAGTACAGTTGCTGTAATGATTCTCTCGGTATACTTTCCATGGCGCGGTTCGCTTCTGAGTCATCTAACTCGGTGGAGAAATGTGTTAGAGCCCAAAGCGCACGAACGACATGGGCTCGGTCGGGAGAATCGAGGCAGTTGAGCAGTGACATCCATAGGGGATCCTCGGGGTCAGTTCTCATAAGCTTGGTCACTTCCTCCGCAATGTCAAGAGCGTCGTTCTTGAGTTCATTCAGCCGAGGCTGATCTGGAATGTTAATCATAATCACTAGAAAGTCCCTTAACAGCCCGAGGGCAGAGCTCGTGATGTATAGTGCATTGTCTTTTAGAAGGACCATGTTTCTCAGGATGAGGGTCGCTTCTTTGACATTTCGGAGGCGATGATTGAACTCATACGTCTCCAAGGAGTCATCCGGTAAAGTAACTGGAATCTTTTTGATCCTGTCCAGAACGTCGCGAGTGCCGTGTAAAGCGTTGAGGACATTAACGCGATCTGTGTCTTGCCGAAAATCGTACTGAAGCTCCCATTTGACACCAGTACAGAGGACTGAGATCTCGATGGCTTTTTCCATCAAGTTCTCCGCAAGCAAAGGAAAGCCCTCAAATTTGAATTTATCCCCTCGCTGATTCGATATTTGAACAAGATGATACAGGGCAAAATCAACTTCGTCTGGAATTCCTGATTGCAAGCCATAGTGAGCACGTTTGTAGATATGGTCCGCTATCCTATGTGTTAGCCGTCTGTCGAGAGAACTCGAGGGCATAAAGAACAAGCCCATCAATCCACTTACACTTTGGGACTTCGATAAACCTGAGAGGGAAGTAAGGATCATAAAAATCTGCCTGTCGCGCTAGCTTGGCTCTTTCCAGAGAACCGCTGAATAAACTCGGTCGGTTTCCAGGAGTCCACACATCACGCGTGGACATGGGGACTTTATACTCTTTCCCCTCCCAAGTTTCGCTCGAAATATGAGGACTGTCTGGATTTGCAGGAGACATCGAATGTGTATGGGACATGGTTGTGGGCTGGGGAGATTGGTTTCCATGCATTTGTGAGCGGCGTGCCGGCGCGGTGTCAGGGATGAAGGGTTGGTTGACTTTGGGGGCTTGTCGCAGACCCTCTGCAGAGAGCAACATGGTGTTAGCAAAGAAAACATATACAAGAAGGATTTCGAGTTTATTTCTTACGTCGTAGGGAGGTACGAGGAGTTTGAGCACTCATTTTGGGCTCAGCCTAGCACCCTTCACGGCTTCAGAATTGTGGGCTGCGTAAATTCAATTTTGCAGAATTCACCACCTCCTTGTCGCGTCGATTCGTAACACTTAATATGATCAAAAGAAACCTGTCCGTTCGTTGCACCGCGAAAAATTCCTCCACAAACCGTACGCAGTTCTCGGCTTTAGGGCTGGGTAGTTGCTGATCGCCCTTCAATTGCACGCGTACGAGCAACCTGGTAATTTCGTGGTCCCGCCTATTTCGTTGTACTTCGAGGTCTCGGGGTTCTATCTCGTGCGTCGTCTCGGTAGCGATGACGTACAATGCTAGAGGCGATGAAGTCGGCCGCAAATAATCAATGAGCTCGGCGCGGTTCTAAGCTATCGCGAGACAAGGACGAGGTTGCGATTCCGGTCACAGTAGCCGGAGAGGACAAAGCACGCGGAATTCAAAGGGCACAGGCGCAAAATAACAAGGCTCGCTAGCGACAAGAGCAGCTTGGACGAAGGTCAATTCTTTGGTTGCGGACAACCAGCTTGATCCTGCGATCGATCGGTCCTGGCGTCTTCCAGGCAAAAAGTCCGCGCTGCTTCCAGGCCTGGCCTCAGGCGCGTGCCCGGAATATCTGCGCTTCCGGGTTTGCTCCGTTTGCTCGTTGGCCGCCTGAGGCACTAAGGCAGACCCTAACTACAACAGGTAACAGATACGAAGTATGGAATGCGAAATCGGGCAATTATTGGGCTATGGTCTATATAATCAATTGACCGGTTGTCAAGAAAATGTAAAAGTTGAAATGCGCTCAAGAAACTGTATACCTGCAATAAATGCGGGAGCATGCACCCAATGTGCTGAGGTCACCTGCCGACTTAGACGGACTGGATTAGAGCAAACACCATCAACCCATGATGGAGCCAGCCGTCTTTAAGCATCGTTCAACAGGTTAGCAGTTCCCCATTCATCTATTCCCTTGTGTGGTGTGGTTATTTTTCTATTATGTATCGCCCTTCGCTGTCTCAGCAAACTCCAGGGCCCGCGACATTGGCTCGTTTCCAGCTCGCCAAGTTCTCGTATGCCACCACCTCTATCAATCATAGAGGGCCAATTACCTGGAGTCACGTCTTCGGAAATGGAGATATCATCGGGATCTTTGAAAAATATGTGATTCTCTCGTCCAAAAAAGTTCTGTTTAGGGTTCGCAATAACCAGGAGACACTGGTAAGTCTTTCTGCGATAGCTATATGAATGCTTACATTTTGTCGACAGGAGCAAGTGGCTATAACAGATCTCATGAGGGATTTTGAAGACCACGCTCGCTCGGCGAAAGATAACCCAAAACCAGGTTTTGCGGTCGTCGTGAAACTTCCTTGTCTCGCTGTCAAATATCCCCAAAGTCCCGGATTCGTGAGTCAAACTGAGCGAGTGACAATATTTGACTAACAGCTTCCAGGTACGACGCTTTCAAATCAAATTTTCTTCTGACCGAGACTTTTACTCGGCGCTATCTATCCTAAGCGAAATCAACTGCCCTTTCTCGGAATCAAACGTCGGTTCTGTACGGCCGATGAGCAGGCCAGTTTCATCACTCTCAACATTCGGGCACATCAATACTGGCTTAGGCCTACAAAGTGACCGTTCAGCTATAACTAGAGCACCAACGTCAGATGCGAGTATTTTCCCGTCCTACAGGCCAGCCTCTTCCTCTAGTGTCTTCACCGATGCTCCACAAGGTATCCATTCAAACACCCATATCAACAAGGGTATATTAACACCATACATATACACAGCCGTGCCAACCTCATCTTCGAGCTCTACAGCTCTAGGCAGCACGAGTCGTGCATTTAGCACCCTGAGTAGCAGCCATGGGTCACCGTTTGATGACACGTTCTCGGCAGGAGACGTACCTCAAGCCAGCCTTCATCCAGAGCAAGGCGAGTCCAAACCACCAAGCACTTCCACAGGCCATGACCTAGATCTACCCCCTAAGAGATTGCTGCCTTTTCCTACTTCGGCCGCGAAAAGGGGTCGGCTAGCTTCAAAAGCACCAGAAATTGACTCTCTCAAAATATCTAAAGCCGGTAATTGCCCCTCGAGCAGTCAATATATATTACTTAAACTGTATCTTGTATATTAACTAAAATTTCGTCTTGCCACAAAAGCCACAAAAACCCCATCCAAAACCCCAACCTCCAGAAAAGGAAAAGGATCGCGAGCCGCAAAGGCCAAAGAGGCAACCCCCCAAAACAGGAAAAACAAAGCAACTTCTACTAACACAACATCACCACCGCCACCATCATCTTTAACAACCATCGCGAGCCCCCGAAACCAAGCTACAATCCCTACGCACGAGACCCCAGTCGCAAATAACGCCCCCTTCCTTCCCACACAAGGAGACTTGGCCAACTACATTTCCAACCCCACCAAGGAACGAACAGCGGCACTTGAGAACTGGATCTGTGGGCATCTCGAAGACGACAACTTTCTACAACTTTGTATAGATGTGGAAGGGGTTTGGACGCGGTTTGCAGTGGGAAAGTAAATAAGAAGGGTCCAGAACATCAAGAGCCAATAAGCGCGTCAGCTAAAAAAGAACCCTGGGGAGGAATAATACTGACACTATGAGCAGTTTCATCGTCACATTATTTGCTTTTTACTATTTGATGCTTGCTTCAGGTTGAGAAAAATATTTGATAAGTACCAAACACCATTCGTTACGTTCACGATAGCTACAGCGCCCCAACATATTTTCTTCGATGTCATTATGGGAGTTTCGATTTTATCAAGGCGTTATATGAAGACAAGAGTTCACTAAATGAGGATACATCGTAATTCAAACACCAATTTAACAACAGTAATCCCGTGCTTCGCCGTAGTGATTAGATATCATGCTGCAGTTAAGTACAGCTCGCGAAATCCCGAACAAATCAACAGCTAAAATACATAACAAGAAGCTAACCCTGCCGTCGCGAGGGAGGGGAGAGGATATTTCCTTTCGTTTGCTAGATCTCTTGAGAGGAGATGTCTAGAGAACTCGAGAAAAGGCACAATCATTTCTGATTCCTGAAAGATGAGTACCAATTTTGTCTGGACGATGAAGCAAAGAAAACAAGGAACCTAACGAGATCGACGATAAATCAAACCAGAGAAAACATTAAGGTAGCCCTCCTTTGTCAGTAAGGTGAAATCCACCACTATTCGGCCCTGTGGCGGCAAAGCTGAAGCCAGGTTTGGCGATGTAGCAGTTATGTTATGGTTCTCGCCCGATGGGATGGCAGAGGGAGGCGGGGGTGATGCATTCACTGCTACTGAGCCCTCGGCGCCAACAGCAAGATCCGCAAGGTGCTGGAGGGAGCGCTGCTCGTTCGGGCCAACAACGGGAGGCGCTGTTGAGCCAATCTTGCCCAGGTTCGGGTCATGGAGCTGAGTCTCTTGGGATTTTGTGCGCCTCCATTCCAGGAAGAGGCGGATCTTAGCATCCCAACTTTCGGTATGGAAAATGTCGCCGAATTCTGAAGACTCCAGCGAGCGCTTTTCGCGATGGTCGAGGATATCCTCAACCCTGCCTAGAGCTTCCCAGCATTCATTCGAGTACTCTGGAAGGACAGATGCTTCCAAGAGAGTCATTGTCGCCAATGCTAAGCTGTGGAGGTCGAAGGGGGTTGTTTGACGAGATTGCAAGCTTGCCTTGTGAAGTTCGTTAATAACCTCTTCGGCGCTGAATATGATTTCGTACGGGCTGTAGACAAAGATGTGTCGCTTTATTAGAAGTCGCGTGGTCCAGTAAAGTTGATTCTGTAGGCTCTCGACGAAGTTATGAGACGAGCCATTCTCTTGGCCCTCCGGCGTTCCCTGGAAATCATCAAGCCCAGAGAGACGTTCAAGGGAGCCTGCTAGATTCGCGGAAATCACCCGTCCAATGCCAGTGTTAGACTGGCAGACATTAGTTTCGGCTATAGCCAGCGTAACAATTTCGCTCAAAAAGGTGGAATACGCTATAAATAGGTTGTTAGCTTTGTAGTGTACGAATGACCAATGTGGATGAACATACAAGCAACTCCTACTGCCACGGAACCAAGCACTCTTTCATCCTCGCGACCGCCTATTTCATGGGTCCCGAGCGCGCTGGGGTCAGCGACACTGACTGCGTACCAGCGCGTTAGAATTGCCAAGGATACCCAGCTTCTCCTAACAAGGTTTGCTTCTGAGTCAACGTCAGGGTCCGAGGCTCGTTTGGCTTTCAACTGGCCCACACTCTTCGCCAAATCCGAACCGAGTTTGGTGGCAGACTGGATCAACGTCTGCTTCGGGATGCCATCCTTCAGCACGAAGTTGTCGGGTCCTCGAGAGTCACAGTCGAGGATCATTATAAGTGTGCTCTGGAGCCATATCAAGTTAACGCCTGTTGGGCGGACTAGCGCTGGTTGTCGAGTATAGTATAAGAGAAGGTCTTGGGCATTGTCATATGACGTAACCCTCTCGAAAGTGCTGGCCACGCGATCAATGTTGACTCGTGTCAAAGTATACAAGCTGTAAAGAAATATTTCCTGGACCTCACGGCTGCATTGATGAAGAAGCCCCAGCAGTCGATCTTTTGTATTTGGCAGTATAGGAAGAATCGGGTGGACCTTCTCATAGTAACTGTATGCAGTCAGCGACTCTGAAAGCTGTGTTACAGAGGAAATGTCAGACTTACGCATCAAGAGCTCCCTCATCCACACCTAATGGTGTCATGTCTTCTTCATGCTTAGGAATGTCGGGAATCTCCAGCCCTGCAGGAAGGTCGCCATCGTTACCTGTCGCCCAAAATAGGTTCCCAGGCTTTGGTGCCGAACCGGTGACAACTGCAGAGTTAAATGGATCTGTCGAGTTTTCGCCTGCATCTAGTGAAGTTAGCGGTGGAAGCTCGTGGTGGTATGGGATGAAGGCTCGCTGGGACTAACCGAATGCATTCTGAGAGCGCGAATTGAATTGGGGCTGAGCGATTGAGGAACTAGGCAGACCATCAAATACAGAATATGTTCTCTTGCGACCGATGCCGCCGGTGTCCATTGGTGATGAAAAGTCCTGATACGCTCGTGGGGACGGGGCGTCGTTCATAGGCTGGTACGGCATGTCCGGATGCACCATTGCAGGCTGCATCTGACTCTCGAGGGTGTGCAAACGCTCCGCAAGTTCCTTAATGTACCTGATTTCCATGTAAGCCCAGTAATCACCTTGGGAGGGTATCCCACGCCTTACCCTTTACTCGGTCCACGCTTCATCGGAACACGACTAAATTGGCAAACAACGCCCAGGCGGCGACAATTCGAACAGGTTTCGACCCCGGTTTCTGAGCTTGCATCGCAACGGACCTGTACAGAGGATTGTGTTAGATCATACACGGTCTGTCGCGTCGAGGGACCTCCTCCAAAAGAAAAAAAACAAACTCGGCAAATACCTTTTTGCGCCTGCACTCATCGCAAGCTCTCGAGATCTTTGTCCTCTTCCTCCTAGCGCTCTGATCTCCATAGCTCAAATCATGGTTCGGGTCGACACCGACTTGCTGGCTCGGCGGGAATGAAAGCATGTGCTGCTGCTGATGTTGATCTGGAGAGGAAGGACGGCCAATGTCAGCGCCACCGGCATTCGACGAGCCCAACACCATGGACTGGCCGTGATGGACACCGTTGCTCGAGCCGTCATTTATGCCAGGGCCGGAGGTTTCGCGCGAAAGCTCAGCGGATAAGAGCTCGTCGGTCGTCAACTGACGGTTTGTGTAGTATTGCATGGTACCCTGGCCCATCTGCGCGGCATTGGGCGACGGGTAGGATGGCGCCGGAGGCATATCAGAGTGCTCGCGAGAATTCATTGTAGCTAGAAGCGATAAAATCGCATGTACGAGATGGTGGTTGATTGGGGAGCGAGGCTCCGGATGATGGGAGGAAAGCAGAGGGAGTTGGAGGACGGAGAAAACGCGAGGCCAGCAGGCAAGGTTTTACAGGCTAAGAATTACTTGGGCGGGGGGGATTTGAAGGGGCTAGCGCCGAGCGCCCTCGGCGTAGTGAGGAGGACACAGCAAACATTGTCGCGCGACTTGATACAGGGAAGCAGAGCGCATCAATTCTGGGGACGACTTGGATGCTGATATAGATTCACGATGATCGCGCCGACGCGGAGGCCCGGCTTTTTGTTTCTGCGTCCAGCGACGGATTAATACTATTTCCCTACTGACGGGCCAGCGCCCAGAACTTCACCCTGTCTCGGGTGCCAGAAGAGCTGGATGCGTGCTCTTGGGGATTCGCTTTGCGTCGTCTGCATTAATTCGCGATGATTCGAGGCTGCGGTCGCTCCTCGTTGCTTGACTTGACCTCCCTGCGTCTGTATATGAAGCAATTGACGCAAATCACATTCCTCAACATCACACCTGCATCGCGCGTAACAATGACTCCTTCACTGGAAACCCATTTCTAAGTAATAAAGGGGGAAAAAAAAGGGAAAAAAAGAAAAAACCATCCTAACTAAATTCTCCTATCTTTTGCTTGGTTGGATTTAGATTTGTCGCTACTTGCTGGTATTATTTTAATATTGTTTTGTGTCCCGATATATATTTACGTATGGCGTAGCACAGGCCGCCTAGAATTTTTCCACGCATCCTCACAAAAATTGTTTAGAGAATATTTCTACATTCATTATTTGCATCGCACTTCCGAGCAGCGTAACTAAAAGCCACAGTAGTTGAGTTAACATTTGGAGGGCCGGTGAAGGGCTACATCTAGGATAAGAGAGTTTACACCGTACATCGACAGTCATCAATATGAGGGATGACCTTTGGGTGGAAAAGCAGGCCATGACTCATCTACCCAGTTCAGTCGCTGTTTGGTTTGCTAGTAGGAGAGGACATCTGCTTTCTCCAAGAACCACGGCACTGCCCACATCCAAAGATGGCGATCTACTACGCACAGAGAAGGTGTCGAAAATGCGATAAAGCGGAAACTGTAGTTGCAGTCAGTGCCAATAGGCCAGCATATTCCGTTCGTAGGATAGATCGTGGCCCGTGGTCGACTGAAACACTGGTGACTGCCGCCGGAGCCACGTTGGCTTGATTCACCAGGCAGTGGATCTTCCATGATAGGAATTTGGTGACTTGTATTCCCAATACTGGAAGATTGTAGTGATGCCGGAAGATGATTATCATTGAGTAATGCTGGAAAAAAAAAATCAGGTTTAGTTATCCTGCATGCTCCTAGTTTCAGTCAGTCCAAAACCATTATTAAAAATGAACTTATGCCCAGGAGCAGGAATTGAGATTACCTACTCCATCGAGCATAGCGCCTCTTGGTGTGGGACTGTCTTCAAGACTCTGGGGAAGCCACAGGGCGACGAGCCTGCGATGGGCTCGGTCTAGCTGGCGACGAAGATCCCCCGGAAGACAAGAAAGAGCAGGGATGCATTATTTGTCACTGAAAACCCATAGAAAACGAAAGGCGCAGTTCGTTGAGCACCAGGCAAAGCAGGCCGAAGAATTGGCGATTCGCTGAACACTTGGTCCGCGTGGGCTGG